TTTTAATAGTTTCGAGTGCTATACAGCAACTGCAGTCACTAAGAAAGTAAAAATCAAACGAAACGTCGATTTGTCACAATATCCTCGTTAAAGAATGTGTAATAAGCGTACAAGTACGCGCGCATTATTCTACTAAAATTTAAAATCATTATTAGAGTTCGCGACTATGCGCTCTTTCATATTAAAAGTTGCATGCGAGAAAAATATTACGGAAACTAATTCACCTTGCTACTTTAATTTGATGTAAAAATGGTACTAAAACGTGATTCAAGGTTATCTAGATTCTAGATTAAGTTAAAACAGCGACCGCGTGACTTAACATATTTTTATATAAATACATTGTATGTTACTTTAGTAATCACATCCAGATCTTTTATTCATATAGGTAACACAATGTACACTTATAAACGTCAAAAAAGAAATAAACATTAAATGCTAAGGCTATGTTAAGGCTATGTTTAGATGGCAAAAACATGACGCGCGTTTTCAAATCGCGCGACTAGACATTGTGGTATTTTCATACAACTGTTCACATGAGCGCGCGTTAACGCGCGTCAACGCGCGCTCAGAGAAAAAGTCTCTAGATGCAGGTGATCGCGCGTTGACGCGCGCTTTGATATTAATGTAATGTCCGTTTGCTGTTCAGATAAGCGCGCGCTATCATCGCGATCGCATGTAATTTTGTTAATTTTCGTAATAATATTTTGTTCTCGCATTTAAAATGAGTGAAATTGAAGATATTGACATCGACTTACTAATCGATGAAGTAGAAAAAAGCTCAGCAATTTGGAATATAGCAAATTTGTATAAAAAATATAATATAATTTGTATTTTTTTTCAAAATTGGATGTACCCAATGTGTACGTTTTCTTTTTCTATATAATATAACCACAAAATAATAGCCTCTTCCACGTCCATTTTCTACGTTCTACCGAGCTAGACTGACGAGTACTCTCGCAACGCGCGTTAGCGCTCATCATCTGAACGCTCTCCAAATTTGATCGCGCGTTGACGCGCGTTACATGTGAACATAGCCTTAGATGGCAAAAAATTGACGCGCGTTTTCAAATCGCGCGACTAGACATTGTGGTATTTTCATACAACTGTTCACATGAGCGCGCGTTAACGCGCGTCAACGCAGCGCTTAGAGAAAAAGTCTCTAGACGCAGGTGATCGCGCGTTGACGCGCGCTTTGATATTAATGTAATGTCCGTATGCTGTTCAGTTGAGCGCGCGCTTTCATCGCGATTGCATGTAATTTTCGTAATTATATATGTATATATATGTTGTTAATTTTCGTAATTATATTTTGTTCTCGCATTTAAAATGAGTGAAATTGAAGATTCATTCTCAATTCTAAATCATTGAGTGAGTTGGAATATAGCAAATTTGTATAAGTAATATAATATAATTTGTATCTTTTTTCAAAATTGGATGAACCCAATGTGTACGTTTTCTTTTTCTATATTTTTCTTTACAATATAACCACAAAATAATAGACTCTTCCACGTCCATTTTCTGCGTTCTACCGAACTAGACTGACGAGTACTCTCGCAACGCGCATTAGCGCTCATCATCTGAACTCTCTTCAAATTTGATCGCGCGATGACGCGCGTTAACGCGCGTTACATGTGAACATAGCCTAATTCTAATTTTACATTTACTGCCAGTTCTGAAATCAAGGGCGTAGAACGGAAAAGAAGCACTGGCAATAAACTCTCCGTTACTCTTTTGTTCGCCCAGTTTTCTTGTTTTACACAATGTTTGTAAGGAGCTGCACCATTAAAAAAAAGATTAAAAAAAAAATTGTCCTCTATCAGCAGGAGGCATGGTAAAATAGGAGCACGAACTTACGTTCTCGTAGGAACTACACACAAATAGTCGAAATAACAAACATCACAGCCTACACGAATTCAAGACCGACCAGTCATAATAATTATACATACAAAAAGATGGATTAAATTTCGAAGTATCGTCGTCATCGGTCATTCGAATAAACTTTGCACGAATCACTTAAATTATTTAGAGTTATCGCGTCAGGAAGTGAAGATTACAGCCAAGGTTCGTTTTACATACAAATCATCCTTCTGGCCTCTGTTATGTTTTAAATTAGCGATATAATGCAGAATTCTGTATTTTGGTTTCAAAGGCCAACTGCTGTCGCCTGTGTGGTGAATACATATTTTTTTAAAGATGGCTATCGTTGGCTACATATCGTAATGATGAACGCACTATGATAAACCGTGAACAATATAATAGACACATAACTGTGTTTGCTTTAACTTTATTTATATATGATTTTTTGAAGTTATACTTCTATTGGCACGTTAGGGAAAAATGTCCGTCCCGTCACAAAAAAACCGACACCCCGAAGTTAGGTATAGTCAACATTTTAGTTTTTTCCTATTGGTAGTGTCGTTTTTTCTACAAACGACGAGAAAGTATAACTTCTAACGAGTGTACATAAGTACACACACGTTTTTTTATGTTTAATTAACTTTAGGTTCACCAACTTAATCTTTAATTTACTCACTATCTGAAATTATTTAGGCTACGATAAGTTTATCTCTGTTCGTAAAGAATACTTAGTGTTGTGTTCCAACTTCTACAATAAAATAAAATTACTTTAAAAAAATTATCTCAGACTTAATCCACAAAAAATACAAATCACATTCCATACGCACAAAGTTAAAAAACCACAAAATCTTCAACAAAATTTTATGTATTTAAATTTAATATAACATTATTATTATATTAAATTAATCAATTTCGTTTCACCAAAGGTCAAAGTAATGACGTATAATGAACAACGCTTTATTTCCAGTGTAAAAACACTTAGGTTAGTTTATCAAGTTATCTACATATTCATATAAAAATATGTATTACTAATTCATAATTATAGCGCCTAAAGAATGGTTATTGAAGCGCTGACAGTTGAGCAAGAAACTGTGAAACCCTTTTCAAAGATAAAACCGTGAAGTGTGAGAAGCATTCAATTGTTTTTATAAATCATATTATTTCATCGCCTCCGCTTATATAATAACTGATATTATTATCACCAAAATTGTATAAACTTTCGTATTCCATTTCAAATCTCATGTCAATTTTTTGAGTACTATTAAAATTTTCCAACGAATATACAGTTTGACAGCCGTTGAGGACCTATGGAAGTAACGCATGAAGTGTAAAACCCTTGTTTTAGGCTTAAATGGCCCACCAGATTTTTTAGAGTTGAATTATATAGAGTCTGAAGGCATAGGCTACTCCATGATGATTGATGAACAGAAGCAGAAATGCGTTTGCGGGACTCATATTCTTTATTTATAAAAACCAACTACACGATTTAAAGAAGGTGATTAGCCTGTGCCTGACACATGCCCTCGCCTCTTTGGGTCATGACTTCTAAGACTTGCCGGCTACCTCATGATATATTGTTCACCGTATGAGCGAGTACGCCCTCAGGGATGAGAGTCACATGCTAGTCACAAGCCGCTTCTCTTAACACAATTATAATATTTAATTAATTAACATTACGGAGTTACTCACAGAAGTATTAATATAAATAATATACGAACGTTTTAATTAAAATCTAATTTTCTGTTTATAAATTTATAAATTTTTAATTATTATTATTGCTATGTCGGTTAAGAATATTTTAAATACTGTACATTTGTGTTGGAAATATGGATATCGATTTCAGATTATATTGACCATGTGTATTAACGTAATTACGTGAAAGCCTTTAAGGAAGAAAATCAAAGCATTCAATTACTGTATGTAATTTGACAGCATTTGTTATTACTACGTACTAAAGTACGAATCGATTTTTATAAGATAACTAGCTGATCCGGCAAACGTCGTTTTGCCATGTATATCATTTATAATAAAAAATAGGAGTTGATCGTAGAGGGGAAAAATAGGGGTTGTATAATATTTTTAAATGCTGTACCATAAAAAAATAAAAATTTATCTCAAAATTAAAAAAAAATTAGGGGTGGAACTACCCTTAACATTTAGGGGGATGAAAAATACATGCTGTCCGATTCTCAGACATACCCAATATACACACAAAATTTCATGAGAATCGGTCAAGGCGTTTCGGAGGAGTTGAACTACAAACACCGCGACACGAGAATTTTATATATTAGATTTAGTTTTTGAGTGATATTCACAATAGTAACACGTGCGTATGTTAACCATATTATGTCCAGGTTGATGTTGAATAAATTATTTGGTTATTGTACTTAAAAATTAAATTTTATGCAAATTTTATATCATCAATTTCAATTTAGGTAATTAAATAATAAATAAATCATTAATTAATTTAACATCAATCGCAATTTTATGACCACGCTAAGATTTTTTTTATTTGTTTTTATTAATAGACAAATATTTATTATTTAATAATTTCCGCGAAGTTACGGAAGACTAGGGTTTATTTGAATTAATTTTTACTACCACTTTATTCAGAAGTCAGAATTTTAATAGTAATTGTTCGTATCATCTTCAATCATAACATAAACAGATGATGCCTATTATAGTTGCAGCACCACTAAATATGTATATACTTTACGTAAATACGTTAATAATATTATCTTACGTTTGGAAAACCTTATTCTTTAAATCGTATAAAATGCAAGCAATTGAGTCACACTAAATTATGACTAGTAGGTACTATATTATATTCTTATTATAAAACGTTATACGATACTAATCCGTGAGAAACAAATGATATTATTCATTTGATCAATCCTGGTAATAAAATGTATATAGTGTAATTCTATGCATATGCATGTAAGGCTTTATTTTTGTGTAAATGCGCTTACTTTTTACTGGTATTGTTTACAAATATATGCAGATAACACATTATGTTAAAGTCAACAGCAGATAAGCAATTATACATAAACAATATTATTAGCGAGTTGCATGATAATTGAAACAGTTAAAACAACACCGTTTTACAATCAAGACGTGTTCTCGAATCGTGAAATAAATTTAAAATGTCGGAAAAAGTTGCTATAGTGACTGGAGCGAACAAAGGTATAGGCCTCGCTATTGTAAAAGGCCTTTGTAAACGATTTAGGGGTGCAGTTTACCTAACGTCTAGAGATGAGGAAAGAGGTTTAAAAGCTGTTCAAACTCTTCAAGAATTAGGATTAACGCCCACATTCCACAAACTTGACGTAAGCGACGAATACAGTGTTAAAGAATTCTCAGATTTTATTAAAAATAAACATGGTGGCTTTGATGTTCTTATCAATAATGCGGCTATTCTTGAGTGGGAACAAGTATATCCATCGTACGAGGCCGCGAAACGTAATATTGATGTAAATTATGGCAGCTTACTGTTAATTGAGCAATACTTATATCCTTTCCTAAGAGATGGCGCCAGAGTCGTTAACGTGTCAAGTGCTTGTGGACATCTATCAAATTTAAAAAATAAAAAATGGTTGGATGTCTTTACTCGTCAGGATTTCACCACAGAAGACATAAACAGATTTGTTGATGAATATTTAATAAGTGTGCGAAATGGAACGTTCAACCGAGACGATTTTGCTGATGGCGGAAAACATGCTGAACATCGGGTATCAAAGATCGCTGTTACTGCATTAACTATGGTACAACAGAGAAAATATCCAAATGTTTCTATTAATGCCGTACATCCAGGTCACGTGAAAACCGACATGGCCTTTGGTAAAGGCGACATCGAACCGGATGATGCAGCCAAAACAATTCTGTATCTTATTTTTGATGCTTCACCCAATCTTAAAGGAACCTTTATGTGGTATAACAGAAAGCTGGTTGATTGGTTTGACATTGAAGGGGATTATTATTACCAACACAGCGAATAGGACCTGTATATTATATAAATAATATATAAACACTTAATAATATAATGAATAATCAATATAATTTTCTATTATAAGGTTCATACATTGGTTGGTTTTTTTATTAGACTAGTTATTATTAAGACAATAAAAATGGGTACCGAGCATACCTCATAGCATGCTCATATGCTCATTAATAATAAATATGTATAGACATTATGCAGGACTCATGTGGTCCTCCGACACAATAGTATAACTTAATTAAGTTTAATTATGTGCTGTATTAATTAATATGAGGGCTTAGATGAGAATTCAGATGGTAGATCAAAAATAATTTCTAAAGCATTACAATTATATTTAATAATAAAACATATAGACATTTTCATACAGCGTGAATTGGAAAAAACTTTTTTCTCAGCACGCTGTCAATTATCAAACTATCAGCTGTCGCAGCTCTGACAGTGACTTTAATATAATATGGCAGTGACAGACGACAGTTGCCTTTCGGTTCATTCCAATCCGTTTGTGAATTTTGGGTGTGCTTTAAAATTTAAATAAATCCAAAAATTTCAAATATATAAATTAAAAAAGATTTGAAAATCCTGACACAAAGTTGGTTAATTAAAGCACAGAAAAGTATACAATCTGAGACATTTACCATCCTGTTGGGTAAGTTTTAAATATTTTTATTAATTACTTTAAATAAGATATATAATGGTATACGCGAAATGAAGCTAACAAAAACAAACATTATTATCAGCTGTCAGTCTGTGCGAAATTTGTTTCGTTTATGTACGTACTACTTTCTTAAACGTATTAATAAATAAGATTTTGTGCCAAAAGTATAGCCTCAAGCTGTGTTCGACCCCGAAAAATATATTAGCATTCAATTCACGAAAGTGCAAGTTATACAATGTGTAATAAACTGTAATAATCGGTGTCTTGTGATGGAATAGTGTGCCCCAAAAACACGACCTTGCGAGTTATCAAAAACCTATTGCAATGGAATTTGAATAATAATGAACCAGTTATTCTTGATTTTTGGTTCACCATGAACTAAATGTGTGTTAATCCATAAGAATGTATAAAAATATTAGATATTTATATCCAAAAAGATTAAATTTCTAAATAACCTTGAATAAATAAATTAAATTGGACTACTAATATTATTTATTGTAATTGTAAAAAATAATAAAAGGCGAAAATAAAAATTACTAAAAAACACATTAAACAGCCATAACAGCACTTTCTTAAATAAAATAGCTCTTATTATGAAACATTCAAAGAACTTCAAACATGAAAGAGCAGCCTTGAAATTGATTATATTTTATAATTGATATTGTAGCCACAAAAAAAATATTCTAACACTACATGTATTTCTTACAAATCTTGAAATAAATTAACATTACAACAATTTTAAAAATTAAGAGTGTTCACTGCAATGAGAACCAAATGTGGACATAAAACTAAACAATAGAGTACATAGCTACAAAAATGGTTCTAGTGAGATTTATCCAAAATATGGCGTCGTTCGCGGCGCAAGCAGCTCTGCGGTCACGTTGGAGTTCCCTTATAGAGTCTACTAGTGTTGATGTACCTGGAGAAGTCACAGATGGAGTCCGTTCCGTTGTTGGATGGCTTAAACAGGCACGAACTTTTCTAAAACTTAACTAAACCGGACTTCATAAATCAATCATAATAATTAATCATGAGCCGGCTTAGTTAAGATATTAGTACAAATAAAATAAAATAAAAAAGTAAACTCAATTTAATAGTTGCATGTCTGCCTATATCTTACCTTTTTTCTTGTCTTTTTCATGCTACAGTGAAATGTTATTTATTTAAATTAAGATGAATGATGCATGACTATAAGAATTAATAGAAGAATAATAAATTATTTAACAAAGAAGGAATACAATGTAATTATTTTTAGCTGCTTACATTTTAAATATATATCAGCCTTCTTATCGGATTGCTAAATATAACAACTTTTTACTGTGTACACAACCTTTCTTTGTTTTAAAGAAAATACATACCAAAATTCATATGGCCTTGCAAATTATAATATTCTGTTGAAATAATTGAAAGCTACATGTTTCACTAATAAATTATGAATATTAATAACTATTTGTTCAGTTTTAATAGGCAAATAATACTTTTATTATATACATATATATGGAATACTTGGGTGTAAATTCAAATGTTAACTTATATCTGGGATGTAATTTTGTCAGTTTATTACACAGTTATTATAAATAAAGAAATGAAGTTTATAAATGCAAAACTTTGATCCTATATAGAAATAATAACTGTGTACATAAATAGTACACTATAGTCAAATATAAGATTGACTCAGGTAACAATAGGTATAGTGAGAACAGCTTCTGTGAGAGATTCCTGAAGACTGCATAGTGAAAAGTCATTTATTCATGTAGGTAACACAATGTACACTAACACTCTCAAATCAAGGGCGTAGAACGGAAGAGAAGAACTGGCAATAAACTCTCCGCCACTCTTTTTAATCGCCAAGTTTTTTGTTTTACACAACGTTTGTAAGGAGCTGCAACCATTACACCATGTTCCACATGACATCTTAAGTAATAAATAATAATAAACTAAATTAAAAAGAATGACCTCTATCAGCAGGATGCATGGTGAAATAGGAGCACGCACTTACATTCTCGTGGGAACAACACGCAAATACATAGTCGAAACAACTAATATCACCGCATACACAAATTCTAGTACAACCAGTCACCACAAGCATATGTACTTAACTCCCTTATTTATAAACACTAAATCACTTTATACTGTTAGCATTCATCACATGTCTGTCAAATAAAGTATTTACTTTGTCATTTAGTTTAGCCGTGCAATTAATTTGCAGATAATTTTCTTTATGTACGGTATATAGTGCCAAACCATTTTCGTTTGTGAAAGTACCTTTTCTACTTCGGTCTAATAAAATTACCTTGACAGTGAACTAAATCGAATTGACCTTGCGACGATCCGGCTATTGTCCGTCGACCGTCATTTGAAATGGATGGTGTGGAAACTCTCATCAATATACAGCTGGCATGTAAAATATATATGGGGGTGGAGCAGATTTTTAAAGTGATGAATTTATAATAATGATCTGATCTAAAATTGTCCTGATTCATGTGCACTTTTGATTTTTCATGTGTCCTTTTTTAGTTTAGTTTTTTTTTCTTCCTGTTTTAGTTTTGTGTAATTAACTATATGTATTATGTATTTTGCACTTATTGCTTACCCTATCTGATTTAATATATTTTCTTTTTTTTTCAACAGTCAGAGCCTGGAAGAGATCGCTCGAAAGCGATAAGGCCGCCAGTTGCCCTCCTTTACATTTAATTTTGTCACTTTTATTACTTTATTGCAACGAAGTATTAATAAATAAATAAAACTTTTCATAGTACCTAATCAATTTCTTTGAAAATTTGCAATCGAAGTATTACACATTGTTTCAATGTTATGAATTAACTTTAAAGTAACTGTTCCTAGAGAATTTAATGAGAAAAACCTCCTTTGAGGTCCATTATAGATGTAGGTCCACAAAAAACATCGATGCTACGCTGTCTTTACGCCTACTGATTTTAATACATATTTTATCAATAGAATAATCATTTCTACATAGTAAAAAACAAAAAATTACATTCCTTAAGTTAACTTCTAAGCTAGTTTTAAAGGCATTAGTTATGTATTGGAAACACAATATACATATTTTTATAATTAAATAGGTTACTTTTATCTATCTTATACATATTAATGAGGCTTGAACGTAATTTTAAACGTATTATTGTTATACAAAATGTTGTAAATTACATGGAAATGAAAATTGGAATTTAAATACGTGAACATATCTACTAAGAAATGCCAGATGAAAAATTAATCGGTCATATAACGCGATCACTATTAGCATAGTTTCATTATTACTTTAAATTTAGGAATGACAGTGCCATTCTTGTTTGTATTACAGCGTTTCAATATCTTGCATTGATGGACTTGGTAGTTCTCGTAACATGTAAAAATAATTTTATCCGCCATCATCTGTTTTGCATGATCTGTAAGGTTATTAGATTTTTTATTTTAAATATTATATGGTGTAGTAACTTGCCGTTTATTATTTTATATCAGGGCACGCATCCTATAGAAATTGCTTTACACACGAATAAGCTCCCGCCAACTTAAAGATAGTTCCTTCTTATTAACATTAGAGTAATAAAAAAAAAAGTAAATAGCTATTTGGTGTTTATAAAAGGGGCTAAAGCAGTCCGGACTTACTCAAGCGTATATAACGTCAACAGGCATCTTTGGAGGTGCGTCAAGTGGGCAGACGGGCAGTGAATCAACTTTCTGGCCGAGGGATGGGGGATGACGTGGTCATCATACACTTCAACGATGTCTACAATATCGAGCAGGTTACTAGTAAGTATTACAGCTTCAAGAAAGCAATATGAGTAGTGTAAGTAGGTTAGATGTGGGCTTCTCTACCCTAACGGCTCATGCCCACGAGACGGGTTTTCGCCGGGGCGGCGTCGGGTGGTTGGCGTGATAGTGTCCCATACAAGACTGACGTCCGGACTTAGACCCGGTTTTTCGCCGGGCTTAGCTCTAGCGAGGGCATGAGCCCTGATGTCGTACCTTTGACCCTTGGCCTTGTACCAATGAATTTTATTTTCTAGATGTCATTAAGATTTGATCTTCAAATTCGGCGTCTTGTTTTACTTCCCGAGTCGCAACTTAGCGCTGAGAAGAACTCCCCTATGAGAGAAACGTATTAGATTTGGCATTTGGTTTTCTAGAAAAATCACATGCTTCTATCAAATCCGTCACTTTACCGACTGATTCATTTGAAATTTAAAACACATGGATTTTTTTTAATGTAGCCGTAATATTTAGTCAATTTAGTATACAAATATGATAAAAAGTGGATTTTGGATTTTTTTCAAATCCGACATTGTTCTACGATCATGACAAAATATTGGTCGTTGTATGTCCGGGCTGCGCGATACAAAACTGAGTCTTTTGCATTAGTGTTGATGTGAGGAACATGAAACAAAGCACGATTACGAGTCTTGTTATGCTATTCCTTTTGGAATAAATAGGTAGATGAAGGTCGTCCAGCTGTTCTGAACAAAAATAACCTCGAAACCTTACAATAGTTTGGTTTAGACAAGTGTGGCATGCAATTGATCACTTCAGGAAAAAATATTGATGGATCGTTTTAATTAACTTTGGAGAGATTAATCATACATGTCAAAATACTCTTTACTCGATTAAAATGCCATGGTCCGTAAATATTACATTTGGATAGTCACGCAACTTTTTCGTTTACGTTGTATTTATATACCTTCGTACAGTAATGATTAAAGCGCGGGTTTGATTGCCAATGAAGTAATAGTTCGGGTTAATCACAGAACACACCTCCATTTATATAGCACACGCAATGTGTCAGACTTTTTGGGGGATTAGGCGATTATTTTCTATGCCAATATGAGCATATTGCATTGAATAATCACAAATAAGTACACTTAAACCCTTTAATGTGGTCAATATACTTCATATCCTGGCTACTATTATAAAATACAGTGTAAAGTCTTCATAACGTCTTTCGTAAATTGAGCAAAACCCATATATTAATTCACCCTTTATAACGCAACAGCCATTCTCTATTACGAAGAAATATTTTCATATTTAGACATCAACAACATACTTAAGTGTAAGTTTTTATAATCAGCTTCAAAACTAACTAACACCTGAAGTCATAAACAGCCGCCTTTGTTATTGTTAATTGCATTAACACGTGTGCCATTATTCTTAGATTATATTGTCTGTAGGAAATTTTGGTCGAAGTACAACAAATATTGGCATAGCAAAACACGTCAGGCAAAGTTAACAGAATATATTTATTTAGAATAATTTACCTATTATTCTATATAAATAAAATTAGAAATTATTGTAATTGGTTAAATTTGTTTTGTTTTCTCTTCTCTCCTTATAACGAACACTCTCTATAACGAAAGAAATGCTGGGTCCCTTGAAATTTTTTAGAAAGAGTTTACTCTGTATGTTAAAAAATATAGAGTTAAGCTCGATCCCTTTTTCTAAAATAATTTACAAAAGCATCAAACATCATGGTTATTTTCCAATAATTATTTGTGATATATTTCAGATACAGAACCAGTGGGAGGTGCCCTGAGGTTCAGTACAGCTGTAAAGTCATTGCAGCATCTCAATCCTTTGGTTTTGTTCAGCGGGGACGTCTTTTCGCCTAGCATGTGTAAGTGTTTTAGTTTTTAATATTTCTGGGCGTGTTAGTTATTATTATTATTATTAAAGCTATATTAATCCATACAACAATTGGCCCGTGTACATTCCTTAATATTAGTATTAGTTGTGTTAGTATAAGTTAAAAAAAATTTATTAGATTTTATTTTTTCAGTGGTCTAGTTCTTGTATGGCAGGGGCCATAAGGGTAAAAGCCTCCTCCATATTTATCCATTTCTCTTTGTCTTGAGCAATATTCATCCATATTTTTCCCGCCAGTTCTATAATGTCATCTGTCCATCTTTTCTTTTGTCGTCCTATGTACATCTCTTTCCAGTAGGTCCAGTCCATTTCGTTATTTCAAGTCCATCTTTTATCCCGCGCTCTAGCAATATGACCTGCCCATTTCCATTTAAGCCTTAGAGCGTGTACAAGTGCATCTGTAAGTTTTCTTTTTTGCGGATGTCAACATTTCTTATTTTGTCTATTCTCCTCAACTTTAAGATGCTTCTTTTCATTGCATGCTGGCAAGACAGGATTTTTCTAGTAGTTTTCTGGTGTGTTAGTTACTCTCCCGTTTATTTGGTCGTAGCTTCATATAGCTTACTTTCCTCGATTACTGCGCGCCAAAGCAATTTGTCAATTCCAATCATTGAGTTTAGTTACCCAAGCAAACAATGTGTACATAATTTTTTTTTTTTTATCTTCTACATGATTAGTACATATAAACTCTTTTGCAACAACGGCACCTAAAGAATTTTACGTGCTAAGGTCGATTTCAGTTAATTGTCTAAACAATTGTCTGACGTAATCTGTATATTTTTAACTTGTCTACATAAAAAAGCTGACATTTTTCAGCCCTATCTGTTATCCGAGACCTAATGTTCCACAGCCGATTTATTATAGAGAACTCAGAAGAAATTATGTTAAATACCATTGTTTTTTTAAATTTATTTATAAGAAAATTATTTTCAGTGAGCACATTCACGAAGGGAGAACAGATGGTGCCTGTGTTGAATGAAGTTGGTACACATTGTGCAGTTTTTGGGAATCACGACTTTGGTAATTTTTTTTATGTAAAATTGCAATTATCGGGGAAAATGTATTGTCTGACATACACGTCCTAGGAATATCAGTGTTAGGAAATAGAATGGCTGTCTTCGATTCCAAAAAGCTTATTGGAAAACGAGACAATGATTATTTAATCATATCTGCATACTTATGGCTCATTCTTTATGCCCTACGTCCGATAATAATATTTGTAACTAGCAACCCGTCCTTCGCAAGGGCAAGTGTATATAAGAAATTATAACCTTATTAAATATATATTAAATAAACCTTACTTGAAGCAAGGAACAAAGATGGTATCAAATAACCACTTCTTTCTTGTGTCTTTACCCTTCTGTGTAACATAATTGTTTAGCTCATAAGCTTATCCAAAACACAAACTCCACTTAGATTAAAAAAATTAAAAACCCTTAAGTTATTGGTAAAAACTGCGATAAAAAACTATTTTTTAAGTTTAATTTTATATATTAAATTATAAAATGACACAAATGTTGTTGCACACATTTTTATGGGCATAATCAAGCTTTATTTAGGACTCAATATGTGTAATTAAAGCAGCGTTCGTAATAAATGCTTTAGATTGACTGTAAATAGTCGGTCTATCACTAAAAACCTTTATAGATTTTTTGTTTATTGAGAAAGACAGCTTATAACTAAGTTACTAAATATACAGTTCTTTTTACGCCATTAAAAAAATCTTTACATATAATTAAGTATTTAACAATTAAATGGATTGACTTAATAATTTTAATCCAACTATCAATATCTATCAAAGATAGTAAAAAAAATATATATATTTATCTTTGACACAAATATCGGAATTATATTAGATTTTTTTATTCGGTTAAATAAATTACCCTTACAACCTCACAGACTACCACTTCATAACATTAGTATAGATAAATTATTATTTTATGAAAATTTTATTTTTAGATTTTGGTCTCGAGGTCTTATCCGGTTTAGTGGCCAAATGCAACTTTCCGTGGTTGATGTCAAATGTAATTGATAACGAGACGGGAAGGCCGCTGGGTGATGGCAAGATAACACACGCACTTATATGTAATGGACATAAGATTGGACTTATCGGATTGGTCGAACAGGTACGTGAAAACGTCGATGTTGCAAGAATAAAAAAATCGCGAAATAATACGATAATGTTAACCTCAATTATTCCTAAAGTATTTATCTTAGTAATTATAGTGAAAATTAAAGAGCAGTGTTAGTTCAGTGTTCGACTCTCATCCCTGAGTCGTAGGTTCGATCCCCGGCTGTTCACCAATGGACTTTCTGTCTATGTGCTCATTTAACATTCGTTCGATAGGTGTAGGAAAACATCGTGAGGAAACCAAGCCTTAGAGTTTAGACCCAAAAAGTCGACGGCGTGTGTTTGGCACTAATCACCTTCTCAGTTCTCGATCACATTATTTATATACGACCTTTTATTAAAGTTAGTACCGCCTTCGTTACCGTGGTTACGATGTTATTTCTACATAAAAAGTACCCTTGCATGTTTTATAATAACGCTAATATTAAAATAAAGTCTGCGTTTTAATCATTGAATAAAATTATTATGTAAAAACGAAGCATGCAGCCATACAAGATACACCCTACAGATACATTAAAGTTTTGATTTTGAAACATTTTCTATTTCACAAATTACATAAATTATCCTCCGTATCCCTAAGTTATCAAGTTATAATTAAATATACATTAGACACGTAATTATAATGTGCTATTCAAGTAATCGAAATTCCAATGAATTTTTTGTAATATATTTAAAAATCAAAAATCGAGTGTCAGGCACAGCAGACTGACACTTGCCTATAAAAAAGCTTTAAGTGGCTTCCATAATTTGTCTCGTCATTGTTGTCTAATATCTTATCAGCGACTAACTTTAAGCATTCAAAATGACCTGTTGGTTACAAAAAGACGCTAGATTGAAAGTGCTGTTCTGAACTAATTCTATTCATGCAAATTAATTTATTCAGGAATGGCTGGACACGTTAGCAACTATAAATCCAGAAGAGGTGACGTTTATTGACTTCTTACAAGCAGGTTCCAAGTTGGCTTCTCAGCTCAAAGAAGAGGTTTGTTTGTTCTTCAAAAGTCTTGTCAAGATCTGTCGCCTATGACGTTTTGCTAGCGGTTATCATTTCTATAATAAATCCTATAAAAATATATATAATATTTATTTACACTTATTTGGACAAGAATTAAATGATAATATTAACAATAAACTTAAAACATAGTGCAACGGGCGGCCTTATACCAGGCGATCTCTTCCAGGTAACCCTAATTAACGAAAGTAATATTAATAATACATCTAAAACAAAGAAATCCTAATATTAATAATGACAAATAATAACTTACCAAAACACAGAAAACAAAGCAAATGTAAAGAAAAAACATGATTACTTAAAATAACTGCTTTGATTTCCAATATAACACTTACCAGTATAAGTGTAGTTAACAATAGCTATACTTATAATAAAATTTACACAATAGATAAAAGCCAAAAACAGAATATAGATAGTGCAATTCACGAAGACGCGCCCCACCAATTTTTGGTTGAGGGGATCGCGGGGTGCGGGGAGTTTGCGCCGAGCGTCAGTTGCGAACCGTTAGCTATTCATTGTAGTGTGCGTGTGTACCGACGAAAGCTTGCACAATGCACACATATACTATAAACGGTTAGAAGGAATAGTGGCGCAAATCTTCGTGGATTGCACTATCTGTACACATGTAAACAAAAATGCATTTTTTTTGTACTATGACACGTACTTCCAAATAATAAGATGGATTGCTCATTAAAAAAGTTCAGTATTCATGAGGGCTAACAAAACAAGATTTTCTAGAGTAAAATTTTTGTTTTTTTTTCAGGGCTGCGAATATGTTATTGCACTAACGCATATGAGATCACCAAATGACATAAAACTTGCAGAGGGCGACAATAAAATAGATCTCATATTGGGAGGACACGATCATGTCTACGAAGTTCTAGAGGTAATATTTGCAGAGCAGGGGCTTGAGACAAAAACAGTGGGTCACGCCTGTCGAAAAGTGCAAGCAACCCATTCACTTGAATTTGTATGGAAATGGTCAAGTGACAAAGCGTGAGCGTGATTTTTCCCATACAAATTCGTTTGGTGATGATGGGTCAAAAAAATAAAATAAATCAGTAGCGCTACAACCTCTTTAGGTTTTGGCCTCAGATTTCTGAATCTGTTTCATGATCATTTTTAAATCTAATAGGCAAGTAGGTGATCAGCTTCCAGTGCCTGACACACGCCGTCGACTTTTTGTGTCTAAGACATGTTTCCTCACGATGTTCTCCTTCACCGTTCGAGCAAATGTTAAATGCGCACATAGAAAGAAAGTACATTGGTGCACAGCCGGGGATCGAACCTACGACCTGAGGTATGAGAGTCGCACTCTGAATCCACTAGGCCAAGACTGCTGTGTTGATGGATCAAGCCTGTCGAAATTTTATTTTGTCTCAATAAATCGCGGCCGCCGCTGTGAAAACCGCTGTGTGAGTTCGAAAAGTGAGTTACAGAATGGCAAGGCAGTTTTATATTATAACTAGCTTCAGAAAAAGGAGGTTATTACGTAGTACGTAATGTACGATCTATTTAAATACTAAATCACATGTCTTAATTTTAAAATTTCCTGAAAATTGGATTTATTTGCATTTTCAATTGTACGTATAGTTTCGACAGTATGAATGTATCGAATATCAACTTTCGGTATAGTTATCTACTACTCGATATACTTGACCGTTCATCTTACAGTATAAAACAAAATATCCTCCAATCATAGCTTTGTTTTTGAACACGTTTTCATATTTCCAAAATTCCAGATTTTTGAAGTGAAACTTTATTGGGGTTGGAAAAAAATTTAGTGTAAAATTTTTGCGTTACGCGTCACATTTTTCCGTTACGCGCCATGTTGCTTTTCGAAGTCAAACTTCTTTATCGGCGTTAAAATATGACATATAGTATGTTTTTGACTTTGAAGTTGCCAACGGATTACATTTTCGACTTGAAATTTGCTAATCGCAATTTGCAGCAATTAATTTGTAAATTGTATGCTAGGCAGTGTATCAAAATTTACTGTGTTTAAAGAAATAGTTTCGGACCTCTAAACTTAAAACAAACCAATAATGGCTCTGCGTACAACAAAGGTTTTATATAAGTTTCACTTCTTACGTGTGTACACCTAGTACACGCACACATTTTTTTTTATACATGTGTCTTTACTAAGACATCATGGAACATTACGATCTAGCCTAACTTAAGACTAATAAGTAATTTTAGTCTAACCTAATTTACTAATAAGGATTTTTACATAAGAAAGTGTCCAATAACACAACTTACAATCTCTATTAAAGGGAAGTCACTCTGTTCTTGTGTTCTATTTTTTTTCTTTCACTCACTGTGTATTTCGAAAATTCCAGATAAACAACAAATACATAGTGAAGAGCGGCACAGACTTCCGTCAGTTTAGTAAAATTAATATAAACTTTGCCGAAGACTGCGCACGCGTTGACATTTCAGAAGTGGGTGTCACCAGTTCCTTTGAAGAGGACCCGATTTTGAAGTCTAAGGTTGAGCAGTATTCAGGTAATAATTTCTAACTATACAGGCTGTATAAAATCAGCGGAAAGCCTATATTAGGTAGTGTTTAATCCCAGATATTGTATAAAAAAACGTGTGCCACTCGGGGACTGCCGCGGTAAAGCTATTGCATAGCATTTTTTATTTATGCAGTATTTTCTTTTTCTTTGATATTAATTCAAAGAAGAAAAAAAATTCTCTAATGGTGGAGCGTATTCAAAACAAATTTTCGAGATACATATACATGAGGTTGTATGGAGTGTACCCATTTTACCCAATAATGTATCCAACTTTGTGTGTCTTGGGCATGGTTGGATACAACAAATTAGAGGTAAGGGACCTTACTATCACGTTATATTTTTTTAAGATCCTTAGAGGTAAAATCTATAATGCGGAAATGTTGGAAAGACTGGGGCTGCGTGTGCCGAATAACCACACTCGGCGTGGTAAGAGGTCGCAATTGCTGGCAGTGCCTCGGGCGCGTACGGACTTACTCAGAGAAGCACCATTTACGCACCCTAAATATTATTGCATGTGAGACGGATATATTCAGTTGCACACTAATTATAAATAATGCAAGAATTGCATTATTTATTATTAGTTATAAAATGGTTTAGGTTTTTAAGATTTTACTTTTTATGTTTATATTATGTTTTTACTTTAGTTCTCTATTGTATTAGTATTAAGTTACTGTAAAAATAGGAAATAAGGAAATAAATAAATAAAATTCAATTTACCACTCTACTAGACTCAGACTAACACGCCTATATGGTCTGTCTCACTCTAACCGGCTGCACCGGCCGCGCTTAAGCTACGTCACCGATCTCGTCAGAGAGATGTGAACACGCAGTATGCGTTCTGTCCCGCTCTAACGCGTATTGGCCGCACCTATATTACGTCATCGTGTGTTAGGTTTGCATTTTCGTTACGGAATTTCTTGATTCGGTCGCCGCGCTCAAAACCCGCGATAAAATATGTGCAATAGCTTAAAAGTTTTTATTGTTTGTTCTCATAACAAATTGCCTAAATTTCAATGTATTATACCACTTTGGGATTCGGGCTAAATGCGCCATCTTTTTATGTCACTGCAAAATACGTATTTTTTGCCTGTTCTTCTCAGAACAAGGCCTCCTGGTAGTTTTGCTCTTTCGCGAATTTCGTAAACGTTTCTGACATTCATAAGCATGCCCTAAGACGCATCTAAACTGAATCAATGTATTTTGATTGATTGATTGCAAACACTAGCACCTTTGATCTTTCTCTATGCGCAATTAACACTTCCAAGCAATCATGAAAATCATGTTGGAAACTCCAATTGAACGTTTGTGTCATAAATCTACCTAAATAGAGAATTCATATCCTTTATTCAATTAATTCAAAAAGTTGAGGCGTCGATTCGAAGAGTGTACTATATTATTCTTATCTTCAAAAATCGTAAAAAATCTCTTGTTTTTACTCTATTTTTAAATGAAACTCCTCTTCATTATATATTAAATTGTATTTGTAGCGATGATTGATGGCAAAATGGATGAAATACTGGGCAAGTTCTATGTGCCTTTGGAAGGTCGGTTCTCATGCATTCGTCGTCAGGAGTGCAATCTTGGCAACTGGGTGTGTGATGTATTACTGGCAGCGACAGGAGCTGACCTGCTCTTACTCAATTCTGGGACTTTCCGATCTGACCAGGTATGACTCTTTAAAGACAATGTTTAAAGGTTTTTGGGAATATTTTGAACTTATTTCAGGAGTTCGTCCTTCATGAAGTTCCTATGCAGGATTTCTTGGGTTTTTTTTTATATTTAAAGTTGCAATCACAACATTATACATATCAAACTAACACTTCCTGTTTGTTAAGAAGTTTTTTTTTTCTAATTATTTTTTTTAATGTTGGTCACACTTGTTTATGACTTTTCCTTTTTCTTTTGGTTTATGCAAAATTGTCGTTGACACTTAGGTATTTCTTTTTTGTAGGTTAGTTCGAAAATTCTGTTTTATTTTCAAAACTAAATTTATTTTAGCTACAATATTCATAGTAGAAAGGGCTTACTCTATGATCGTATTGTCTCAAACACATTGTACATACCGTTGATGTTTTAGTTCTAAAATTAATTCGCCATTTCCAGGTCCATCCAGCAGGTGATTTTACTCTTCGAGACCTGTCTACTATAATTCCGATGCGAGAGCCTCTGGTAGTAGTGGAAGCAAGTGGTGAAACGGTTCTGAAAGTGCTGGAAAACTCTGTCAGCAAGTATCCAAGTCTTGAAGGACGGTTTCCACAGGTACTAAATATATTACAACTTTTTACGCCAATAAAAAAATCTTCACATATAATCAAGTACATACTTAATAATTAGATGGATTGGTACAAATAAAAGCATTAATTACTTGGCGTATCGTTGCCAGTTAATAGCGCGCAAGCTATTGCAATAATATTCCTAAACATTTCTGGTAACACAGGAACGCCTGGGTCGCTATGACTCCCTTAGCCTTAATGATCCTTAGTTTATTATTGAATTGTACTGCGTGATACCAAGTTTGCGACATCAAAGGATATTAAATTGACTATATCGTGTCAACATACATCAATCAGTGATGGCTTCAGCGTGCGACTCTCATCCCTGAAGTCGTAGGTTCGATCCCCGGCTATGCACCAATGGCTTTTATTTCTATGTGCGCCTTTAACATTTGCTCGAACGGTGAAGAAAAACATCGCGAAAAACCGGCTTGCCTTTGACCCAAAAACTCGACTGCGTGTGTCAGGCACAGGATGCTGATCACCTACTTGCCTATTAGATTGACAAATCATCATGAAACAGATACAGAATTCTGTATCTGTGGGAGGTTGTAGAGTCACAGATTTTTGTTTTATATCGTATCAACGCTATATAATGACCCCTTAAATTAATTAAAAGAAAGTTGTAATTCAAATAAAAAGCAAGTATGAAATACTGGAATTCTGACTGCGTCTTTACATAGCATTATCATATTTATATCAGGTTGCCGGAGTTTCGTTTGCCTTCAATCCATCGAAGCCTGCAGGTGAAAGGGTAGCGGAAGAAGTGGTCAAAATTGGCGATGAATACCTACAAAAGGATCAGAAGTATAGACTTGCGATTAAACAGTATTTGCATTCTGGTAACGACGGGTTTACAATGCTACCTCAGTGTCCGGTATTGGTGAGTTTTGATTTAATTCTATTCGTATAAGGGAGCGTTCAAGTATTAAGTAACGAATTTTGGGAGGGGGGGGTTTGGTCATTTTGTAAAACGTTACGATGCGGGGCGGGAATTTAATTACACGTTATTGTTAATATTATTTTAGACTTACACCACATAATAGTAACTGAAGAGTCACTAGGTGGTCACGAAACGTTTAACTATACTTGGGTACTGAAAAACGTTACGGCGAGTTACATGGGGGAGGGGGGTCAAACTTCTCCAAAAATTGCGTTACGTAATACTGAACGCTCCCTAAAGTAATTATCAATAAAGCCTTGTTTCTGCACTATTGATACCAAATTAATTCGAGTTGAGAGTTTAGACTTACTAATGTTGGCCACCCAAAAATGTAATAAAAAAAATTGTTATAAGTAGGAGAAATAAATTTCAAAAATATTTATATAATGAAATCAATTTATTTCCAACACACAAATAAACAGTATTCTTAACCTATATAGTAATATAATTACAAAATGTATAAATATAAAATTAAAACAAATTTAAAAAGTCTGGTCCCTGTGACAGTGTACCTTTAATGCTGGCAGCATTTCTATGTTCTATTTCAAAGAGCCGCTGGCAAGTTAAACAGCTTAAATAACAGATTAGCAATTAATGTATACTTGACCAGAGATTTGACTCTTATTTAGTAAACTTTTGCCTTTAATATTGGCAGCATTTCAAAGAAATGCAAAGAGCAGCTTGCAAGTTAAACAGCTTAAACAACAGGTTAGCAATTAATGTATACTTGACCAGAGATTTGACTCTTATTTAGTAAACTTTTGCCTTTAATATTGGCAGCATTTCAAAGAAATGCAAAGAGCAGCTTGCAAGTTAAACAGCTTAAATAACAGATTAGCAATTAATGTATACTTGACCAGAGATTTGACTCTTATTTAGGAAACTTTTGCCTTTAATATTGGCAGCATTTCAAAGAAATGCAAAGAGCAGCTTGCAAGTTAAACAGCTTAAACAACAGGTTAGCAATTAATGTATACTTGACCAGAGATTTGACACTTATTTAGTAAACATTTGCGAAGCTGATTATTTGAAACTTAACATCGAGTTAGGGAAATTAAAAACATAGTTTCTTTTAAATGTGTTGTACTCGCATATATATCCTAATATATTTTATTTTTTGTTGTGTTTGTACGGAAATTTCACATATTTGTCTAAATATTTTAGGTGTCAGATGACATGTGCCCAGAAATAGGTATGGCGATACAAAACCACTTTGCTGCGATCAACGTACGAACGGGACGTTCTCGGCCTTCTAAGCATAGACAATCGCTCGTTACGCTGAGCCGTCGGTATGAATTATTACTATTTCAATATTGTTTCATACTGTACATTTTCAATTTATTCAAAGTCTCGATTCAAAAGAGTTTATATATCTGTTGATCGAGCCTTACAATTATTACCTTAGCCTTTTAATTCGAAACAAAAGTTGAGGTTAGCGCTTTCACCAACCAAACAAACATACTTTTCAGCTTTATTATATTAATAAAAATAATTAAATTTAACTATTTTGACACTTACTTTAAATTTCTATGTATTATTACTGTTCTCTAAGAATATTTTTTTTTGACAAAACAAATAGGTTCATTTTTAACTGATTTTAAACCAAATTGTTCCAGCCACAGTCTTGTGAAGATGTTGGACAACAGTGAGCTGGATGGTCCACCTCCGTTGAGGAGAGCATCATCAGCCGCTGAGTCACCACACACGCACCACAGGTATTATTTATTATATATTCTTAAGCGCGTTTTGAAATCATTATTTTTAATTCTTAAACGCCGGATGACAATACAAATGGGTCATTATTATACGTGCAAAACTGTCTTTAAGTTTTATAAATTTGTTAACTGTCATGACAAGAAATAATTTTCAGTTTTTATTAGCAGTACGTCCTATTGAATACGCATAGCAAGCATTAATATACATATATTATTTGCAGATTGACGCGTCGCGCATCGCTGGATGATTTGGAGCAAAACGCTTGTGAACTTGCCCCAAAAGTTGAGAATAGGATAATTGTACTAGACAAGCCAGATGTAAGTAATTAAAAATACATTGTTACGACCTAGGGGATCGGAAAGAAAACGTAGATCTCTCTTCAAGGGTTTATTTTTAAATAAATCTACGAGGAATTTGTTTACACTTAAAAGCCATAAATCAAGCACAGAAATACACTAATACACATTAGTGTATTTCTGTGCTTGATTAGTTATTTTAATTACGAGCAATTCACACAGTACTTTACCATATTTGGTATCGCACTCGAAACTAAATTAATTGGTCGTACCGCTCGCTCATATATCCCTGGGAATAATCTTGAACGATGTTCGAGAATTCTCTAGGCAGGATTGCTACTGAGTAACGATTGCACAATTCTAGAACGTCCGTACTCTTTATCTCTTTCGCACATAGCTCCATCCTTGTCGTACGGCGTTCTAGAGTGTTCCGTCTGGCTTCATAAACATAAAAACCAATGATATCATTAAATTCAATTCAATTTATCCGTCAATTAAAGACCGGTGCGTAATTATTTTAAAATGAGGTCAAGGTCAAGTTTGTTCAAAAATTAAAACGTGATAAATAGCATGTTTATTTGGAATAGATAAGTAACATTATGATGAAAGTCAGTAAAATTATTCGTTATTAATTTTGAAAAATACACAGAAATTTATGTAGCGATGCTACAATAGGTTACTATTCCAAGAGTAGACTTTCATTAGAAAAATAATAAAATTAACTACTAAAACTTAAAAAACTGAACATTAAAAAGAAAGATGTGTGGGTACCCACATAATCATAAATTAGGTACAAAGTGGGTCTAGGAACCTGTTATTAACGCCTGTGCCTAGTGTCGAGGTACAGGGAGTCTTTAAAAGTTTGCTTTTATAGTCTTAATTAACATAATTTGTAGCAATTAAATATGTACTTACTAGGTAATTAATGATAATTTAATTTCAGAAATTACAAGAACTATTGGGTGAGCGGGCGAGATGGGAGTCGGACTCGGTGATCAAAGAGGTCGATGATGAAAGCTCACCTTAAACAATGTAAGGTTCACATTACGCAATGTCTTTGATGCATTAATTTTTCCTTTGTAATTGAACAATTGCGATGCTAGTAACAATTTAAACCTTATGTGTATGGTAATAAAGTGACGTATAGTTTGGCCACTGTCAAAAGTAATTTTTAAGTTTTTTCTTACTAAAAGTCTAGTGCAGGTCGAAAAAACTGTAAATTTTAATCACAGTTTACACTTGGGCACAAGTCACTAACGTAAATATATTTATTTATTGATTTAAAGCAACATTTTTTCACTTACCACTTAATCAAATGAAGTTTCTGGCAATTTGGAACTCGGTGAACCCTCTTAAACGCAAATAATATTACTATGGGTTATTTATGTTAAATAAAACAAATGAATAAAGAATATTTAAAAAAAGAACAACAAAACAAGTAAAACTAAACCTTAACTGTTAAATTAATTAAATATGGGTGCCGGTTTTCTATATAATTTATACAAGTTATTTAAGCACGTTTTCCTAAGCCTTACAAAGTTACGAAAATTTCCAAAATTTGATATGATTTTTTTAAACAATTTAATAAATCAAGAACGTCAAATACACGATCACCGATCATCTTTTCCATATAAATAAAAATCCAAACATTGATTGTATCAAAGGACATTGTGGAATGTAAGTAATATTTAAGTATTAATATTGTTTTAGGTTGTGTTAAGACAACGATATTATTTTAGCGACAATTGAATCATAGTTATAATTTATTTATGTAATCAGCGGTCTAAGTAAAATAATAATCTAAAGTTAAAAATTATATTTCTTTTTAATTTATAATTTATTCTATATTCAACGTCTAAAAAATTGAACCTTTTATACGTAAAAGACAATCTAATCTTATAAGAATCTCAATGCTTTTAGAAAAGGCTTTACGCATTTTTTTTATTGCGTGTAATAGCATTGTATTTAGCGATAATACTAAAATCTAATTATGTTTGTATAGATGTAAAATATTATATCAATATTGCTGGACATCGCTACTGTTACTGAATGAAAAGCGTTTTTAAACAAAATACCAGTCGTAATACTAGTCATTTTAATACAAATGTGGAAAATGCAGTTCAATATTCATACTAATAGTTTAGAAAAATTCTTCGCTTCCATGAAAATATTAGTGCAATATATGAACTTACGCAACCACTCAATCGATGTATCAAGGGGAATTTTCTTTCTATGTGTGCAATAATTAATACGGGATTATTAATAACTTTATAAATAATGAGAAAGCTGTGTGTGACATGTGTTAGTGTTACTTTTAAAAGAAAAATCATCATAGATCTGAGGCTTTATATATATTGTAATAGAAAAGCGACACCTTCCCTACAATCTGGGCCTATGTATCACTACGATGACGTCATATTCTGAAACGCGCTAACGTTATTCCGACCGCTATGGATACAACTTCTCGATCTTAGCCACTGGGGCTTCCGGCCCAGTATGATCCTCTTTTTAGGTTGGAGGAACATTTTTGTATAGAAAGCTTAAGCGCTATACGGGCATATTTGTTCAAACATTATGTTCCAAGGCAGGATCCGTCTAGGGTTGAAGCGCCACTGAAATATTTTTATACCTTTACTATTGGTATTTTGATGGATGCTGATAAAAAAACTTCGCCGGTATTGTAACTTAGGTATACCAGTACTAGAAAATATCGATCTTGCAGAGGTAGCAACTAGATTCACTCGGCTCCGCCCATAACTATTATAACATACACTGAACAGTGCCTTTATTTGTTTTAAAGATCTGTTAGCTTTTTATTACAAATTTTAAAATAGGTTAGTAAAGTTCGCTCATATTAAGAACAAAGTAAGAAAGCATAAGCCACCAATAAAAACGAATACTAGAAATAACAAACTGTTATTTCGTTTTAAAAATATGTTTCGCGTTTCAAATTGTGCAAAGATTATTATATTATCCGACTTTTGAGTGTAAACACAAAACCTCAAAAAAGGTATCATAATTTTCAGTTTTCATGTCATTTCCTGGCCTTTGTTCTTTATTCTGAGCGAATACCGTAGTGATTATGGCACTACTGCAATAAATCTTCCAAACTCGATAGATTTAAATTTAATTAATAGAATTTCAATCGCTAAAAATAGTTTTAGTAGCAATTTTACTCTTTGTACCTCATTATCAAGGAATATATTATATTATTGCTAGTTTGGAAGCCTTTTTGCGTTTGGTAGGTATATAATATGTAGTGTCTTTAAACTAATTTCTGAATCTAAATACAGATAATTAAACGAAAACTGCCACAAATATATCATAATAAAAGAAATATTATTAAATAAAAGGATATTAATATGGTTTTCAATTATGTGATTTATAATTCTACTTAAAAGATTCCTTTACCCTTTATGCTAATATAAATAAATACAAGAATTTTACAATTACTTATTTTGAATTTAATGTAAAATATGTGTGTCAACCGTAGCACTTGAAACTACAATTCAAAATAAATATTTGTAGAATTGTGATAGACAAATTTAAATCGGGTTATTTATTACTACATGCCTAGGTATTTTATCTCCTACATGCCTGATGCTAACTGCAATAATCCTTTATACAAATACAGATTATAAATATTGACCAAAGTCAATACATAAAGTTACTATATTCTCTTGGAACCTTATAGTGATAAGCCCAACAAAAGATGCTAGCGCACCAAACATTTATATGCATGTAGTATTTGTTTACCTGAATATAAGTCGAAATAGATAGTATTAAAAAAAAGAAATCATTATATACATAATAAGCTATACCCAGTAAGTACATGTTCAATTCAATGGTATTCTATAAATTAAAGCCTCAAAGATCTACTAGGAGAAAGAGACAAATAGAGCTAGTTTTGTCTCTCTCTAACATACCATTTGTTTTAATTGGTAACATTGTTACTAGACTATTTTATGTAATATGAAATGATTGTTATTCTGTTACAGTATTTATGTTATTTTGATGTGTCCGGCAAATAATTTAGCCAGTCTATCTATACTGCCCAGATGGGCAGAAATTGTTTTCTTCCTACTAGAAGAATATGCCCACACTGGCCAAGTTATGTGCTGAAACAGTAGTTAATAATTTATTATGAAAAAGATTGCACTTTTATACAACCAAAGATCAATATTAATCACTGCTGGAAACTAGAATTATTATAGTACCTTATTTACTTCCATTAATTTAGTATTTGTGATAATTTAACAATGTTGTGATATTTGATGTTTATTTAAAATGTTACCATGTTTTTACTACAAAAATAAATTGATTTGGAAAATATATTCTTTTATTTCTTTATCAGATAAAAACTTTTACCAAATATAAACATTATGCAAAGTTAATTCATTATTTATATTTATTTATCTGGTATGAGTGATCAGTCTTATAAGAAAAGATCAAAATCTCAAACACCTATGTGGGGTGTAGACATGTTTCTGCTTGCAGTTTGCTGGTACAACTGTAAATTACTGCATATTCTTAAATATGTTTTACTGGTTATTTAAAACAAAACATATATGTATATAAGATGATACATTTACAAAGACGGTGTGTAAACACTCAAATTAAGCAATTAATGAACTCAGTATAAAAAAAACACATTCACAGTCAATTGTTTTATTTACATCATAAATTATTCAATATATCTAACGCATTTCTGCACACTTATAAAAATAAATTTTAACAGTTAATTTCCTTATATTTATATAGGTATGTTTTGCTCTTAATTCAATTATTGGAAGCTGTTTGAAAATTTGTTCTATACAATATAACTTGACATGAATCATGGTCTATGGTAAAAAACCATCAGTGGAAATTTACCAACAGAAAAGGATATTATATAATTGATATATGTATCAATTATAATACTATGGTATGACTGCAAAGATACACAGTTCCGATTCAATTCACTTCGGATCATCAGGTAAGGTCCTAACTGCATTTAGGACTAAGTAACAAAAATAAGTTAAAGAAGATATAGTCAAATTTGGTTTGCATTAATTAGCATGACATTCTTATCTCATAAATCAACTTTAGCTCCAATGTTACTGAGTGGTATGGCTTGTAACTCTGTCCTGAGGCAGAGAAACTCACCTGCTACACACATGATTGCAGCACAAGAAATGTTCAACGCCCACCATGAGAAAGTCGTAGGAAATAATCCATTGTAGAACCAACACACAATAAGGTGGATTCCATAATATGTGCAACTGTAATGCAAAAATATTATAATGTTTAAATTATTCATATAATCTCATAACATTTTAATTAAGAACCAAACAATTATATAATTACATTTAATTATAAACAGGGTATTTATTATACTTTTATGATGCTATTAAATACCCACCCAGTTGTCCAAAACATTTATTTTAATGCTATATTTTGTATAGTTACATATACTTAAATAATTGCATAAATTCAGATTAAAACTAATAAAAAGTAACATGAGTACATTTTCGAAATCCATCATTACCTGAAATCCAAGCACAGCTTTGTTCGTCCTACCAGCAACCATAATAAATATGCACCAACAACGGCATTTAGGACAAATGCAAATATCATTGATCGCCCTTCGCTATCTTTAACATGAATTTCCTGAAATACAGAACATAAAATACAAGTAATCAAAACATTTTAAAGCACTTCTAAAAGACATAGACATCTTCCTAAATTGTTGGTGATTAAAACTTTTATAAAACTCACATGATATTCAAATATGTGGTCTAAAGTCCTCGTAGATCCGGTTAGGTCCTGCATAATCGCGACCAGAAGACTAAGAGTAACGTAGAGCATGAACTGCATTGCTAAAATCTGGGATATTATAAGGCATGGGTCCCATTGTGTGTATCGAAATGACCCCGTCAATTTCTTTATTTTCGACATTTTCGACATGTATAATCGATCGTGAGCATTACAAATACATCAAATTATGTCTTAACGACGACGAAACAGATTTTTTTTTAAATCTAATAATGAATCCGCGATAACTTTTTAGAAGTATAATGGAAACTGCTGTCTATGCACTTTCGTATCACCATGTCAATTAGAAAATACTATAGTTTTAAGATATTTGTATGATATTATATTAAGATCTATTTTTGATTAAATAAAACATATGGAGCTATGTTTACAAAATTGTACAATTTCGTTTTTAACTTTCGTCACTTCGTGATTCGTCGTTCAAACAGTGACTGACAAACATACTTGCATTTTGTAAATTTCATATTTGACACTATAACTGTCAGTGACAATTTACATATTTTGAGGAACATCGTCAAGATAGAACTGAGGTTCAATGAATGCGTGTCAAATTTCTTCTAAGGACTGTATTGGTATGTTATTTAAAGCTGGCGGCTTCAACACATTTACACTTTGTGCTTGTGTAGTGTCTGTGAATAAGCGCGAGGCGTGATGTCAAACTGAAATACAATCACAAATACATCATGAAAAGACTGTCCGTCTCTCTCGCGCTCGGTCAAACTTATGAGTATAAAAGAGACAGCTATTGTTTTGCTTTTGCTACTGTTTATGCTGATCTTTACTATACATGTTGATCTTTTTTCAAACATTACCAGGGCAATCTCGTGAAATGGTGCACAATGTTTTTAATTATTTTAAGCATCTTAATAAAAACAGTTTAATGAAAAAATTTTATATTTCATTTGACATCAGATGCTGAAAGCTGAAAGCTAAATTGATTTTTTTTTATTTGTTGAAAGCTGGGTTCACCACCATACTCCTGAATCATAGCAACAGTCCAAACAATGGAAAATATCTGGATCACCTACTCCGAAAACGGCTAAGGTCGTTTTGTCGACCAACAAAGTCATGGCTAGATGGAGCGTTTGTCGAAAAATGAAAAATTATTTACACGAACTACTCTTTCACGTTCTTGGTCTGGCTTAGAACTTTTGGATCCACCCTCGTATGCACCTAATATTTATATGTATTTGACACATTTTTATTTATTTACAACCCACCCAACCTTACTAAAACCAGAGTGGACTAAAATATATAGCTTGGCAAAAAAATCATATTTTGAAACATACTGTATGTGAAATTGCATTAGTGTGAGTACTGTGAACCCGCCAGCTTTCGATAACCGACCTATAGTAAGTATATGCCCGAATTTATATAGGTCACTAGCTGACCGGGCAAACGTCGTTTTGCCATGTATATCATTTATAATAAAAAATAGGGGTTGATCGTAGAGGGGTGAAAATTAGGGGTTGTATGTATTTTTTAATGCTGTATCATAAAAAAATAAAATAAAAAGAAAATATCTAAAAATTAAAACAAAATAATTTAGGGGTGGACTACCCTTAACATTTAGGGGGATGAAAAATAGATGTTGTCCGATTCTCAAAGTTTCATGAGAATCGGTTAAGCCGTTTCGGAGGAGTTTAACTACAAACACCGCGACACGAGAATTTTATATATTAGATTATATTGTATGAGACTGTTTTAATAGCCTCGTCGATGGATGATCTACAAATGCTTGTTAATAAAGTTCATGAAACTAGCGAAAGAGACGGTCTGACTATTAATGCAGTAAAGACGAAGGTGATGGTCATTTCTCGAAACGACACTTTAGGTCCTAATTTATCCGTAGCTGGTAGAACGTTGGAACGTGCGGCAATACAAGTATTTGGGAACTTGGGTTACAAACGAGTGGAACCCTGATCAGGAAATTAGGTCCCGAATCGAAATGGCCCAAGGATCTTTCAACAAAATGAAGAAAGTTTTGTGCTGCCGTCACTTGACCATTAAACTCCGAGTCCGACTTCTCCTTTGTTACATATGGCCAATTGTTATGTACGGCTGTGAAGCTTGGACAATTAAAGAAGATACCCGCCGGCGCTTAGAAGCATTTGAGATGTGGTGCTATCATCACATGCTTCAAATAAGCTGGATTCCAAAAGGTCTCTAACGAGAAGGTTCTGAAACGAGTTGGAATATAACTTTTGCAGAACATTCAACAACGGAAAGTTGTGTACCTGGGCCACGTGTTGCGCCATGACCGCTACCACCTCCTTCAATTAATCCAGGTAAAATCCAGGGTAACGGCGTGTTGGTAGAAGGAAGAAATCACGCAACGTTCGAGAATGGACGCGTATTGCAACTGCGGAAGAGTTGCTGCATCTGGCACAGGACAAGACACGCTTCAAGATACTGACGGCCAACCTCCAGTAATGGAGAGGCACTAAAAGAAGAAGATGTAGATATGAGAACTGGCAGTAAATGTAAAATTAGAAGCATTAAATGTATATTTCTTTTTTGACGTTCATAAGTTTATATTGTGTTACCTATAAGAAAAATGATGTTTAACTTTTGACTTTGTATATATGTCGCAGCCAACTAGCTTAATTAGCCATTCTATTAACAGGATACACGTGTTACCATGAGTTTTATTATAATAATTAGGAAGTGTTATTGCCCTTTATCGCAAAAAAAATTGTAGATATATAGCAGTAAGTATAATATTTGATAATAGCTGATAGACAGTTTTATTGCCGCCAGATTAACTTTCTACCGGGAACCATTTTTTTTAAATACTTATATGAATGTCAATCCGGTTAATCATTATGTTTCGATTTATTTAATATATAAAACAATATAATAATTGCAGCATAATATAGGTAGATATCGCACGAAATTAAACAATGTATATATACATATATTATTTTTATAGAACAGCATATTTTTATAGGCAGGAGGTACATACACCTGATGGTAAGTGATAGTCATGGACACTCTCAATGTCAGAGAGCTCGCGAGTTCTTTGCCGACCTTTTAATAATTGGTACGCTCTTTTCTTGAAGAACCCTAAGTGAAATTGGTTTGGAAATACTTCAGCGAGTAGCTGGTTCCAAGTAGTGGTGGTGCGCTGGAAAAAACTGCGATAAATGACGCTCAGTTGTGGAATGACGGACGTCGAGGTGATACGCGTGGAATTTCGTATTCTGCCTCGACGTCCGATGATAATACTCAGCTGCAGGTATATATTCGAACAACATCTTTCCATGGTTAATGCGGTAGAAGATGCAGAAAAACCCCACATCTCTACGCAACGCCAAAGCCGCTCGGAAAGTGGCTGGTCTTCGACGATTCGAATCGCTCCACTTGACCATATGGTCAAATGGCCCGGAGTGAAGTACCGTCTCGCCTTGCCGAGCACATCAAGCGTGCTAAGGCTTAAGAGCCTAATTGAGGCTTTCCTTCCAAATTATTGCGAAACTGAACGTCGTTCGTTTTCGACTTCAGACACCAGTTTGTTCCAGCAGTGATCGACAATTGGGTTTTTGAAAAAAAAATTTTATGATAAAGGGAAAGATCATATATAAGTTTTATAACAAAACTATTTTTTTTATTTTTTTTCGCAATAATTCAAAAGTTATTTCAAAATAATAAATAATTTTTGAATCCAGTACCGAAAACACGCCGAACAAACCCGAGCGCGTGTGACGTCATAATGTTAGTTTTCACTCATTGCAGTTGATAGAAAAATAATAAATACAGTTTTTTGATCTATTTAATTTTGTTAATTAATATTAATATTTAATATATTAAATATACAATATAATATTAATAGCCGTAAACGCTGTACTGTTAAATTGCTTTAACATTATGACGTCACAACATGGTGATCGATCATTCATGGCGCGTTTATAGTCACGTGATTTTTATTTAAATTTCATCAATTTTTAATTGTTTATAATTAACTGAAAAAAATTTTTTTTAAGTTTTTTGCATTAAACATCAATATTATTACAATAAAGTTTTAAAATACATAAAAAAAATCAATATTTTTTTTTTTCAAAAACCCAATTGCCTGAGAAATGCACGGCTGTAACCAGCAATGAATGTTGCTAAATGCTAAGCCATACTGACGATCGCTTATCAGCTAGTGGCCCTTCTAGATATATCAGGAGCTGGCCCCTTTATAATGATTTCTTTTATCTTAGAGAACAAGGAGGTTATAGCTGTTGGAGGAAAGTAAGGACCTGAGCGATCGCTCTTTTTAGGGATTGATGGAGGTTAAGACAGCCCAAAAGGTGAGCGTTGTCCTTCTCGGTATGGGCCAGCGAATTATCCTTCCTGTGCAGGAGTGAAGGGGTGATAGAAATTCCCTTGATAAGCTTTGGCGAGAGAAGCTCGGTTCCCCGAAGTGGGGCAGACCAATCTCTTGCCAAAACTCGGACGTAGTGTCAAATACGGCGGCGATATGGGCGTGGCGTGGCGTGGAGGGCGTGTAGTAAGCACAGTACTCCGGACCCCGCATTGATCCGACAAACCCAAAGGAGTGTCAACGGAGACTTGGTTGTTCTCTGGATGTGAAGTCAGCAGAAGATCCAACAAAGGTAGTTTGTAACCATCCACATCTGGTAACCGCGTAATTGCGGGGACCAATTGTGTCAGATCATACCTATGCCACGGAAAAGCCATAAAACACCTACCCGCGTGATCGGGCATTAAAGTAGCCAAGTATCACGCTTTCGGCGGACTAGATCTTTTCGAGCAGGGAATCTGTAGCCTGAATTTCCGCAATGGCACCTATACAGGCACGTGTAGAATTGCGGATGATGATCGCAGGTCTACGCGTAGCCAGAGGATAGATAAGTCCATACCTTCAGCTTTCCGAGGCGGCGAGAACAAATAGCCTCCCTGACGTACAAGCAACGTATACTGAATATTCCGATGGTGGACGCCCACATCACGTCTAGACGACATTGTACTAAACTATTGTTTACCTTATAATTGTCCAATATGTATAAAAAGTATTGTAAAATTTAAAACTTGCCATGAAGACGTGTATCGTGCTAAGGTATTTAGTATTTAGTTATTACAATGTAACATATTATCATTGTAAAATTAAGTTGTTCATAGTTTAAAAATTTTGATTTTAAGTTTTAATCTTCATAATTTTTAATTAAATATGTATTAAAAATCTGAAGTTTTTAAAGAAGCTAATAATAGGAAACTTTAATTATTTTGTTGTTTTAATTATTCTTTGTCCAGTATTTTATAGTTATAATTAGGTAATAGTAGTTTGCAAAACGATCCTATTATTATATCCAAAATACCTGTTGTATGTAAAAGTAAAAGGTAGTTTTATTATTTCAAATGCATATAATATTGAGTTAGGTATAATTTATTTTCAAATTAAAGCTGAAGGTCATTAATCTAGTCCTTGATAAAATCGGTAATAAGTTAGGAACAATGTCAATGTGCAATTAGCCAATAGCGGCTAACGTCTGAATTCTGTAAATAATTCTTAGTGTAAGACGTAAATCAACTTTTATAATTAAATTAATTGAATAATACATTTGCAAAGCTAGGGGTGTTATTCGAACTTATCAACTTGTAGACGAAATGAAAATTTAACGGACGTAATAGGGAAATGTGGTGGCTTTCGATGACAAAATTAGATAAAACCCTATAATTTCACCATGTTTGTGTTTAATTAAACAGAAATTTTTCACAATTCAAAATTATTTAAATTTACGTATAAATATTAATTCCGTAAATAAATTATACGGGTTTGTTGTTCCTGATAATCTGTAGCTGCAACGTAGCGTAATTTAATGTCTGATTGGATGACAACAAATTCAACAATTTTATGTACAGGGCAGTTAAATCCATACTTTCTATTGCATTTAAATAATCGACTTTAGTTTGATATTATTTCCAAACACCTCTGACAACTGTCAATTAAATCCGTGAGAACATGAAAGTATTTACTAGTAATAACTTCATTTTTCAGCGTTCTTCTGTTTTCACATTTGTGTAGCGGCAAATTTCCGCCTTGGTTTAAATTTGGTGCAGCTACTTCCTCGTATCAAATAGAAGGAGCCTGGAATATAAGTGGTAAATTGGTATACTCTTAAGGAAACACGTAGTTTAATTTACTCTAAGAAAATATCTTGCTTAAAGCTTCATTCATTTTAAAACAAAATTAATACAGATAAATATAATCTATTATGTTATGTATTTGGCCTTTTCACTTTGTTTTTGTAACATTTTGTTTAACAACGTTTTTGTATCACGTTTAATTGTTTTTACAACCGTACAGTCGTGTTATTCTAATAAAATAGTACCTTTAGTTTCGTTTCTCTGGAGATAATTGTACTTTAAATGATATGTCTTTAATGAAATACGATAAGATTTATTACGCACTTTTGCATCATTAACAATAGAAAATATTATTTATTATTTAATAGCAAAGTATTCATTGCCTTTTCAACGACCTTCTAATCTTGTATCCATCTATATACTGTACGATTTCAAGGTCAAATTCTGTTCATTTCTTTATGGCAATGTAGCAAGTGTCGTGTCAATTCTTTAAGTTTTGAAAGTTTTAACAATTTTTATAAGTTGGGCCTACACTATGTCTCTAGATGTTCGCTGGGTATGAAAGAATTTGTAGAACATGTGCATATTTTAGTACAGGTCTACGCAAGCGGTTTGATAAAAATAACTGTATTTTACGAATTTAATGTTATCCTTTATTACGCTGCTACGAAAATTTATAGTTGTCTACAAAAGCGTTCTCTCAGAACATCTCTTCACTAATTAATTAAATAAATTTTATCAGTTTTTATTATGGCCTTTTAAGACAAAACTCCAAGCATCTGGGATACATTTTGTCACATTAAATATGATGTTAAATGCTCCAACGCAAATGGTGACGTAGCAGCCAATTCCTACTATCAGTGGGAAGAAGATCTTGACGCCGCCGCTGACTTGGGACTAGACTATTACAGGTATTCTAATATATACTACTAGCTGACCCGGCAAGTTTTAGTTCAATAAAATAACTATCTACTATAATAAAAAATGGTTGGGGGTTGATGGTATTTTTGTATGCTGTATCATAAAAAAATAAAAACAAAAAAAATTGTCTAAAAAATAAAAATTTAGGGGTGGATGGACCACTCTTAACATTTAGGGGGATGAAAAATAGATGTTGTCCGATTACCTTACTTAAAATTTCATAAGAATCGGTCGAGCCGTTTCGGAGGAGTATGGGAACGAACTTTAATATTGCTTTTTGGGAGAAGGGGAAATGTAGGACAAAATGAATTGTTGTCATTCATTGATAAATTAAAATCACTTAATGTAGAGAATATTGTCTTGCATACATTTCCTTACATCAAAGGTGCACCAAAGGAAAATAAAATTAGATATAAGTTAAACATGTTGTTGCACAATACGTTAACTACTAACAATATACAATTAAATTGTGGCTTAGGTACACTACCTAATTTAATGGACATAAATTGTATATTTAAAAATAAGTATGTATTGACAAAGGATAGGTTCCGCCTACCTAATTATTATTTACAACAGATAGCTACTATGCTATCTTACTTTTTATTTACAACTAAAGCTAAACATTTAGCTTTTCAGACAACTGCTTCTATTGAGCAGCTAGCTTTTCAGACAACTGCTTCTATTGAGCAGCTAGCTTTTCAGACAACTGCTTCTATTGAGCAGCTTAGCTTAAGTGAATGTAGTGATACTTGCAGTAGCACTTCATTAAGTATAAATAATTTAAATTAGATAGTGTGACAATAGAGGCAAACTCTAGCAATAATTTAGTACAACTCAGCTCAACACAAACATGTTATATTACTAACAACAACTGTTTAAACTTGATGCATCAAAACATGCAAGGTATGTTGGGCAAAGAATTAGAATTGGAGTTGTTTTTAAAATCAAGTAAAATTGATGTCCTATGCATTACCGAACATTGGCTTAGAGAATGCCAAATCATCTTTAACTTTGATCAGCACCAAGTTGCAAGTTCGTTTTGCAGATTGTCGGCGATTCATGGGGGCTCTTTGATTATTGGTTATAAAAATTTAAAGTATAAAGAGCGTAATGACATCGTGTGTCTGTCTGTAGAACACTCTTTGGAAGTAGCCTGTATAGAGATTGAGAATTGCATTATTTTAAGTGTTTACAGACCACCAAGTGCATCTTACGATTTTTTTGAAGAAAAGTTGGAGGAAATTTTGTGTAAAGTTAGTTTTAAGAACAATAAGTATATTATTGTATGTGGTGACTTCAATATAAATTTATTAGAAAATACCTCCATTAGTAAAAAATTCAATCTGTTATTAAAATCTTACAATCTTGTTAACTTGTTTCTTGAGCCCACTAGAATTACAAGCTCCACTGCTACATGTATAGATAATGTATTTACAGATGCAGAGGCAATGCAAACCTCAATTACAACTGATCTTAGCTCAGATCATTGTGGACAGTTAGTGGCGCTAAAATGTAAAGTGGTGAAACAAGTAAATAAGAGCAGTGTGTTTGTTCCAGTGAATAAAAAGCGAATGGTGAGATTTAGACATAATATAGGTAAACGCCTACCTTTATTACCGGTAGGTACTACCGTTGATACACAATACAACAATCTAAGTGATTGTATTAATAAAGAGTTCAACACCATCTTTACCTCAAAGAAAGTCTCTCATTCGCAGTGTAAATCGTTTAGTGATTGGGCGACAGCGGGAATTTATAAAAGTAGACAACGGTTGTATGACCTTTACGCTGAAAAGTCATACAATCATAATGAAGAATTTATTCTTTATGTTCGAAATTATTCGAAATTATTTAAGAAAGTTTGTTACGCGGCCAAGTCCTTAAATATCAAAAACAAGATTAAAAATAGTACCAATAAAACTAAAATGACTTGGAAGATAATTGATAGTGAAACTGGAAGAGTCAGGGATCGCAATCAAGACATCGAACTATGTGTCGATAACACTATAATCAAATCTAACGAAGAGATAGCGATTGTTTTTGATAAGTACTTTTCTGACATTCCAATTTCGACTACTAAGTCTCTTCAATCATCTCCCGCCCTCGCCGTTTCGCTGCTCAAAGATAATGTAAACGAGTGCAAGGTCAGTTTTTCATTCCGACCCATTGGTGCCGACGATATAGTGAGGATATTTAGAACCATAGATATTAAGAACACTACCGATCTTTGGGGTATTTCTGTAAAAATAATTAGTAGCATAATTGATGTAATTGCTCCCCATCTAGCTATAATTTTCAACAATTGTATTAAAAGTGGCGAGTTTCCCGATCTAATGAAACATAGTAAAGTTATTCCTTTATTTAAAGCAGGTAGTATGTCCGACCCCAGTAACTTTAGACCAATTTCCGTACTACCTACTTGTAGTAAAATATTTGAAAAAATTATATTAAATCAACTGGTAAGTCATTTTAACGTAAACAAATTATTACATAATAATCAGTTCGGTTTTACCAAGGGTCGCTCGACAGCCGATGCCGGTGTTGAGTTAAATAGATATATAGTTAAGGCTTGGGAGGAGTCGCATGACGCTTTAGGTGTTTTCTGCGACTTATCCAAAGCATTTGATTGTGTCCAACACGAGCCCTTAATCGGGAAACTCCGCCACTATGGCATCAAGAATACCGCACTGAATCTTCTGACTTCCTATTTACACGGAAGAACTCAGAAGGTTGAAGTGAATGGTAAGAGGTCCTCTGGGTCGGCAGTAGATATGGGGGTACCACAGGGCTCAATTCTTGGCCCTTTCCTCTTTCTTGTTTATATAAATGATCTACCTTTCATGGTAGAGAGAAAACATCAGATAGTTTTGTTTGCTGATGACACGTCCTTGATTTTTAAAATCAAACGACAAATAACAAATTTTGACGATGTGAACAATGCTCTGTCTTCGATTGTCCATTGGTTTAGTATGAATAACCTTCTACTTAATGCAAAAAAGACAAAATGCATTAAATTTTGTGCAAAAAATGCAAGGGTTATGGATACTAGACCAATTATAAACGGTGAGGAATTGAATCTGGATGATACAACTGTATTTCTCGGAATCACCATGGATTCAAAACTTCAGTGGTCCCCTCATATTAACGGATTGGCGAAGAGACTTAGTTCTGCAGCCTACGCGGTTAAAAAAATTCGCTCACTAACTGATGTCGATACAGCTAGACTTGTTTATTTTAGTTACTTTCATAGCTTAATGACTTATGGCTTATTATTATGGGGTCATGCTGCTGATGTCGAAACTATTTTCATCCTGCAGAAGAGGGCTATTCGTGCAATCTATAATTTAAAATGTAGGGAATCTCTTAGAGATAAATTCAAGGAAATTAATATACTTACCTTTCCCTCGCAATATATTTATGAAAATATTATGTATGTATACAAAAATAGTGATAAGTTTACTAGAATAGAACATACGCAAAATGTTAATACACGGAACAAACGCAGGCTGCAATTTCCTCGTACTAGACTATCTAAAGTTAGTAATTCTTTTTTGGGGAAAGGGATACTCTTCTTTAATAAAATCCCAGAGGCTCTTTTATCACTGCCTTTCAATAAATTTAAGAAATGTATTAAAGAAAATCTGTGTAAAAAGGCTTACTATAAAGTCAACGATTAGACAGGCTACTTCTAATTAATTTGCGATATTTGTTTTAAATAAGTGTTGTTTGATGATTTGCTGTTTTTAAAGAGTACCGAGAGTTTTTTACGCCGGCTTTTTCTCTCGGCCTACACCCTCTGTCTTCTTTGCCGATGAGTAGGGATGCCTTCAAATTTAATGACGTGGAATAAGTGATACATGTATCTTATGTTCCATAATAAACATATTTTATTTTATTTTATTTTATTTCATTGTGACACGAAAATTTTATATATTAGATTAATCCATCGATCTACACTGTTAAATATTTAAAAAAATGAAGAGACTTGTGCGTCGATATTTGTTACAGATTTTCAATATCCTGGACAAGAATCCTACCCACAGGATATCCAAACAAAATAAGCAAAGATGGCGTTCGATACTACAATGAACTTATCAACGGACTGCTCGCAAGGGGAATCGTACCTATGGTCACAATGTACCATTGGGAATTACCACAAAACTTACAAGACTTGGGTAATTACAACTTATTTGTCATATTAAAGTTTCCACGTTTAATACACTAGTAAACCTGGCAAATTAAATATAAAATTTTGTCTAGGACTAATTTGAATAAGAAATTCTTAAATTGTCGATATTCCTTCTTTACGCAAGAAGTGTTGTTATTCTGTTGCTGGCACTTATAATGCTTTATGAGCATTACGTATATATGTCTGCTTATTATAATAACATCATATATTTTTAGATTAGTGTCCTATAACGTAATTGTCTAGTAACTTACTTGAGTATGACAGACTTACTATAGAAATCCATCTAAAAATTATTAACCGCCATTCCTATAATATCTTTCAGGTGGTTGGACCAATTCTCTAATAGGCACTTGGTTTGCGGATTACGCAAAGGTGCTATTTACTCTTTTCGGTGATCGAGTCAAGACTTGGCTGACTATCAACGAGCCATTAATTACGTGCGCAGCCGCATACGGTAAAAACACCGGCTTTGCCCCAGGAATTAGCGATCCTAATTACGGAGCTTTTTTATGCGCTAAGAACACTTTGCTGGCCCATGCGCATGCCTGGAGAATTTATGATGTGATGTTTAAACCAAAATATCGTGGTATGGATACTACCGCCGATTTAATAAAAAAAGTTCTAAGATATGTAGATAAGTAAGTGTTTGGTGATTTTTTCAGGTAAAGTGAGTATTGTGAACCAGATATTCTGGATGGAGGGGCAAAGTGAGAAGGAACGGAAACTAGGGGAGCTCACCTTTAGTTTAAATGTAAGCACATTGCAAAAGGTCATATGTGTCAACTTACCAAGACCTCACACAACTAAAGCTTTTTTGTCGAATGAGGTTTGTTTTCAGGTAATTTATACATATCCAGTATTTTCAAAGAACGGTGGATGGCCCGCGGAGATAGAAGAGATAATCTCCACCAACAGTAAAAACGAAGGTTTTAGCTTTTCTAGACTGCCACCATTCACTACAGAGGAAATTAATTTTATAAAAGGTATTTTTAAAACATTGTTACGAGCTAGAGGATCGGATAGAAAATGCCGTAGATCTCATCAAGGGTTTATTTCTAAATAAATCAGTAAGGAATTTGTTTACACAAAAAACTAATTGATACGTTTGAGTGGGAGTCTGGAAATACGTGAGTATAGAGTATATATATACACATATGTTCCTATCTATAGTAGTCATGTAGAAAAGGGTTAAGAAAAACGAATCTAAATTAGCGAGACTATTATTGGCAATACTTATTTCAGAGTGAAATTCGGGCTTTACAAAGTGGATTACGATGATCCCAAGCGCGCACGCATTCCTCGCCCTTCCGCCAAGTTCTACGCATCCGTCATACGATCTAGCTTGTATGACGATTGTATGATGATCTTTATGTTTTACATAAATATATTAACGATGAACTTTAAAATACTTTTTATTTCTGTTTATTCTAACGCTTATGAGTAATTTTAACAGCAAAACATCAGTTTATATGTGTATAATGTTTAATAAAAATATAAAAAATACATCTCTTAACCTACAGTTAAATAATTGTCTTATGTGATAATGGTTTTGTTAGAAATACAAATTCTTGTAAAATTGAATCGCTGTAAAAGTTGTGCATATTTCTCTTTGGTACCAAATGCTTATCACTCATGACAGTATGTATAAAAAAATATTCTGTAGACTATAAAACAATGATAATATTATTACAAAAAATTCAATATTTCATTAAAAATATAATTAATTCACGATGATTTATATATTTATTAAATTGTCATCAGTATCGTCTCCTAGTGCATTTAAACCCAAGCTTTCAAAATCAGAAAGAAGGTCGTCCATATCACCTTTAAATTTAATCCTTTCATCTGATTTTTCAATTTGCATGGCTTCAATATCTTTATAAGTGTCACCATTTGCGTCTTTCTGCACCATAGCACCAGATTTCAACAAAAGATCCACTGCAACGCTATTTCCTTTCATTGCTGCATAATGTAGAGCAGTGCGATTGTTATCCTTTTGGTTTGTTATATCGAGGTCTGCCTTATGTTCCTTTAATAATGTTAGTACTTCAATATTATTCTGAATTACTGCATGGTGGATGGCAGCTTTACCATTTTGATCTTTTGCATCCAAATCGACAATATTTATTAATTCCTTGATCTTATCACTTGCATTATCCTTTATAGCGGTTATTAATTCAGGTTGGGGTACGTTGGGTTTCTTTTTTTGCTTTTTCTTTGTTTTAGGCTTTTTATAGACTATGTTTTCGGGTAAAAGTGAAAGATATTGTTCCCAGTTTTTGGACTTCTTCAAACAATTTAAAAGGTTCCTAATATCTGTATCAAAATGATCAACGTTTTCATATATTAACTTAAAATCGAATTTGGATTCTTTCAACGTGTACAACGATTGCACAGATTCTAGATCTTTGATAAATTCTAAGGCTTTTGAAATCAGTTCGGAAGGTACATCATTGGCATCTAAAAAATCACCAACGACCTCCAGTAAAGGACTACCGTGAGTTAGAACATGCCTTAGATTTATTTCTGCTAATAACCTATTGACCTTACGTAGATTATCATCTTGATTACACATTTTAAGAATATTAAAAATGTCAATTAAAATCATTTGTAACCAAATTTTAAATTGGCCAATATATTTATAACGTAAAACCAACAAATCTTTCGGCTGACCATTTAAAAGTGAGCTTAGTGATTTTAAGCGGTTCAAGTAACACTTTAAGAGATTACTGTTCCGGCTTTTAACATTGCTGATAATTTCTTCGGATTTAGCATCATATGGTTGCAAGCTACCAATTGCATCAACGTAATGTTTCATTTCTTCAATGAATTTGCTTTTGTCAAAGGTTAATAACTTTAGACTTTCCCTTTGGCTTACAGGCGTGTTTTTGGATATGTACAAAATTTCTTCTTCAGTTACAAAATTATTTATTAGAAGTATTTCTTCCAACTCTTGTAAACCCTCGTAATTATAATTATTTCTCACTACGGATTTTGCTTCTCTGAGGCCTGCTTGTTCCATAAAATGAAATAACCTTTCAACATTTCGAGACATATCGTCAGTCGTGTATGTGGTCCGACAAACAATTGCATAAAATTCAGAAATAATGCCCCACTTAATTTCAGCTACAGAATCATTTAACGCTTTACACTTGTTGATAATGAAATCAAGTATATTTTCAATAATATCCCATAACGATTTTATTTCAATAACATTAGTTAACAAATCAGTTAATTTTTTGTTACTACAGTTGTTTAATTTTAAGTTTGTTCTAATTTTGTTTACATCTATTTCATTTGGATATTCTGAAATTAAATCAAATTGTATTTCCACGTTGTTTAGACATTCCAACTTTATGTTTTTCCAATTCTCTTTCTGAAACATAATTTTGTCTAAAATCGTAACTATGACGTCTTTGTAATATGAATAGTTTTTATCAATGAATGCTTTAATACTTTGTTGAACTTGACAGTGTTTATTATAAAGCATTCTTAAGTCATGTTGGAGCTGTGCAACTTCCATCATAAGATCCACGCTAAGCCCTGTGGGTTCCCAGTGTGACTTATAAAAGTTTTCCAGAAGCATATTACCTGTATATTCTGTAGGATTTTGCAGAAATACTCCCAGACCCTCTGATACAGCGTCAAAATGATGTGGTAAAATGTTCTCTATGTTGTCTCTAATGCAGTCCCTGCGTTTTAGCAGGGTTCCTCGACAACCATTTATGAGAGATCTATTAACAAGATACCGGTTTATACCAATTTGTCTTTTAATAACGTCTTTGATGTGTTTTAAATCATTTAAAACCTTTGCTAGCACAGTTTGTCCGTGCTTTGATAACTCGATCCTCCACAGTATTTGGCAATTATCGGCTTTACTTAAAAATTGCCGAATAGTTTTGAGAGATTTTACAATATGTAATGGTATTTCAGCTAGCATCAGAGCTTGGGTTGTAGCCTCTAAGTGTTTGCTTTCCTTGGTACTTTTAATGAATTCACCAACTACTTGTAGAACTCTTTCGATAATCAATTGGGCCCATTCCGTTTTCAGCTTTACATCTTCAGCACTTGGCAGTTCTTCAAGAGTTCTATACATCTTTCTTAAAGAGAAATCGTCTCTCATTTCTGGTATAGGAATTAAAGACTGCTGCTCTTCTTGCGACATTTCTGATCTGTTTAGTTTAATGTTTTCTGGTAAAATAGGTACTTTTAACTCTTCTATAAAATTATCAAGTTTATCCAGAAAAGCTTGCCTCTCTAAATAAATAATCAAAAATGTCCATAATGCTCCCATATCCATATTAAAAGGCGTATTAAAAATATGCATTACACCATTATTCTCTGCAATAAGATTTTCAACTTCTATTGTTTGGGTTTTAGATAAATAGAAGGACCATTTACTTTTACAATTATAAATAAAGTAGTAAAGGTGCGATTCTAATTCCTGATAAATGGTTCCAGACATTTTTAGTCTTTCTTTCAACAGATACAAATTATCCAATATAAGAAGACACACATTGTAATCAGCTTTCCACAAAAATTTCCTAAACATAAAAACTTTTTGTGCTATCCGATACACTGTAAATTTATCATCGTCTTCAAGCAATAAAAGAGCAGGAAAACTTTCATTAATTTTATTCCTCGAGTAGTCGGCATGTAAGCTTATTGTTATATCTATAATGTCTATTAGGACTTTAATCTCTCGGATAGCATTGTCTGTGTCAATGACAGGTTGCCACTGCTCCATTTCAAGTTTTACTTTATTTAATTTTCCATACAACTCTATTTGAAATTCATTAAAAGATATTATACACAAAACATCTACAACCATTTGTGGGTTGACCCCCTGTTGATGATAATTGTTATTTGAAATTTCATGGTATTCAGTGAATGCTTCTTTTAACAAACATAAAATATTTTTCAAATTTTCAAAATCATTTTTACTACTGGTCTTATTTATAACCCAGTGAAGATCTCCAGCTAAATAGTCATAATACCTTTCAAGCATTGCTGAATTACGGTTGCACATACAGTTCAAAAAGGTAGTTTTTATACTTATTTCTTCCTTTTTTTTATCTAATGGAATAAGGAATGGCAAAATTTCCCTTTGCTCTACGAGATATTCTAACATCTCTAACTGAGAGTGTTTACTAAGTAATGAGAATAAATCTATGTTCTTGAAAGTCAAATGTTCCTTTATTAATGCTTTGTCCATTACATGTAAAAAGTTAAGGTTTTTTTTGAATACCTTTTTATTTGATTTAGTAATAGCACTTATTATATTCTCAAAAATTTTATTAACTTCAGGCACTTTAATTGATGCATTTTGTTGCTGATTGATGATAAAATCTTGGTCTGTCGTTGGTGTCTCAGGAATTTTTGTAACTGTAAAATCAGAATTTTGAAATCATTATTACTTAAATAGGTGCCAGATATTTTTATCTATTTAGTCGTTAGGTATACTGCCAATAAGTTTTAATAAGTCAGAACACAAAACATATGTGTAATCTTACATATTATTTGTGAATGCAACTTTGTTTTTAATTAAATTTTTGCAATAAAAAGATTTACAATATATTATAAAGGGTAACCAAGTAAGTATTAATGATATTTTTCCAGACATTGTATGCAAATGTTATATGTATTTTCAAAACAACAATTGTTTAGCCAAGTACCCAAAGAATGTAAATTATTCTTATCTTACTTGCATAAACAAATTAAAATAAAATAATAAAATACAGATAAAAGTTTTAAAAGATTTAAATAATAAAAATAAAACAATTGAATACAGATATTTGTCAAATAGTGACAAACTTCTTATTACAAGTTCTTATTTGTTGTTGTGTAGAAGAATAAAAAAAACACATTGCAGTTTACTATGTGTCAGTTATATTATTATAAATATTAAGGATTTACTCACTCTTTAGTTGAGCTATAAGTGAAGTTATCAAACCTTCAGGCTTCACACTTCCTGAAGCCTCTGACATGGTAGTTGTGTCAGTTACTATTTATAGCTGCAATATATAGTTAAATTCATTGAAGTTCTAAATAGTATATGAAATAAAATATTGTCAAAAAAGGTATACAAGGATTACACATGAGTCACTGTTCCAAAGAACTGTATAAAATGATAATAATATAAAATTTGCATTCACGTCTATACCTATAATCGTAGTTATATAGGGATATCGGATTTATCAGTCAGCACACAATATTATCATGGACACATTATTATTTATTCGCCGCTGTCACCGCCCAATGCCTAGTGATTACATTAACAGTATTCAGCAATTTAACAGCTATCATGGTATTTGATTATTTTGATAAGCGTTCTACAAAGTTAAAAGTTTTTCACGGTTCCCGCCGTTTAGGGCGTTCCCACTTCCCACTTCACATTCACAAATCACAATATAATATTGACAATTTACAATTTACATTCGAAAATAGAGCAATAATACAAGATATACTCTCATAGACTACGAAATTTTTTTAGAAATAATAGTGCGCTTTCAAATTACAGAGCATTATGCGACTCATTGCCACACAATGCCGCATAATGCTGAAGCTTAATTGGAACGTGAATTAATTTTCAAATGCTTCAGCAGAGTGCGCTAAGTCAGTGTTGAAAAAAAGGGTGCGTGTACTTATGTACGCGCGTAAGAAGTTATACTTCTTTGGCATTATTAAAAATAGTTTTTGATTGCATGCAAATAATTAATTACAATTAAATAATCAAAGACTGGAAAAGGAGTCATTATAGTCAATTAAGTTCAGTTTACATTTGAAAAATTAAATAAATAATTATTTATTATTATTCTCTTACATTAAGTGTAACATAAATTCTATTTAGTTAAAAGTATATATTATTATATATTTAGAACATCTCTACCACACACTAAGAAGTATGTTGTAGCTTTGGCAGTATTGCTCAATATAAAATTAATAAATTTCTTTGAAAAAATAATCAAAACTCCTTTATTTGTTTAAAAGGTAAATGACAAATGTCATTATGGTCATTCAAAATTCTTGGCATACGAACTTCACGCATATTCTATTTCTTTTTACTTGTAGATTGTCTTATTCCTATCTCGCTCGCGCACGCTATAATCACACTCCCAATTTTGTGTCACAGGTGCGCGCGCATCGTAAAATTTCACTCTCATAAATTTTTCATAACGCGCCTAAAGAAGTATAACTTCAAAAATGTTCTGAATAGAGTTAGCAGCCTCATTAATGTATAAATAATGTGGTAAACAATAATAATTGGTTGAAAACTTTTTACGCTTATTTTAATAATCAAATTATTTCAATAACATTATTTTACTGAAATAAGAGAAAACCTGTAAAGAATATAAGGTTTTAACAAGCTAAATTAACAGTAAAATATTTAGTTTCATGTAAGAAGTTTACATCATTTACGTTTTGAGTAATTTTTTTTTTAATGATTTCTAAAAAAATTATATACTTTTTCAAAACCATTGCAATGTTTACAAAAGTAAAGCAATGTAAAATAAATTTGTTTACAGATCCGAATTTTAAAATAAAATTGTATTCATATTTTAAATGTGGAATATAAAAAAAAATGGTGCGTGTACTTATGCTTACGCGCGTAAGAAGTTATACTTCTTTGGCTTTCTTTATTTTTTTTAAATATTAAATAATTAATAATCAATATTAAGCGTTAATAATTTAACAATATGTAATATTTAGTATATTATTCAATTATTAATTAATATTAATAATAATTATTATTATATTATATTATTAATTTAATTTAATAACTAGGTATGTTTCATAACCTTTTAACTAAGTATAAATAGGTCTTTGTGAAAAAGCATTGTTAAATTTCTTTAAAAAAATAATTAAAACTGCTTTATTTGTTTAAAAGGTACTACAAGTAGATTGTCTTATTCCCATCTCGCTCGCGCACGCTCGGCGCCCATACTGAATTTTGTGTCACGGTGCGCGCGCATCGTAAAATTTCACTCTCATCAATTTTTCATAACGCGCCTAAAGAAGTATAACTTCAAAAAGTAACTATTTATACCTTCATCCATACTTATATTTTTTTTTAGCAGTTTGAAATAACTTTAATTATTTTCAAAATCTACGACGAAACGAAAGCCTTACAAATTTTTCAACAATAAATAATATTTACTAACGAAAATTTCGATAAATGCCAACTTAAAGAAAAATACTGGTCAATTTTCTGTCACTGTGTTGGTATTGGTTGCGAGAAGCACGCGAGAGCATTAGTTTTGAGAGTGCTCAATTCTGCGAAGCGTTGCTGTAGTTGGAACATTCAACGTTGAGCATTATGCCGCATAATGCGCTCTAGTGCTGTAATTGGAAAACGCACAGAAATTCAAAATAAGTAATTGCTATTTATGTATTTACATTGAATATTCGCAGACGCTTGGCGACTCATGCGACTTCTTCGATACAAAAAGGCCCCTCGCGAGTTGTGTGCTATGGTATTGCGGGCTACTCGATTGTGAAGAAGTTGCATGGATCTAGTTAGCGCTGCGCCTTCTTAAGTTCTCATTTTATTTTTACATGTGTTACATTTCCTAATACATTTTCATAAGTGATAGTCCTCATTCCAACATGTGTGATGTGTGAGAGCACAAATAAAGTTTATAAAAGTTCCTACGAAAAACAAATACATAAATAAATCCTTTACTTGCCTTGAATATGGTATATAGTATAATGGATGAATTGAAAAACCGCACAATCAGACATATCAAGATCGTTTGCAAATGTAGAAAATAGTTGAAAGCAATTAAATTATTTTATTGTTATATTCTATGATAGTATCTTATAAACCAAAAACTTACATTATGAAAGCAACGTGCCATTAAAAATATAATCACCTTTCCTTTAGACGGTAGTGTTCTGTAACCTCAGGAGATTACGTAAATAGTTTGATTGCCAAGGTGTAGTTATATAATTTAAAATGTTTCGAATAAATTTGGGTCCTTTTTTACAGTCACAACTGCTTCTAAAATATATAAAGTTATAAAACTTTATTCAGATCTACTGAATTTCCCCATAAAAGGATACTAGAGTGCAGAATTGAGGTGAATAGCCGTGATAAGCTTTCAAGCTGATCTTTTTTTCTTTCGTCTTACTGTATCATAGTCGTTTTCCATTGTCAAAAAAGAAATAGATGCTTCAAAAGGATACTTACATTAAAGTTACTTAATCTGCAATTCTAAAGACCACGGGTTTCGAACGAGGCGCCTCGTCGAGGCCCGCGCCACGAATATTGGCTCATTCATTCTTTGCTCATCCGATCCAACTTTTTGATTCCAAATGATATAAAAGCCATACACAACTCATTACTCCACTCCGTCATGATAAGAAATAGCTCGAGCCCTAACGCTATCGCCTCGACCCGTCGCGTGTTTTGATTTGCGCCCTAAAAATCTTCAAAAAGCAGAGTGGTAGCGAAGCGAGGCCACGCACGAGGCGGGACACGAGGGCACCGTCCACACTCCCGCGCTTGCGTCCTCTCGTGTCACGGAGAGTGTGGATCGAGGTTAGACTTAGTACGACGGCGTAAAGAGTATAATATTATAACTTAATTTTGAATACATTTGTGTAGGTTGCATAAGTACGTAATTTAAGTTTAGTTTATCTACTATTACTGTTTATCATTGATTGATTAATTGAAATAAGTAAAACAATAAAAATGTCAGGAATTAATTTTTAACAATTATGTCACCTCGGGGACGTCTCGCAAATCGCAGGCGCCCATTTTCAGAGCCACTTTTGGTTGTTTTTGACGATTACAATTTAAGGATTATTTTATTTATAATTCGTATCATTGTGTAGTTAGTTTCTCGGACAGTTTTTTACTATAAATACGCGTAAATACAAGTAGATAACTATTGTAATCACTGTTTGGGATCGACACTTTGTCACATGATTATTTCCTTAGAAATACGAATGATATAATAATATTCAGGTAATCTATTGGGATACCATTACCACAAACACCAATCAAGTTTCTATGGAAATAATAATTTTATTTTTTAAGCTAAATTTTTGAACAAATTAATTGCAACGCTATTTATTAAACCGTTTATTGTGAGTTCTCTAGTTATTACCCATAAGTGACAACATTTTTCCGAATAAACCCATAACTTTAGCTATACAGCGTCTGTTATCATACACTTCTTTCATAAAGTCAACACCATTGGCCACTTCACCTGGCTTTGGAAGGAATGGGATGTTCGGTACATTTATTTGCCTCTTCGACCGCACTTCAGTTTGATTAAAGCTCATATCAAAACATTCCTTTGGCACATCAAACGAGTTGTTCTTAATAACACATTTGTAATACTTGGATGACAATTTCGGATTCCTCTTGCGTTCTGGATCGTTGAAATCGATTTGGTAAAGGCCGAATCGAACGCTACAAATATATAATGTAATTGAGTCTATATGGTAAGTGATAACGTGGCTATTAGCCTAATAAGTATGGAGGAAGCGTCTAAAGATAGCTGGGATTTTCCTCGCTCAAGGAATAAGTATCGAAATACAGAGAGTAAATGCTGCCAGCATTTGTTTTTTTAATTTTCTATTTATCATTTTTTTATTCTTACTATGTAGGTTAAGAATATTATAAATACTGTATATTTGTGTGTTGGATTTAAATATTATATTTATATCTCATTTATGAACTAATGAATAAAAACTAATGATTATACACTTTCATATTAAGCAGCTAATTAGTGCCGAACAATAATGGCGTAGCAGTTGTCTACATAACAAAAAAGGATAGATTAGATAGATCACACAGACTATAGTTATATATCTACGTGCACAGAACATACGTTCAACAGATTACCTCAATTATATAACAGAAAATATACATTTTATATGTTAACTTGACTGTTAATATAAAATATTTCTTCGGGGCAACTAGAATCTTCTTTGTATTTTGTTTGACGTTCAAAGTGCCATTTTAGGTGGTCTAATTGAAATTAATGATTTGACTTTGACTTGACTTTGACTTCCAACCAATTGTTTCAAAGTATTTATATTATTATTACTGAGAAGTGACATATTACATAAACAAAATACCTGTAGCCATCTATCCATTCAAAATTGTCCATTAATGCCCAGGTTGTATAGCCAACAACATTAACGCCATCTTCATATATTGAAAGATGTATCTAAAAAGATAAAACCCCTAATATACTTTATCTATACTTTAAAGGCCAGCAACGAACTGCGAGCCATTGGCATTGTGAGTGTCCATGGGTGGCGGGGTATCACTCATACACAAAACATCAGATGAGCCTCCTGCCCGTTTGTCTCCATAAAAAAGGGTGCGTGTACTTATGTCGTGTATGTAAGAAGTTATACTTCTTTGGTATTATTAAAAATAGTTTTTGATTGCATGCAAATAATTAATTACAATTAAATAATCAAAGACTGGAAAAGGAGTCATTATAGTCAATAAAGTTTCAGTTTACATTTGAAAAATAAAATAAATAAATATTAATTATTATCCTCTTACATTAAGTGTAACATAAATTCTATTATTAGTCGAATGTTGTTTTTAAATTATGTCCAATGCCGTAGCATCTTCCGTGGGCAACTTCATTCTGTTAATTTTGTGTCACGGTGCGCGCGCATCGTAAAATTTCACTCTCATCAAATTTTTCATAACGCGCCTAAAGAAGTATAACTACAAAAACTTCTAAAATCTGTAATAAAATCGTAAACCAAGCGAGGATGGTGGGGGTATGTACTACACATGTCTGCGTCAGTCGTTTCGCAAAGTTTACCTTCTTTAGTGAAGATATGTAACGATCGTATAAAAAATTAATTACTGCACAGGCGAGTTCACTCTTCAATAGCACTACTCATCCATTTAAAGTAGTATATTAGTGTACTTTTAATAACTAAACATATACATAATTACTAAGATTGCTCACAGTATTAAATTAAGAGCTAGTATAAAATACCTGTTCCAAATGGTCCTTCAATCCAACAACTCGATTGTAATCTTCCAACTCTAATCCGGCGGTTGGGTAACCATTTTCTGTTATAAATATTTCCCAATTTCCGTAAGATTTCTTAACCCATGACAGTGAACGTCGAAGTCCTACGGGGTAGACCTGTGGTAATAATATTAAAAATACAGTATAAATAGGTCCTATGTGGCGTGCTACGGTTTGTTATTCAAGTAACCGTCCAGCCGTGCGATTCTGTTAATCCGTGAGTTCACCTCGCACTAACAACGCTCACTCATGTCATTTTTGGAATCTCATGGTATTCTGTTAAGCAATTTCACATTACGTCTTGACAAGCGGAGGGAGCTTGTGGTTTATTGTTTATCAGAATGCCAAATCGTAAAATGACTGCTTCACGACTGATTTGAGCGCGACCGCCGCTGTGAGAATTCGAAAATTGAATTACAGAATCGCAAGGCAGGTATAGAAAAAAATCAGTAGCGCCACAACCTTTTGAAGGTCAGGGCTTCAGAGTTCTTTATCTGTTTCATGATCATTTGTCATTCTAATAGGCAAGTAGGTGGTCAACCTCCTGACAGGCGAACCTCGACTTTTTAGGTCTAAGGCAAGTTTCCTCACGATGTTTTCCTTCATCGTTTGAGCAATAGTAAGCAAGATGCAATAGAAAGAAAGTACATTGGTGCACAGCCGGGGATCGAACGACCCCAGGGAGGAGAGTCACACGCTGAACCCACTATGCCAACACTGCTTCAGGTATATACTTAACATAATTTAAATTAAATATACATATATCTATCTATAATTCTATAAAAATAGAGTTTTTTCATAAAACTTAGGCTTCCAAACCATACTTGGAATGTATCAAAAATACAGCGTGCTGTGATACCTCAGACAATTTGAAGTGTACCTAATGAAATTACCGGGACCGGGCGCTGGACCGGGCACATGACGAAAGATAGCAGGTTGAAATAGACAAAAATTATTACAGAATGGCAACCACGCGATGGAAAAAGGAAAAGAGGAGGACAGAGCAAGAGATGGGAAGAAAATTTAATGAGAATAGGAGACACGACTTGGACAAGAAGAGCTAACACCAGAAAAGAATGGAAACAGCTGGTAGCAGCCTATGTGTCACAGGACACGCTGATTACCTAAAACTAGTCATATGATGTATACGAATTAAGTTTCTTATGTAACTTAAATAAGTGTTAATGTAATATTATACTGGGTGTCAGGAATAAAGGCTTAATAATAATAATAATAATGAAATTACCCGAATCAAGTTCATACTGGTTCTACAGTTCCAACATCTACCAAATGCTCTTTAATTCTAGAACTTACCACCCGAGTAGCACTTATATAAGCATCACGAGGAACTTGCATCACAGCATTTAGTTCATACGATCCCGTCATGATCGAATTCACAATTTTCTCGCCCGGTTTTGCTTGTCTCACAGATAGACCCATGTAGTAGTTCATGCCGAAGAAGTCTGCCGTACCTGTAAAAAATATCATATAGTGATGATAAAAACATTTACAAAAGCATTATTAATATTACGTGATTTTATACGTTTGCTTGTGAGTTAAGAGCCACTAAAGCTTAGACACGAACACGATACATCTTTTGACATTAAAAAAATATAGTTTTGTCCCTAATGTGTTTCAACCACTTAGTCCTAGATGGACTGAAAGGTTGACGAATAGATAGCGCAAGACATGTTTAAAATGTAAATTTATGACGTCCTATTATTTTGTAAGATACAGTGTTTTGAGTGAAGGAACCTTAGTTTGTGTGGTAAAGGAATTTCGTGTGTAGAAACTTCTTGGCGAATCAAAATACTATTGAAGCCGAGGCGTGGCTTGATAAATATTATTCGGACTCTGGACCAATAAAATCAACCATTGTGATATGGTTTGCTAATTTTAAACGAGGTGAAATGAGCACCGAGGACGATGCACGCAGTGGACGCCTCAAACAGGTTACCAACGAAAACATGAAAAACGTCCACAAAATAATATTGGATAACCGAAAAGTGAAGTTGATTTGGATAGCTGAGACACTAAATATATGAAAGGAACGTGTTGGACATATCCTAGATGAATATTTGTTTATGCGAAAGTTCAAAGTTCTATTCAAAGTGGGTGCTGCGCGAATTCACAATCGACCAAAAATAACAACGAATTGATGATTCTGAACACTGTCTGAAGCTGTTCAATCGAAATAAATCCGAATGTATTCCACCGTATTCTCCAGATTTGGCCCCCAGCGACTTTTTCTGTACACAGACTTTAAGAGTATGCTCGGTGGACAGAATTTTGCGCTGATGAAGAGGTAATCGCGGAATCTGAAACCTATTTTGAGGCTGAATAATCGTACTATAAAAATGGTATCGAAAAATTGTATGACCGCTATCGTTGTATCACTCTCAAAGGCTTATATTAAATAATTAAATCAAATTCTATAAAAAAAAAAGTTTTTGTTTCTGAGTTAGCGTTCGAACTTTTCAGCCCACTGCACCGGTAAGTTCTAGAAGTATTTATTAACTGACTCATTTTTGCGTGGACAGCATGTTTGACTGAACTCACTTGAACCCTTTTTTTCATATAATTTTATTCTTAAACTTAAAAATTGCGATATTTATACGCGCGTCGTGAATCGTGATACACGTTCATGACGAGACTCTCTCTGGTACCTCGTGACTCTTCGGTCGTGTCTTCCTGAGAGCTATGAAATAAAGATATTCTGGAGAACTTTTAATCTTACCTCTGACAAACCGTCTCTCCGCAGCAGTGAAGGCAGGTAAGCGAGACCTGCTATAACCCTGCTTCTCACTGTAATCCTGCATCAGCTTCTCAACCTTCGGAGGCCATCCACCTTGTTTCGAAAATATTGGGTGACAGTAACGTCCCATCTGGAAATGTATTTTGCCCAAGTCATATTTACTCTTGGAAGCTGGCGGTAAATGTAAATTTAGAGTATTTTTTTAACGTTCATTAGTGTGTACAAGTTCCAATAATGTTTTTATTTTAGTTTAAAATAAATAAGCCCAACAATTTTTGGATCTCTTTCACTGTTTTTTATGACTTTAAACCCAGAACTTACATTCCTGAGTCACGGTGATGCCAGATAATTAAAACACGAATCCTACGGGCGTAATAACCCTAGTGGCAGAGCTTTTTCTAATAGTATTTGCAAAAAAAATATTACGATAGGGTTTTTTTAAATAGCTCGCAAAACCAGTATATAGTTAGGATGCATTCCGTGCTTCAAAAGGATTTATTTTTTTAGTTTCTTGGGAACTACTTCCTCGAAGAATTTAAGTTTCACTCAAAAACAAAAGGCCATAATACCATGAACTCCATAGTAAGTTGTGCTAATTTCTCGTTTTCTGGAGACTCGGCCCCAAACCACAGCAAATGATTGGCTATCGATATACGACCTAAAGCAAAACAAAACAAAAATACAGGGCAATCTATCATTATGGTTGTTTGAGGTGTAACCCTAAGGAGGCAGGGCTGTGACAATTTCATTGGGCTTAAAAATGCCAACCCAATCTAAAATAATTACTGAGAAATTGGGAATCGAAGTCAGGTCATCCATCCGGTCGTTAGGTGCTGGAATTATTATTTTCTTACCCCGTACATATAATTTTTTAATGAAATTAACAACACAGTATAATTTCAGTCACTTTAAAAATATTACGATTTTACAAACTTATTTTCATACGTTAGCAGTGTTTAAAGTGTTCAGTGATGTTCGATTAGTCTAACTCCCTGCATTTCTTTCAAATAAATTAACTAATAACATCATAGTTAAGTCATTTTAAAAATATAATATTTTTTACTAAACTATAACTATAATAATATATTATTTAAATACACAGAACAAATTACATTTTATGTTAGACAAATGACCACACTAGTTGTGTAATGCGCTGGATGTATCTAGAGATCTCTTTAATTGATATTTAAAAGTAAAGTAATAGACTCGTGTCAAAGATTTTTACCTCCATACAAACTTCTGAAGTTTCGATCAAAAACCCGGTATGCCTTCGCGTGAGCCATTAACAAATTCTTATTGCAGATGTAGGGGCCAAATTGATCCTCCTTTATCCCTGGAGCAAAGTTACCGTCTACGTATCCAACGTCGCAGATTAACCACGGCTCGTTTATTGTTAACCATATTTTCACTCTATCAGCGTATAGAGAAAACACCTGTTTAGCATATTCCGCGAACCAGTCTGATATGTAAGGATTTGCCCATCCTCCTGTAACGTAATAGACCCAAGTTCAGTACCACGGGGCGTTGTTGTAATCTTCTTTTTAAATTAGGATTTAGGATATTATAGGAAAAATATTAGAAACTAAATTCCAACAAATTTGTGTCCGCAACGGAGTATGACACCGAACTGTCTTAATATTTTATTATCGTCTAATATCTCTTGATGGGAAATGCCGACTTAGCCGAAAGTAATAGAGTGTCAGCCAGATAGGATACAAGGCTGTGTTATAACATTGTGTTGCAATAACGAAAACTCTGATGGAGATTTTGTTTCATGCACAATTATTAAACACATTTCATTATGACAAGCGAATGCGTGCGGTGTGTAAATGCATCATTGTGAGGAAACCATGCCTTAGACCAAAAAATCGACAAAAACTATTTGCCTATTAAGGGCAAGCACAAACAAGAAAGGCAGTTCAAACTTACGACAGTTTGTGTTAATCGGTATTTTTCTTATTTATAAGAATTTTTATTAGCTATTTTATAATCTAACGCTACTAAGAACTTTTAATTAATGACTAATGGTTTCAAAACGGGTAACATGGGTAATATGTTTATACTTATGTAGCAGCTGGTAATACTCTACCGAACGACGATTAAATTATTTAAATTGCAAAATACATACCCAGATCCTGTATGGCAACTGGTAGTTCCCAATGGTATAGGGTGACAACTGGCTCTACACCAACATCTAATAATGCATCAATCAAATCACTATAATGCTTGATCCCAGCTTCGTTAGGCTTGTTTGAGAAACCCGTGGGGAATATGCGAGGCCAACTAATTGAAAATCTAAAAAAAAAATTGCTAAAATATGTGTTCTACTTAATTATATTTAAATATAATGAATTATCCATAATTAATAATCTTTTGAAGTAAATACAGTACTATGACTCAAGCATGAGGGGTTGGAAAGTACCACGTAGGTATGATGGCGTAATTTGCTTGTCTTTGACTTCTCTTACAAAATGACATATAGACGTGATGAGAAATGACGTGTCACTTATAGATTCGACCAGAGACACTGTGGACCAATGAGAATCAAGCCAAGCAAATTCAAATACCCCAGAATGGTTTATTCCGATGAATAGAGAGATTTTGCATATATATGGTTTTTCTGTCTATCTATAAAAACTCCCTTAAATAGCTATTTTCAAAACAAGAGCCTTTACCTATAAAAATGCAGTCCCAGCTCCGAAGCTATTCTGATGTCTTCTTTCCATTTTTTATAGGAGTCGGCAGCTACGTCCCCCCGTCGAGTTGTCAACTATAGCTTCAGGAAATTTGTGGACGAAGCGATCCCAAATACTTTCGCCTTTGCCTATGGTTAATACATATTTTCTATCTTATTATCTTAGTTTAGCGTACAGGAATTGTTTAAATGTATATTGTATAGGCTACGTTATAGAAAAATGGTTAGACGAGCCCCTTGAAAGGGTGTATTTTGTTTTAAGTTAGGTTGGGGAAGATCTAACAGCCATTCGATACTTATATCTTATTAAATAAAGAAATTACCATCGGAATCCCATGCGCCCTCGACTTGGTAAGAAGCAGTAGCTGCTCCAAACTTAAAACCTGGTGGAAAAGTCTTCACTCCATCACACACACAGCTAAGCAACGTTAAACTAAAACAGAGCCAAATTTAAATTTGAATAATTTAAATTAATTTTGCGCAATTTAATAACCGTTAAACGAGTGGAATTTGGCGTAGGTATAGTTAGTTATATATAGTTTTTATACTCAATTCTGACACCTCTATCACCCGAGCCCTTGGTTCCGAACCACCAACTCGAGATGATTTTGGCCAAAAGGCACCTACAGATTCACTGGCAACTTCTCTGTCACTATATAACTCTTATTTTTCGCCGTCTCATACAATCTACTACATCACTGTCTAATCCCCACTGGATTCGTTCGTTTCGGAATCTGCCGGAAATCAATGTAGCTTCATCATTCAAAGCGGCAAAATCGAATTCGACCGAACTCTAGCTGAACTGATCCTTTTCCATGTTTGGCCTTCAAACACTTTTTATTTTTATATGACTATTTTAAATTACGCTGCTCGTGCGCACACTCCAAATAGACCGAACACCGCTCGAGTGCAAAGGGTTAAAATAAAATTGTATAGAAAATATCACATATGTGCAAAAAAAAATTCGAATAAAGTTACCATAGTATGACAGCTGGCACTGTAGTCATTTTGCAGAATGTGCAAGTAAACTCCAAAAGTAATGTAAATAGTTTAATAAAATCGAATTAAACGGTATATTCAACGTGGAAGTAATAGTAGTGAAGATAGCTTAAATCACCGGAAACAAGAATTAACCTAAAATAAATATATGCAACTGTCGTTAGACTGGGTTATTTTACATGAATTAAAGAATTTTATGATAAACCGATATTGTATCTTGAGAATGATCAAGGATAGAATAGGTACTTATTTCCATACTAAGCTTTCTGTGTCACATATACACGAATAATTAAATATTTAACTATGACTGCTGTCGAGATATAAGATAATGCGTTATCAGGCGCTTGCAGCAAATATAGCCCTAATCTACCGTTTTGCGACCCCGATATTTTCCAAAAACCAGAGAAACTCAAACTTAAACTTCGAGGTATTCGCCGTTTAAATCCGTTAAATCCACAGAGCATCTTCATATTTTATCAGATACAACTTTCATCGAAAGCGAAGATGTATAGAAAGGAATGGAGAAATGACAAACAATAAAATGAAAGGGAACTTTATACGTTTATAGTCTATGGTTTAACCGTTTTCAACATTAAAAAGTGATGAAGCGTATTGGTAAGCAACTTCAAACTCGATGATGAGTTATTAATGAATACCGTGGAAGATGGAAGAAGGAATAGTTGTAACTATTACCAGCGGCCCCGGCTTCGCACACCAAATGTGACCTACCGTCCTCGTAAATCATTATAGATTTTGGTAACCGCAATAAATTCCGTGCCGTCTTTGAGTTTATTGCGAATAGACAGCCAAATAGACGTGACGAAGGGCTTGTTTTTATATTTATTCTTGCACTTTTATCTCATTATGTATGAGTATATTCAGTCATGAGAGCAGTGTTGGCCTAGTGGCTTCAACGTGCGACTCTCATCCCTGAGGCCGTAGCTTCGATCCCCGGATGTGCACCAATGCAATATATGAACCTTGGCTTTGACAAATAACGTCATATTTCTATTGGTAAAATTATTTTCAAAATCGATCCAGAATATCTAGAGACCCTACAACCTTTACCAACTTTAACCTCTTTATATATTAAGCTGGCATTTTTATATGGAAGAGAAATATCAAATATTAACTTTCTAGTCTAATTAAAAATAAAAATATATCAGGAAAACTCTGAAGATATTTTGGATAACGTTTAATGCAAAGATTTTCAATTACATTTAAACATTTCTTAAACACGCGTCCAAGTCCCGCCTCCGCGTTATACACGCGAAGTACTTGGCCGATAAACGCGCTGTTCTTGTGCGGTTTGGATCCTTAAAGTCCACGTCGAAAAGGCCGAATTTCTCTCTGTAAATAATACATATTAGATACTCCATAATTAAAGGTAAATATAGAAATGTAAATGCGAAGTAATAATTGATTTCTAGGAACATAGTACGCAAACGCTAGCGCTAAAGAAACAAATGTGTCCATACTAAGACGGTAGAAAAATCGTCATTGGCATTAACACTTTGTTACCAACGCACCCTGAGTTTTTGGACATGTAACAGGCAGAGATCCTCGAGGCCGATCCGCTACTCACTGGACCGATCAAGTAAAGGCCTAACCATCACCCAGGCACAGAGGCTTGCCAAAGACAGTGGAGTGTGGAGTAAATTAACGCGACATTCAGAAATTAAGAGCGCGACTGAAGAAGAACATGGTATGCAAAAACGCAATTTTTTTTTATTAAAAATTAAATGTATCTCACTTATATCCAGACCACCATTCAAAGTTGTCCATCAAACTCCAATAAATGTATCCAATTATTTTATGACCGTCTTCTTTCATTGATAGTATGACCTACAAATAAACATACATTGAAGTAGTACCTACATCATAAGTGTGCATTACCGTGGGACTGAAGTTATCATGAGAGTAGGTGCAAGTCCGACATCTTATCTTACCAAATCAAACGTCCAACATCCGAGCCTCAATTGAATTCGATTTTCTAATATCTCACCCGAGACCTCATTATATGTATAACATGCTAACCACTAAAGCAATGGCACAGTCAGCCTATACTCTATTGATAGACGAGACCCGAAGTATAACTCTACGCTTAAAGAAGTCATAAAAAATAAGAATGTCATAGACCGATGGAATACATAATATGTATGTATATGTATAATGATTTATTACGATAGAAAAGAATAGACAAAATGAATAATAAAGCTTTAAGAAAAACGACTAAGGTAGCAGATGTTACAATAAAAATAAATAAACTAAAGTGGAAATGGGCGGGACACTAAATAGGTACTAAACTGGTGCCCAAGGTACAATAAACGAAAAAGAGGAAGAGAACTTAGAAGGTGGATAGACCAAATTAAGCACGTGGTACATGGCTGAGAGTGGCACAGCGCAGAAAGGCATGGCGGGATTTGGAGGAGGCCTTTGCCAAAAAAGGGCACACCTAAGAGATTGAAATATGTGTTTAAATATCAAAAAGGTTAGTCGACATCACAGGAGACCGAACAGCTGGCAGCTACCTCGGACAAAGAATTAGTCTAGCGATTTAAAAGGGGAAGACTGCCAGTATCTTCGAAACCTTGCCTAAAGGGACTCCTTTTAATAATATATTTCAGTTATTATATTTTAAAGTTAGTTATTGTTTTTCTTCTTTGTACATTTGTGTGTTGAAATTTTAAAGTATTTTAATTAAAAGGCTATTATTAATATTTAGTATGATGAGTCAGACTTAGCTACGTATTCAATCCCACGTGTCAAATCCAAAGCGTTTTTGACATACGGCACTTTCACTTAGGTTTAACCTCACCTGTCTCAATAAGTCTCTAATATACGACACCCTCTTTAAATCTATAAGGTCTCTGATATTACCCCCCCTATATCCATTCTCTGTGATCAGTATATCCCATTCTTCGTAGTTTTCTCTGATCCAATTTATAACGTGGCGTATTCCTGGTGAGTAGTTCTATAAGAAAGAAAAGAATGGGTTTTGTACTATGTAATTTTATACCGATATAAAAAAACACATTAAAACCTTTGTAAATATACGTTTTAAGATCTTTTTGTAAAATATTGTGTGTTTTGATCTATTTTTCACAAAAGTAAAAAATCAAAAATCATTTATTCATATAGGTAACACAATGTACACTTATGAACGTCAAAAAAGAAATATAAATTAAATGCTTATAATTTTACATTTACTGCCAGTTCTCAACTCAAGGGCGTAGAATGGAAGAATAAAAAATACACTGAGACATAAAATGAATGGACATTCATGTCCGTCGTTCCACAACTAAGCGTTTTTCAGGAATTTTTAGCCTCGCATCACCGCTATGAGAAACCAGCTGTTCGTCAACACACAAACATAATAATTAATAAAAAAACCGACATCATTATTTTCTTTGATAATGTCTATTGAAAAATTACTGAGAAACTCCGTGTTATCATACGAAGTATGTACGGTGTCATTTTTTATTGAATCCATTTTCTTTATCTTTTTCTCGTAACGTCGAAAGATATTTAAAGATTTTTTATTTTTGTTTGCCTATTTTAACTTCCCATTATTATTATTTTAAACTAAATAAATAACTTACATATTTTTTATATTCTTTTGTTTTGTTTTCTCCAATAGCTGGAATAGGAGTTTCTGGCCAACCCTCACGCCAGCTTATTTCATTGGTGTTAAAAAACATATCAGATTTTTCGATACTGACTTTTTTAGATATAAATGTGAAATAATGATTTACGCCTATGTAATCTGCGGTACCTGCGAAAAGAAGAGTAGAAGTGTAAAGTGCCATCAAAAACATAACTTGTATAAAACAAAGTCCCGCATCTCAGTTCTTCTACCGTAAAAAGTTGTGAGATCCATGTAATACCAAGTAGGTCAATTTATTCAGTCTCTACTTATGGGACCTTCCATTAAGTTATTACGTAATTAGCTAACAACATCTTATACTGACCCTATTAATATTACAAATCTTTACATTAATTACCCATATGATCATCGGACGTCGAGGCAGAATACGAAATTCCACCCGTATCACCTCGACGTCCGCCGTTCCACAACTGAGCGTTTTTCAAGACAGTTTCTGCCGCGCACCACTACTTTGTGGAACCAGCTGCCCACTGAAGTATTTCCGAACCAATTCGACTTAGGGTCCTTCAAGAAAAGAGCGTACCAATTCTTAAACGGCCGGCAACGCACTCGCGAGCCCTCTGGCATTGAGAGTGTCCATGGGCGGCGGTATCACTTAACATCAAGTGAGCCTCCTGCCCGTTTGCCCCCTATTCTATAAAAATAAAAAATCTGATCGTCAAGAATTTTACCTTTTATAAGCTGCTTCTCCTCTTCACTAAATGGTGGTAAAAGCGACGTGTTGTAACCCTTACTTTTGCTATATTCTTCCATATATTCTATTAGTAAAGACGGCCAGCCACCCTCATTTGAAAATATTGGGTGATTGAATCTCCCATTCTAAAATGTTAAAAGTTATAAAACAAGTGGCGGTACTCAGTAAATACAATATATTTAATAATAATAATAATAAAGCCTTTTTTATTTCCTGTTTTACAAAAGTTGGTAGTTGTTATATTAAAGTTACCAAAAATATTGATTTGTTAGTAGGTTAGCTTAAATTATGTTAGTAATATATATTTATAGGATTTATTTAACAGGAACCCCGGTTTGGGTAAAGGCCTCCTCCAAAGATGCCCATTGTTGTCGGTCCTGTGCTATGGAGTGCCAGTTTTTGCCAGCTGATCTTTTCAGATCATCTTCCCAGCGGTCTAAGGGTCTCCCCTTCCGCCTCTTGCCTGGTGGTCCTTTCCATTGGGTAACTCGTTTGGTCCACTTTCTGCTAGACATTCTTGCCACATGGCCAGCCCAATTCCATTTCAGTTTTCGGGCAAAAGTTAAAGCGTTTGTAACTTTAGTGACGGCTCTTATCTTTGTATGTCTTATTTTGTCCATTCTCTTTATATTCAACATGCTTCGCTCTAAACCTCTTTGACATACATTGATTTTATTCACAGCTTGTGTAGAGAATTTCCAGGTCTGGCTTCCATAAGTTAAGCTGGGTAGTAGACATGAGTTCATAACTTTAGCTTTGAGAGTTATTGGTAGGTTACTCTTAAATATTTCTTTTAGGCTCCAATATTTATTCCAGGTTTGTTGGACCCTTCTCTCTATTTCTATAATGTTACTGTTTTCCTCGAAACTTATTCTTTTCCCAGGTAAGTATAATTTTCTACATACTCTAAAGGGTTACCATTGATAGTTATAGGTCTTTTTCGTGTATTACTCATTATCTTTGTCTTCGTTAGATTCATCTCCAAACCAACTTCCGCACTCACCTGTTGTAGAGATTCTATCATGAATTGCATCTCGTTGACTGTCTCTGACAGAAGGATCAGGTCGTCAGCGAACCTCAGGTGACTTAGGTAGGTGCCTTTTATACAGAGTCCTGTTTTACTCCAATCTAATTTGTTCATGATGTTTTCGAGTATTGCTATGAAAATAGTGGGTGAGAGCGGGTCCCCCTGTCTTACCCCTCTTTCTATATGGAAGGCGGGGCCTAAAGTTTCTAGCTTTATTCTTCCTTTGTTGTTATTGTATATGCTTTTAATCACCTTTATGTATTTATCTGGCACCTCTTGTTCTTTTAAGCTTTCCCATATACTTTTGTGTATGACTGAATCAAAAGCTTTTTGATAATCAACAAAAGTTATGTAAAGAGGTCTCTGAAATTCTTGATATTTCTCCATAACTAACTCTATGGTGTGTATGTGGTCGATAGTAGAGTACCCTTTTCTGAAACCTGCCTGTTCTACAGATTGTTTTGCCTCTATTATCGGGCTTAGTCTATTATTTATAATGGATGCGAAAAGTTTGTATATATTTGGTAACAAACTGATTGGTCTGTAGTTGCTGATATTTTTTGGATCGCCTTTTTTATATATAAGAACGATATCTGCTTCAGACCATTCTATGGGCGTTTCAGAACTTAGAAGTATAGAATTAAACAGTTCAGTTAATGGTTCTGCCAAAATTTGATGACCATATTTTAGCGATTCATTTGTGATATTGTCAGATCCGGGACTTTTTTCGAATTTCAGCTTTTTTATTGAGTTTATTACTTCGGTTTTGTGAATTGGTTTTATAGAGTGGCAGTCTACAGTTTCTGTTTCGATTTTGTAAGTTGTTCGTGTTTTGTCTCTGTAAAGTTTCTTGTAGAAATCAGTTGCTGTATTCACAATATCCATTCGATTGTATAGGTCTTTATTAAGGGTTTTCAGTCCTTCTATCCAGGATTGTTTTGTTCTGAGTTCTTTATATGCTCTCTTTGAGCTGCCGTGAAGCTCAAGGTGTTTCTCTATTATTTCTTGCCTATATTTTGCATAGTCTCTCTTGATATATCTATTAACCAGTTTGTACAGTGCGGAGAGTTCATTTTTCAATGAGCGTGTTTTATTTTTTGTTTGTTGTAGTTCTTGTCTTCTTTTTAATAATTTTAGAGTACGGTCTTGTAATATTTTATGTTTTTTATTATCTTCTGTATTATGTTTCGCAAGGATCAAACTTTGTTGGATGGCCGTCTTTATTTTTACGTAGGAGGTCTGTACCGTTTTGTTCTCAAGGCTGATGGGTTGACCTGATGGCTCCAAGAGAAAGCTTGATAGGTTTTCTTTGTACTTTGTTATCTCATCCTTGTTTCTAAGTTGACTTGTTTTATTATTTGTAAAGTTGGTCCTATTTTTCTTCGGCGTTGTTAGCCTAATTTTACACCTTAGAGGACGGTGGTCTGATGCGTAGTTTAGGTTCAGAACTTCTATATTTTGAAACAATTTTGGGTGATTTGACAGTATATAGTCAATTTCGTTTTTATATTGACCGGCCGGAGAGCGCCATGTCCATCTTCTTTTGGCTTTTTTCTTGTAGAAGGTGTTTATAATAGCTAGTTTATTTTCCATCGCAAAGTCTATAAGTTTTTGCCCTCTATTGTTTCTTACTCCGTATCCGTAGTTCCTCATTATTGTGTGTTCGTCCATTTGTGGCTGTCCTATTTTGGCGTTAAAATCTCCCATTAGAATAAATTCTTCGTGTGCCATTTCCATGGCAGTATATATAGTTTTATAAAAACTGTCTATTTCCTCTTCATTAGCTTTTGTTGTTGGGGCGTAGACTTGTATTATAGTCAAATTTTTACCTGGTAGCTTCAAGTTCAGTAGAGCAACACGTTCCGAAATTCCAATATAGCTTTCTATATATTCTTTTAAACGTTTGTTTATTATGAAGCCCACTCCATATAGGCCCGGCGTTTGTCCAGTAAAGCAGAGAATGAATTTTTCATATTCATCTATTAAATTTCCAAGGCGTCGGACTTCCGAAATACCTATTATGTCGTACTTTACCCCTTCCAGCGCTTTCTCCATTTCCAATATTCTTTCGTATGACGAAAGCGTCCCGACGTTGTAAGTTACTATATAAAGATGGTGACCTTCTCTCGTTAACCCTTTCGTCGCTTGCTTTGCGTGGCATGATGAAGATGTCCTTGGAGGGTTTAGGTCATAATCTTCCACGGTGACCAGCCGGGTTGGAAGATTAGTTGGGGAAGTGTGTTTATTATAGTTTTGTTTATGCTTTTGTTTCCGATCGCCGGTATGTAATTGCTAGTTCTTAGTTTTTGTTGGGAGTGTTGAATACTCGTGAGATCGGCCTCTCATCACGTCGAATGCGTTTATTTTGTTGTTTCTAGACGAACTTAGTGTTTGCTGTTTTCTTGGTTGTAATTCTACTTGCGGAGAGTTTGATTTATCTCTCTTCCTCTTGTCTATGGCCCTTAAATTCTCTTTGACAATAAGTTTATCATATTTAATGAACGCTAAGTTTCCTTTCTGCCTTTCTTCCATTAGTTTGGGTTGCAAGGACTTCCGTATTTCCAAGGTTTCTTTTGAGTAGTCTTCTGTTATATATAACTCCTTTAATTTCTTTTTGTTCCCGATAATTTCTGCTCTTTTCAATCCACTAACTAAAGAAAGGAGGGTAGGCCTAGGTTTTCCATTATTATTTTTTATGCCAATACGGTAGATTTTATTTATTTCATAATTTTCTAAGGTTATACCTAGTTCATCCAAAAGACATTTTTTAATGCACTCGATTAAATCCCACGTTGACTGCTCTCTTTCCGGCAAACCGTGGATTATTATATTATTGCTTTTCCTTTCTCTTTCTAGATGCTCCATTTTCCTTTCCAGCTTTTCTACTTTACTTTTCAATATTTGGTTTTCTTCGAGAACAGGTCTTAGTTTTTCCTCCATTTTGTCAAGTATTGTGTTCGTTAGTTGGGTTGTTTGGTTCTGCATTTCCAACTTCATTTTGTCAAACAGTAGTTGGAATTGTTCTTCCATAATTTTGCGTATAATAAAGCGCAATCAATGTGTTTTGCCAATTATATTTATTTCCTACAGTTCTCCTTTATTTCTCTCCTTCCGTAAGAATATTTTGCGGAGCTGTAGTAATTGCAATGTTGGTACCAGACAGAGAAAGAAAAATAAAATAAAAAACAAAAACAAAAATATCAAAATCATAAAAATATTGTGGCCGCCCTGAGATTAGATCGTACGGTAATTCGGTATCAAACTTTTCCATGCAGCGTTCTGTTCAAATGCGCAACTATGTACATGTCGTTACTCGCGAATAACCTGTACGTATTCTCCGTATGGTTAGGTAGATCCGGTATGAGTCATTGTCTTCCTTTGTTCGAATAGTGAATCATCGGTTGTTGACGGCACTTTCGCTTCAAACGATAAGTAAAGTAAGTACAGTAAATACAATATATTTAATAAATACAATCGCTATCGCAGGTGCAGTGCTCTTACTCTGCAAGATCCAATAGGGAAATGGACAGCGATCTTAAATATTGAGTTTTTATTCAAGGCACTCAGAGTGCGCCGCGAATTTTCGCTTACCCAGCAGAGCTCCAGTGCCTAGGCTTTAGGGTGCGACATCGACCACCTCTACTATTCGTACCCTCAGCGAAAACTAACCTCTCGAAAAGGGCACACATGACACAGCGAATGAAAATAATTGATGAATAAATTAACAGACAAAAGGTCAGCTTCATGTCAGTTCCTATACTGTAAGGAATAGTTAGTCTTTTTGTAAATATTTGTATCTATTACTGCTTGATGCACGTTGACGTGTGTATTGTTTTGTATGTGATATAAATGTAAATCGTTGCCGCGTTGGAATAATATTTAATGATAGCTTGTTTTGTTAAAAATAGGATTAAATATAATAGATAGAATTGGATGTTAGTAACAGACAAACAGTTATGATAACAGCCTTGCGATTCTGTAACTCACTTTTCGAACTCACACAGCGGTTTTCGCAACGGCGGTCGCTCTCAAATCAGTCGTGAAGCAGTCATTTTATGATTTGGCATTCTGATAAGGTGGGAGCTTGTAGTTTATTGTTTACTATAATTAATCCTCTGTCCAATTAGTATTTCTACACTCTTTTATATTGTCAAAATATAAAAGGAAATTTTTCTATGGCTGTGTTTATGGATAACACTATATTACAGAGAATATAACATTCTATACACTAACAAGTGTAGGTACAACTTACATAATATTGCAACAAAAGTTCAGTAGACTTTTTCTCGTCTTCGTCGCCCATTGCCGTCTCGTACCACGCAAAAAGATTTGCTACTGACATAAGCCCTTAAAAAATAAAATCATTTATATATACTGCAACTAACATTATTCCAGTTAGCTACATTCGCTAAAACAAGCAAACAGTTTCCCTTTACTATAAGCATGGTGTCTGTCTTCTACAATATCACATCATTGCACTTACTATAATAGAATATACTTTGTTCTAGACTCAATAAAAATCAACATAAATTAACACTATATCAATTTAATGAAGGCAAAATTACCGACCATTATTTAAAGAACGATATTTCTTATTAAATATATGGTACACCTTCGCGTGTGCCAATAATAAATTTCTTGTACAGTCATAAGGCGCTCTTTCTGGGTCTATTAGTCCATCCGGTATTAATATGTTTGTATTATGATCACAATATATTCTGACCTCGTTCATTGTCAACCAATATCTTACACGATCCGCATATTGCGACATTACGAAGTCTGCGTAATCTACGAACAGACTTATAGATTCTGGAACGTTCCAGCCACCTGCAAATTTCGATTAGGGGTGTATTTTCAGATGGAGATAAATAATTAACACAAACAAAAATATGTAAAGAATAATAACTTAGCATGTACATAGACGCGTCTTTAAATATTATTAAATATACGTACATTAATTAATAATCATGGATTGACAAAGCATTGATCCATAATAATAGTGAAAAATAATTCAGTCTGTTGTTACTTACTGTAACTTTGCTTAAGAAATTTAATTATTACGTTTAGCGTATTTTTTCAGCCTTGAAATTTTCGCAGCCTTTAATTAAAATTCCGCCATTATCACACGTTCATACGAATGGAAACACCCAAAAACATAGATTTAAATCGTTAGATAGGCCCTTACCGCAGTGAGACCGCGCCGTGTTGTTCCACAGTCGAAGTGAGTGAGCTCACTAACCTGGGATCAGTGCACCCCTAAACACAGTGTTAGCCGAACGTGTTGTATAGGACGTTTGCGAGCAGTTTAGTGTCACAAAATGCCATCGTGTGCCTTTCTAAAGTGCAACAACAATTCTAGAAACACAAATAAAGCCAGAGGTGTAACATTTCACTCGTAAGTATTGCGATTTGATTTAAAAACTTTTATTTTTCCTTCCGCACTGTCTAAAATAACAAATTTAAATGGCGAGTGCACGAAAGAGAAAGTAGTGTTTGCAACTAATGTAGGAGAAAAAGAGATGACACTATTTTCTCAGTACATAGGTAATAACAACAGATAAGTACAATGGCAGAAACACGATTTTTTAACTACTCGTTAGTGTGCGTGTGTCGGCATTTTGTTCAAAAACAATGCCACAGTTTTTGGTGTCGGGGCCTATCTAACGATATAAATCTATGCCCAAAAATCGAAGATTGCGTGTCAGCTCACGAAATTATAGTTTAAGAAAAGCCAACAGTGAAACAGATTCAAAACATTAGGCCTAAATAGAGTTGTAGTATGAAGCACGAATATAAAAGAGCGTCATCACACTTACCTCTCAGTTGTAAATCTACGGGTAGGTCCCAATGAAACAAGGTGACCATTGGCTCGATTCCAGCTTCAAGGAGACCATCAATTAGCCTATTGTAGTACTCGATGCCGGCTCTGTTGGTCACATTGGTATAGCCAGTTGGTAAAATACGTGGCCACGATATGGAGAACCTGCGGATTTTGAGATAAATTGGTTATGTTTATATATTCTAAGCAGTGGCGTAACAATAGGGTGGCAGTGCTGGCAAAACGTCACGGGCCCCCGACCCAAGAGGGCCGCTGCCCAAGAGATAATATGTTCTATGGATGAATGTGAAGTCTCCAATACGCATTGGGCTAGCGTGGGGACTCCAGACCATCCCCTCTCGCATAAGAGATAAGTTCTATGGCAATTAGTGGGACATACAACGCTGAAAATCTCGAAGTTTATTAAAAGTAAACTGAATACAACGTGACGATTTCGACTAGGGTCCCATCATAGAATTTGCCATGGGCCCCAAATCGTATAGTTACGCCACTGATTCTAAGCATACCTATATAAAATTATCCTATTTTCATATTAATTTGTATTATTTAAAACATAAAAGGCTTTCCCTCCACTTTGTTCCCTTTGGCGTAGAGATTCTTAGGCGGTGGGGTCCAGGTGCACAGGCTAATTAAAGACAGTAGATTAGTTCTCTTTCGAGTATTATACTGGTGAAAGTCACCATTTATTTTAAAATCGTTAATATTTTTTATACATACAACAAGTCTTCAAGAATATATTGACCATTTATTCTCATGTATTCCTTTTATTCTAACTTATTGTATCTATTTATAAGTAAAAAGTTCTGGTAAAAAAATACCTATAAATCTTTACTCCGAGCCATTTAAGCATTTTAATGTCAGTTTCCCAAAGGTGGTAGGAATCGCAGGCTGTATCGGCAGTCGATTTGTCAGCGATTTTATCTCTTTTCGTGTGTGTTAGCCTATCCCAAACATTCTCACCCTTTCCTAAACAAAATAAAGAATAACTATTTCTGTAGAATTTTAATATATGTTATAAATGTCGCCTTTAGAGCAGTGTTGGCGTAGTGGCTTCAGCATGCGACTCTCATACCTGAGGCCGTAGGTTCGAACCCGGCTCATCAAATGTCCGGCGGACATTTGCTCGAACGGTGAAGGAAAACATCGTGAGGAAACCGACACGTCTTAGACCCAAAAAGTCGACGGCGTGTGTCAGACACTGGAGGCTGATCACCTACTTGCCTATTAGGTTTAAAAATGATCATGAAACAGATTCAGAAATCTGAGGCCAAGAACTTAAGAGGTTATAGCGCCACTGTTTTTTTTTATATACCTAAATTCGCCTTTACGTTGGATCTTATGATAGTACGAATAAATTATTGAGAGAACAATATTGCGAGATACATGTGTACAATACAAATAATAAAAAAAATATTAGCAATACAAGAAACAACTAGAAAAACCAGTATCTTACTTTGGGAAATATAAAAATAATTTTGTCGGAATTAAAAAGTCTGAAAGATAAATAGATTAATTAACAATTCAAATTACTATTTCACTTGAATAGATAACATTACTTTTAGCAAATTAATTAATGTATTTATTTTATATCACACTCATTCGCCTCTTAATTGATATTTTATGTGGCCGCAAAAGAACTTACCATCTTCATTCCATGCCCCTTCAATCTGGTAAGAAGAAGTTGCGACTCCAAAAATTAAATCAGTAGGTAAAATTCCAGGAGTGCATGATGACAGTGTACTGTTAAATTAAAAGCTACATTTTGTACCGTAAAAATATATATCATTAAACTATAGGTATAACTCCGTAACAATATTATAACTATTGACGTAACTGTTGTGAACATTCAAAAAAGTTATCTCACCTCCATTATCACTTACATACCTAAGTATTTATTTTGTTGTAGACAATTATTTGTTTTCATTTATATTATTATATGAAAAAGAAATGAAGAATTTGTTTTTTACTATGTGTAGAGTTCGAATTTGTCAACATTCTTATTTGCAGGCAATTATTGGTCTAAAAAACTAAACTTTACAATTTATTTTTTATTTATAACTTTTTTGTAGATTATAGAATCGGATACCTATATTTTTGTTATAAATTTATGTCACTGGCCGCTTTAGTGTTTACATCATAGACAAGTAGAACAGGACCTGTCCATTTAATTGTTAAAAGCTAGGAAGGTTATTCCTATTCGTGCAATCTATAATTTAAAATGTAGGGAATCTCTTAGAGATAAATTCAAGGAAATTAATATACTTACCTTTCCCTCGCAATATATTTATGAAAATATTATGTATGTATACAAAAATAGTGATAAGTTTACTAGAATAGAACATACGCACAATGTTAATACACGGAACAAACGCAGGCTGCAATTTCCCCGTACTAGACTATCTAAAGTTAGTAATTATTTTTTGGGGAAAGGGATACTCTTCTTTAATAAAATCCCAGAGGCTCTTTTATCACTGCCTTTCAATAAATTTAAGAAATGTATTAAAGAAAATCTGTGTAAAAAGGCTTACTATAAAGTCAACGATTATCTAGTTGATAAAAGGGCCTGGGACTAGTGCTAGACAGGCTACTTCTAATTAATTTGCGATATTTGTTTTAAATAAGTGTTGTTTGATGATTTGCTGTTTTAAAAGAGTACCTACCGAGTGTTTTTTACGCCGGCGTTTTCTCTCGGCCTACACCCTCTGTCTTCTTTGCCGATGAGTAGGGATGCCTTCAAATTTAATGACGTGGAATAAGTGATACATGTATCTTATGTTCCATAATAAACATATTTTTTTTTTTACTGTGCAAATTTATGACATGTTCAGTATCTGTAGCGTTTCCCGATTATCGATATTTCGCATCGCAGTATTAGCCAGGTACAACAGATTATTATCATTCATTTTTCAAATTATAACAAACAAATCCCACCCGTACATCTATTTTATCTGCTATATTATCAAAATACATCTCTTTGAACAATAATGTTTAAGAATTAATATAGTGATTTAAAATTATTAATTATGCTCAGTTTATAATTGTAGTTCAGTTGAAAACTTTAAACAATAAAACTCACCATAAAAATAAAAATATAATTAACATTTTAGACACGTTACTTTACCAAAATCAATTACTGTAATGTCATGTAATTCAAATTCACTTTTTTGTATTTATGTAAATTTTTCTTACATTTATAGATGTCTCGCACACGAGTGTGTACAAAACGGTGGATCCCAATATGACCGAAGAAATTCCTTAAATGTATAACAATATTATGAACGGCTGATGAATATTATTGAGAAAGATAATTCAAACTATTCCTGTATTTTTATTTATTTTTTGCAGAGCAGGCAGAATAATAAACGTCACAAATATAAGAGTCTTTCCTCCAACTTCGATTTTGTTCCCTTTGGAGTAGAGACTCTTGGGCCGTGGGGTTCAAGTGCACAGGCGCTTAATGTGACCCCAGAGCTGGCATTTTCCTGGCTCAACGAATAAGTATCGCAATACAGCGAGGAAATGCTGCCAGCATTAAAGGAACACTGCCACAGGGACCACACTTTTTAAATTTGTTTTTATTTTCTTTTTAAAAAAAATTATTATTACTTTGTAGGTTGAGAAAATTGTAAATACTGTATACTTGATTGTAAATAAAAAAACATATTTTGACTTGGCAACGTCTTATAATTCGATGGAGCCGGCTGCACGCACGAAAAAACATGACGCATGCGGCGTTACCTCGCTCTGAGGCGTTCCATTTAAGGCTTGAAGTGCAAGCGAGAGCGCGGAACGAGCGACAAAGAGGCACAATCGGCCTCCGCGTTTGGCAGCGTTCGTTTGTTAAAATATTGACATAATTGTATTTATGCTTACAAATAAATGTAACTTGATCAATTCAATTGCGATTTCCATTTACCTCCTTCTCTATATCCATACAATATATAATATGTATCAAACAAATAAAACTAAAATTTTCTTTTGAAAAATGCAACCATTCCATCAGTATTTTCTTATGACGTTGTCACGTTCAACTATCGTCAGTAAACCGACTTTACAGACAACCGATTTTTTTATTAGTAACATAAATCATATATAGCAAACAACAATAACTCTAAATATTCATTTACAAAAGAAAAAAATAATAATAAATATATGATAAATAATATTCCGCGACAACTTAAGCAAGTCGAGGCTTTAAACTACTAGGGACACATACATAACTGAATTAAAGTCCCTTTGTAGGAAAGAATATGAAAGAGAAAAAAGGTTTAACCAACTCTACACATTCTACTACGTCATCGTAAAAATCATAGCCGCAAACATTATATTATGAGTTGGCGAATAATTATGAAGTTTTGTAAATGTTCTAAACGCAAATGTACAGAGCTACTAAGTTAAACAGTATTTTACCTTCGTTAAGTGGCTTGCCGGTGTTACCTTATAAACGCTCATATTCGCCAAGGATTACGGACTCTATTAGTTGGCGAATAATTTTGAAGTCTTGTGAATGTTCTAGACGCAACGGTACAGAGCTACTAAGTCAAACACTATTTCACCTACGTTAAGTGGCACCCAGGTGTTACCTTACAAACGCTCGTGTTACGGCTTACGGATGTGACGACACACAAAAACACTCATCAATACAGGAATTAGCTTTCTCGAGCAACATTTGATATAACAAGATTTTATTTGGGATCTTTGAATGTTTTTGTAGTTCTTATAGAAACCTCTCACATGTGCTATAATTATGGTTATTGCCAACGTTTTTATGTATATTCCTATATTCTAATTGAGCTATAGTAAAAAGCTTAAATTAATTTGACTGCTTCTAAAAATTTATATATATATCATAGGTAGTAGACATAAAGAAAGTAGAAGTCTCTCTTCTAGCCTGGACAGTAGAACAAGAAAGAGCGTGTGCGGCGTAAATCAATTTTTAGGTATGTATTGGTCAAAATCCTGTGATACGTCTCAGGGTCATTCGTAGGTATATATTGTTTTTCAATACGTAGTTAAATGGTCTCTCTCTTTTTATCTTTTTATCACGTTTTGTAGTATTTGTATATAGTGGAATCTCGATAACTCGAACCTCGTTAAGTCGAAATCCTCAGTAAGTCGAAAAAATTGCCATTTCCTTCCGCTGAACCCCTAAATATGGTATCTCAAATTATTTAGACTTTGTAACTCGAACAAAATGTTATTTCCCTACGAAGTATTGATACATATTTATACTCTATAACTCGAATTTAAAAAAGGAGACTAAGTCTTAGTTAGTAAAATATAATGACGTCTTACTTGCAATTTCCCGAAATAATATAAATTAAATCCAAAATTAATATTCGGCTTTGGGGCTTCTAATATATTGTTTTTGTATTGTACACGTGCAATGAATGAATACAGTCATAAAAAAATATGTATTACAAAAGTTAAGTTGGATTGTTATTCAAATTCGACTCTACGAATCGAAAAATACACTTAGGGTGAGATCTATAGTGCGCACTTAGACTTTGCTCTGACTTAACTATCGAGCTAAGGGTGAGATCTATAGTGCGCACTTAGACTTTGCTCTGACTTAACTATCGAGCTAAGACACAGTCGGTATTTATAGAGCAAACTACGAATCTCTCCCTAGTGTTGGCTTAGCTTAATCTCAAGTCCACGAAATCGACGACTTACCAAAAACTTTGACTATAAGCCTAACAAAAATAATGGCCCAAAATTTGCTTTACCATCATATCTTTTACTGGACTTTTTATTTTTGTCGGTTTTTAATGAACGGTGTTGCCATTTTGTATCGGAGTTCCATAGACTTTGGGAAAAATAGAATTTGAATTCAAAGAAATTATAAATGATCTTGATAAATACCTATGAAATGCATGAAATAAAATAATTACACATTATTATGGTATTTATTGTTGTTTATTTATATTATTTATGTAATTGTTCAAACCCCATTTTTGAGAAATCTTAAAAATAACTGGTGTGATTTTGTATGTCACCTGGCAGCCCTGGCAATTGGCATATTATAGTGACAACGAAATTCAAACTATAACCTAACCAAAACATTGCGATCCGTTCTACGTAATAAAATTATTGTCATCTTTAAATAATTAATACATTTTCTAAAGGTTACTCGTGAATTTCTAGTTATTGCAATAATAAAATAAATGAATACATAAATAACAATAAATTGAAGATATATGTGTACCGTTTTAGATTTTTAAATATTTGTTATTGTTAACTTTTTTAAAGGATAATAAACAAAGTATTGCATGAAATGAAACATCAATTTGTATTTTGACATTTTCTGTCTTAGCTTGGGCTTAGCTTAATCTCACCGTTAAAATGTCTATAAATACGAAATCATAGTTTAACCTTAGTGTACACTAAGCAAAGTTTTTCGTAAGGTAAGTCTGAGCAAAGTCCAAGTGCGCACTATAGATCTCACACTTAGAAATCGCGCCTTTGTAAGTCGAAATTTCAGCAGTTAAATTATATGTATCTTAAGTAAGAAGTTCTTGTTAAGTCGAAGACTCGTTAACCCGATTTTTTGCTTGACATTTGACATTCGAGTTATCGAGATTCCACTAGCTGTTTATTCCTAGATAGATATAGGTTTATCCATAGGTTAAGCCCGTACGAAATATTTTCTGCAACAATCTCCTCCTCAGCATGATTCTGAAACTCGTCCTTCAAGTGTTGTATTGGTATCGTACTCCCCTGTTATGCATATCTACCTAGTGAAATACCCATTAATTGTATTATATAGTAAAATTAATGATGGGTTATATATTTGATGAATATATACATTTATGTCTCGACTTAACTTAATTGAGGCCTAGGTTAGGAGGCTAACACAAGAGGAAAGTAAAAGATATAATACAATATTTTTTACATTTTACTCTTACGAAGATTTTTATAGAGAATATTTAACTAAACTTTATATAACGTTTCATTTCCTTCTTTTTATTAATTTTTATTCAGAGATTTGACATATTCCCGTTTATCCTTTAAATAATCATAAAAATCAATAGCCTTAATTTTACCTTTATAATTACTATCAACAGTAGCTAACAGTATCATATATTCTGTCAATCAACCATTATATGTTCGTACATTATTATTCGCATACTGATCACGGACATTTTTAAAGCATTTATAAATCTATTTAAGTGACACGCAGGTGTTCATATAAGTCATTCAAAGTAATTTGTCTTTGGCACTAGTCATAGACAAGTGCTGTTATGAAGGGAAATAAGACAAAAAATTCGGTAACATTTTATTAAACATACAGCCGTACTTAGAGTCTATTAAATTATCTCTATTGTTGATTTATTAGGTAAATTAGTTGTCTTATCAAGTATTCAATGTGATTATTTAAAATATATCAGATAACTGTGGTTATATAACATATCTGAATTTTATTATTAAAATTAAGGATTCGTTTTTGAGTCATCGTCACACAATGAACGTGTAGATATAACATTTGCATAATAGTAGGCGGAAGAGCGTGGAGTACGAGGGCGGTCCGGTTTAGTGAAGTCCACGTCAACAAGACCAAACTTCGATCTAAAAATTCAATTAATATATATTTATTAATAGATCATTAAATAATAATAAGGAAGTACAGAAAAAAACATATTACAGTATCATTTACGCAAGTGATACGTAACAGAAATTAATTATAAAAATATCGGTTTTTTGTTTTTTTTCTGCAATAAAAAAATAGTTTTAAAATTGTATGTGCTTGAGTAAAATGTTCACTGATACTTTAAACTCGTTTTATTTCTGAAAAAATAACTAAAACTTCTTATTAAAATGAAAACAATAAATAATAATTGAAAACACAAACACATCTACATTATAGTTTAACTCGTGAGAATCTATCTATCTCTATCACATACTTGAAAATTCAAATTGACGTAAAGTTACCGTCGTTTTCAGGATACTAAAACCTATTTTCAAGCGAAGTGTTAAGCGATTAATTGACGTTAAGTGCGCGTAAATTAAATAATTAGTGACGGTGTTTTGTGCATGAAATTACTGGAGTTCTGTTTTTAAAGAGATCTATAGCTTTTCTATTCGATCCCCTGGCTCGTAATAATACTCTGATACTATCTACTGCCCTGCGATTCTGTAACTCACTTTTCGAACTCACACAGCGGTTTTCGCATCGGCGGTCGCTCTCAAATCAGTCGTGAAGTAGTCATTTTATGATTTGGCATCCTGATAAACAATAAACTACAAGCTCTCTCAAAAGTGTGAGTTCGAAAAGTGAGTTACAGAATCGCAGGGCAGTAGATAGTATCAGAGTATTATTACGAGCCAGGGGATCGAATAGAAAAGCGCAGGGCAGATATGGAAATAATCAGAAAACTAAAGATTATTTTCCGATAAAATTGTGAAATTAAAATCTACAAGACATATTATTATGACACTTATTACTTACACGTAACCATCAGACCACTCAAAATTGTCCAAAAGCGTCCAAGCCGTGTAGTAGGTTACGTTCACATTGTCCTCGGTTATGGCGAGATACACCTGCCAAACATGATTAATGTTATACCTAAACATTTCTAGAAATTAATATTTGTTTATAGTCGCCCTCTGGCCAGATTAGGTAGTATCTTTATAATATTTCACAAATTTGTGAAGATTTTTTTCCTATAGAGCTAGCCGGAATTATGATCAGAATTCACTTTTTCATTCTTAGACTAAATTAAGTAAGTATTTAGGAAAGAAGAAGTCTTAAAGAATTGCTTTCATAATTATTTCAATTGTAGTTTGGGGTTGGAAGAACGCATAGGATAACCCTTTAAAATTACCTAACATATGAAATAGACGCAGGCGCAATGCCTCTATAACTATAGATCAGTTCAATTAGAAAGCAAATGTCAATCAAATCTACAGAAGTATTGATGAACCGACTTAGGGCCTTTCTAGAAAATAGCGTACCAATTCAAAAAAGGCCGGCAAGGCACTTGCGAACCCTCTAGCAGTGTCCATGGGCTGTGGTATCACTTAACATCCATGAGCCACCTGCCCGTTTTCCCCCTCTTCTAAAAAAATCATACGCAGTGTCAAGTACGTTTTTCAATTCGAACCTACCTGTTCCAAATGAGTCTTATAATAATTAACTCTATTAGTATCATTAAGGTCCCTTTTATCACTGGCATAACCATTTTCCATAATTCTATATTCTACGTCCCCATAGTTCTTTTTCAACCAGGACAATAGACGTCTTAATCCTTCTGGGTTTTCCTGCAATTCACAAAATGTTTACTTTAGTTTATGTAGGTATGTCAGATGGTGTTGAATATACTAAATTTTACGTTTAAATTTTAGTTGATACTCTTGGACAAAGTACCTACTGTTTAAAATAATTATGGAATCATTTAACGTTAAAAAAAAATTTCGATGTCATTACTACTTTCAAAATCTTTAAACTCATATGAAATCCGTATTAAAGTTCATAAGCGTTAGAATTTAAACTCTTACAGTAAGTTACATTGTATAATAATATAGCCTTTATATTCCGAAACTCTGTGATCTGTGATCTTTAATATATTTTCACTCCAGTATATCTCGAAGTTCGGTGTGCCTCTTGGCAAAGGCCTCCTTTAACCCTTTCCACCGTTCTCTGTCCTTTGCGACTCTTGTAGCCTGCTGTTAGTTTCAGTTCTTCCTCCCATCTCTTGCGTGGTCGGCCTCTTCTTAGTTTTCCGTCTCTAGGGTACCATTCCGTCAATATTTAGCTCCATTTTTCATGGGAGCTCCGTAGCATATGACCCGTCCATCTCCATTTCATTTGGTCTCTCTTAGTGAGAATGTCTGTCACACCTGTTCTAGTCTAATTTTCTTATTATTTTATCCGTGATACTTACAAAGAACCAATTAGAAGAGGTCGGTGTCCACTCTGGCGCAGGTTCCATTAGTGCATTTATTTCTTCACAGCCGTATAAAGGCCACAATCCAATTTTTTCTCCCTCTTTCGGATTTCTTACTAACCGGCTGGTATAGTAGTTTACGGCGTAGAAATCAAATGTTCCTACAAAATCAGGAATAATGTAAAAATAGTCGTATTTGGTAAAAATTTTAGGCTTGTATTTTGCGGGTGCGTCAGTGATAGATGTAGCCCCAATGAAAAATAGTAGTTTTCTTTATGATGCATGGATAAAATATATAATATATTTGAGAAACCTAATATTATTTATGCTTTTAAAATAGTGAATAGTTCTGATTTAAGTGAATTTTCAATGAATGTAAGGCAATTTATGCTACAAACAAACAAAGCAACTACATATATTGCAGCCTCAAACAACATTATTTTATTATTACTTTGTTTACCTAAATGGTCACTTTATCGGTTTACATTAAGGTGTAATTTTCAGAACAAAACTAAGGCTTCTAACAGTATTTAACGGCAGGTCGCCTGAACGGCAAACTCAAACTTAAAATGAATATACCTTTTATAAAATCGATCTCATCAGTAGTCAATGGTGGCAATCTGGATCTAGTGTAGCCTTCCCGGGCACTTTTCTCTGCGATATATTTTTCTACAGAGGGAGGCCAACCGCCTTCTTTTGAAAAGATTGGGTAGGAGTATAGACCAGCCTATAGAAAATGTTAAAAATACACTAAATACTTAAAACAGTTTTATTAGATGATTTCCAAAAATTTGATATCAAGGAAAATAAATTATAAAAATTAAACAGCTAAGTTGGCAGTCTAGAAAAATTATGTTTTTATTTATTTGTGATCCAGATATTTGAGAGATCTGAACCCATAATAGTCAGACTTGTAAATACCCTTTGAGGGCGTATATCGTTAAATTAAGTCTACCGCGGATAAAACTGTATGTAGCACTCAAGGTGGTTACAGGAGTTTTTAAGTTGTAAGGTACTTTAAGCAAACGAGCAGGTTCAGGCAGGCAGGCTCTTAGCATGACCAATACGTTAAATCGATGAAGTAAGTAGAAAAGTCACAATTCATTTTGTATAGAAAATCTAAGAAGCGCCACGTGGCCATCATTGGATTCCTTCATTAATTTGGAACTAAACGGAAACAAAATCTTACACTCATCTGCAGTACAAGCTCGGCTAAATCTTCGTATTCCTCTGAGTATCCCTGAGCCCACAAAATTTGATTAGTCAGCGATACTTTTCCTGAAACATTTTGATTTATAAAATTAAAATGTAAATGGTCGGTGAGTAAATATATGTTAAGATTTCCGTCTAATTATTTGCCGTATCATCGAATTAAAAGTTACACATCCACACGAAATGATTATTTTTTTATAAAAAAAACACAATCCTTTCCCAACAGGTGAAAATTCACAGAAAACATAAGAAATTGATAGGAAAAACTATCTAAAGAATTACATCATACAAAATTAACTAACTTCCAGAGGCACTTAAAAATAATAGAACTTTTTTGCCGTTCACTCAATGGACAATATTACGAACTAACGAATTCCATAACTAAATTAACTAAATACAGAGAAAGAGTAAGAGTAATAAAGATAGACGATAAAACGTTGAAATCAACGGTGACCCATCTGTCCCAATTAATATCCCATACTTTGTGACACACTTTATCTCCATCTTTGTCTCTCATCATAAAATTATATATTTTATGATATTAAATCTATCTAATTACACTGTAACTGTTTACTGTTAAAAATTCCTTTGTCTCTATCTGTCACATTGTATTTACGCGGAGACGGATAGAGGCATAAATATTATAGTTAAAATTGTTAACTCATTTTTTTTTAATGAATACACACTAACTGTTAGACACAGTTAGTGTAATCTGTAACACTAAATGTTAATCATATTATTTTAAACACAAAACCCTTACCCCCATATTTAGGCTTGTACTCCTCGTCATAAAGCCTCCAAGCTTTCGCGTGAGCCAACAGCACGTTCTTATTGCACAGGTAGCTTCCGAACCCTGGACTATATATACCAGGGGCAAAAGAGGCCATGGTGTACGAAGCCTCACAAACAATAACTGGCTCATTGATGGTAATCCAGGATTTGATGCGATCACCAAAGAGGTCGTATACCACGCGAGCATAGTCCGCAAACCATTCAACTATTAGAGGATTGGCCCAACCACCTAAAACGGAAGTTTTAAAAATGTATTAGTATTTTTGCCTCTTTTCATCTCAGTGCAACCAGAGTGTCAGAGAGAGACGAATGATCTTATCATAATAACACTGAATATTTTTATGAAGGGGTTAGTTCATAAGCGTTTAGAATCCAAGGTAATCAGGCGTTTAAGTAAGTAAAACTTAGTTCACACTTAGGAGACAAGGAAACCTGTATTGCGAGTTTCTATGTAGGGTGTCAAAAGATGCTGCATCAAATAAAACGATGTTTGGCTTAATAAAGTCTCCGACGTTTCAAAGGGAGTAAAAGGTTCCTATTATAAAAAATAAAAAATTGATTCCAAGGGTATCAGAGTCTCGAGTAGAGTAACTCTTATATGGCAAATCCAATAAATTTTTTGACATACGAGAGTGACACTTAGCGCTATGTTTCGAATCTTAAGGTAAATTTCTCTCATTTGTGGAGCAAATAGTAATCAAATATGAAGCATCTAAGAACACGAGTATATCTCTATAACTTTATCAGGTTTCAAAACGTTTATTTCTTCTACTAAATAGTAAATACTATGCGTGCAAAGAGATTAAAGTATTCTCTATTTAATTAAACAATCAATTATAGAATAATTATTTATACTAGCTTTAATGAATAGATAAATAAAGTTTAAAGGCCTTTGAAGTTCTATTTTCGCCGCTTAGATTGCAGCCATTTTATTTCACATATTTTTACTAGCTAACTTGTGGTTATAACAGCGTCGGTCGTAGCTATAAAAAACAAAAAAAAACCTGTGTGTACTTATGTACACTCGTTAGAAGTTATACTTCTTTGGCGTAACAAGATAAAATCTTTTCAAAAATTGTATTCTACGTTTGTAGAAAAAACGACACTAACAATAGAAAATAGGTATTTAACACAATAAAAGTTTTATTATAACGCATTATCTAGTTAAATAAAGTTTATTTAAATTTCACAAAAACTAAAATGTTGACTGTAGCTAACTTCAGGGTGTCGATTTCTTGTGACGGTGTGCGCGCGCATCGTAAAAATTTACTCTCATCATTTTTCCCTAACGCGCCAAAGAAGTATAACTTCAAAAAATATTATTTTTAATAAAGAGAGTTTTTAATAAACAAACTCTTCAGCTTCGTAACTTAAAGTACAGAATATATTATGGAGGACGCTTTGCCAGTACGCTCGCGGAGCCTACATCATACTCGTTAGCACCACAACACATCTATTAAAAGCCTACCTGCCAACACAGCTAGTACTTTAACGAGACGTTTAGTGTGGACTATTTAACGTATATTTATGTGTTATTTGTTAAATTATTGTAACGGGGGCATACGAGTCTACGGGACGCAAAAAACTGGTAGTCATCGCAGCCCATGGACACCCATTTTTAGTGGGTGCGTTGCCGGCCTTTGAGGGACGAGTACACTCTAACTTTGAATAGTTGGAGGTCGTATCTCTAAGGGAAGACTCCCACCGGGGGTCGATTCCACAGTTCGCTAGTTCGCGAAAAAAAGTGCCTTGTGAAACGGACTGTGGAAGACTTCCAGCCATCAAGGTGATGTTGATGAAATATTGAATTGATACTAAATATCATTTATCGCTGTTCTTGCCGTTTATCTTGTTTTAGATTTGTGTTGTACAATTGTAAATAGTCGGTGCAAATAAATAAATGTATAAATGTTTCTATGTAATCTAATCTAATAAATAATATCAGCTATAAATCTCATAGTAGTCATAATAGTTCATACCACCAAGAAATATTGGTTTTTGGGCGAATATCGTTTTCTCTATGTAAAAATAACATTTACCCAGATCCTGCAACCTCTGCGGCAAGTCCCAGTGGTAGAGAGTGATAACAGGTTCGATTCCCTTCTCAAGAAGGCCATTAATCACGTCATTGTAGTATCTCTTGCCGTCCTCGCTTATGTAGTTGGAAAAACCATTTGGCAGTAGCCGCGGCCATGATAGTGACAATCTGAAATATAAAGGTTGGACGACTTAAAACCCCAATTTTTAAACACATTTTTTACCTATGTACTGATTTTAAAATAATATAAAAAAAAAGGGTGCGTGTACTTATGTACGCGCGTACGAACGTATACTTCTTTGGCATTATTAAAAATAGTTTTTGATTGCATGCAAATAATTAATTACAATTAAATAATCAAGGGCTGGAAAAGGAGTCATTATAGTCAATAAAGTTCAGTTTACATTTGAAGAATTAAATAAATAAATATTTATTTCTCTTACATTAAGTGTAACATAAATTGTATTATTATTCGAATGTTGTTTTTAAATTATGTCCAATGCCGTAGCATCTTCCGTAGGCAACTCCATTCTGTTAATTTTGTGTCACGGTGCGCGCGCATCGTAAAATTTCACTCTCATCAATTTTTCATAACGCGCCTTAAGAAGTATAACTTCATAATACGTTATAAGAGTTAACAAATTTTAATTGTATTGCTTGATCAAGGCCCTTTCGTTATTTTTTGGAGATAGAGTTCCGGGAGTTTTTTATTGGAAATTTCCTCTTCTTTCAGAATCTTTTTTTGAAATTTCTTAAATATTAATAGTTTATTAAATATTGGCAAAAAACTAAATGCCATTTTTTTTTTTTCATCTTTAATTGTTTATAACTTTTGCAATTTTTCATGTGCTAATACACGCTTTTGGCACATTTTTCTAGACGTCATTCCGGATCCAATGAGCTGTCGCACATAATTTTAAGAGCAGTATCTCTATTTTGTACCATTTTCAACTTGTCGACTAGACTACTATCATAACAATAAATTACATCGTCGAAATGGAAATATTAAAATGTCTTGCCAATATTCGTTAAATATTTCTGTTACACGAACAAAGATAGTCAATGTATGCTCAGGTGTAAAATTTATACGGTTGGTCGATTGATTATAATAGGTTAATCGCCTTATATTAATAGGTGATTATATAATATAACCAGTATTTACAGATCTAATAATCGATGGATTGGCACGCAATTCGAAATTCAAATAAATTTTATTCAAAGCCGTGTTCTTTAGTTTCAAATTCAGTCATTTGTTTTTGTGTAATTTTGGGGTACGTTTTGGCATGGCGCCAAGATAAACTGAAAATAAGTATACCTAATGATCGAATATTAGTTCCTACGTGGAAACGCTGCGCACACAACACGAAGCATAAATGACGTGTACGGGCCTAACAGTGCTTGCATAAATACGGTCCATTATTGGTTGGGTCGTTTTAAATCTGGAAATATTGAATTAAAGAACGAGCCTCGCGGTCGGCCAGTAAGTGTTGACCACGACGACTTAAAGGCGATAGACAAAGCAAATCCAGCGCAATCTATGGCTGATCTTCCTGGGGCCTTGGAGTTAGTGTGAAAACAACATCGAAGGACTTGCGTCAAATCGGAAAGATAAAAGGGTAGATAAGCGGGTGCCACACCAACTAAGTGATCGACAGCAAGACATACGCGTTGAAGCTTGCATATCACCCACTGTATGCACATAGAAACGAGGGAATTCTAAAGCGTTACATGCAATGAAAAGTGGATCCTGTAGACTGGGGTACAGCACCTAATCAGTGCGGTAAAAAAGATTACTCATAGAAAGATGTTGACCAGTGCCGACTTGTACATCACAGCTTCGTACCGAATGGCACAACAGGGACAGTAGATGTATATTGCCAAGAATTGCAAACAATTATGAAGAAAATCACAATTCAACAACCAAGACTGGTCAATCGCTCTTCGCCATTGCTTCCCCACGACAACGCGCTAACTTTACGACAGACTAGCAAAGCTACAAAAGTTACATCTAGAAGCTCCTACCGTACTTACCAGCCTTAACAGATTTCAACTTTTTCCAAAATTTAGAAACTTTTTTAAGTGGCTAAAATTTAACACCCGATAGGCAGTACAAAACGCTTTCACTGATTTCTACAGGAATAAACAAACTGCCATCAAAATAGCAAAATTGTATATATAATTTGAGCCATTACTTTGATAAGCTGAAATAATAAATTTAAAAAATGTATCACATATAAAATACAAATCTCCGAATTGAAAGGACCTAATATTAATAGAATAAAACGTTTTAACAGCTATATCTGATACTGACCTGTAGAAATCAAGTCCTAATTCAGACGCAAGGTGAACATCTTCCCTCCACTTGTGATAGGAATCACAGGCAACATCGCCGTTTGATTGATCCACTATGACTGAAGGGTTGTTGTGAATGAAGGTGTCCCATATACTAGCTGACTTGTCTGTTTATCAGAAGATTATTTTATAAACGTAAGTCGTTTTAAAAGCTGTCTTGAAAGGAATTCAGTGCCTCTACAACTGTTTTATGTAAGAGAAAATGGATTACGAAAAATGGTTGATTGCTCACATACAGAAATATTTTTTTTTGCCAGGAGTCGAATGCACGACGTCGGGGTAACACTATTTTTCCTACACCTTTACAAATAAAACAATAATAGGTACGATACATAAATTGACACCATATCCAAATAAAGTTTCCTCTGTATCACACACTGTAAATTTTCAAGAACTGGAAACAATTTTTCCCTGTAGTATTTAATTCGAACTTTTAATCATGGTATGGTTTTTAATTGAGAATTTGCCATAAATTTTTACTCACCACTAACATTCCAGGCCCCTTCAACTTGATAAGATGCAGTCGCCGCCCCGAACTTAAATGCGTCGGGGAATCGACGCTCTCCACGTACGACTGCTATTAATGCACTAATAATATAAAATATATTAATTTTTATAATAGTTAAATTCTTCCAATTTTTTCCATTCATTTAATACTAACACTTAACCAAACAAAGAAAAGTATGAAAAGTTGACTCCAACTTTGAACCGCACTCATGGCTAGATATCGGGTTACATAAATAGATAGATCCTAGTGATATTTTTTAAAACTTTATTTGTAAAGACAACAGCTAAGGCGAGGTGTTTTTCACATTATAAATTTATATCACCGTTATAAAAAATCCATAAAATAACATACACACCTGAAGACAATTACCTTTAAGCAACACATTGTTTCGACTGAGTATACATTGCCTATGTGATAATATTATCAGTCATCAGCTTACTTTAATGTTATTTGACATTGAATTGTAATAATACTATTGGTGACTAAGCTGTACAGAACTACGAAATTATTATAAAGATAATGTCGTAGCGGCCGCCATGTTGTAACTTAACGAGAGAGAGAAAGGAAGTTGAAGGCTACGTTGATTTCATACTTTAACGAAAACCCGTCTCCACACATTGCACATTGGTTTTACACTACTTTGGTACCACGGTATTGGTAGTGATAGATGTTAATAATGTACTCATTTTATCATGAACAGGAACCCCCTGTAAGAGATCATTTATTACTGTAAGATCATTTATTACATTATCTTAGAATAGCTAAGTTAAAAATACAACAAGAAGTTAGACTGCAGTGTATCGACTAGCCTGTACATTAGTACTTAGATACGTACGATTACGTACTTAATAGAAAGTTAGTGAGTTCTGGCCCATCGATTAATTCAATACAGCCCTGCGATTCTGTAACTCACTTTTCGAACTCACACTGCTTCACGACTGATTTGAGAGCGACCGCCGATGCGAAAACCGCTGTGCGAGTTCGAAAAGTGAGTTACAGAATCGCAGGGCTGCAGTGTACTTTGAAAGCAGAGGTTGTGCGTTAAAATCACGACTGTGCACCAATTTTCTTTCTAACTGCGCATCACATCGACGTAAGAAGTTTGTATTTGCTGTAAGCCTCAACTGCCGACCTACGACCAACCGAAAACACGTTTTTCACATAAATTCTTCTTTCTCTTCTTCGTCTTATTTTTTTACGTAAAATATGAGTTACGCCATTAGCTTTTTAACAAAACGAGTATGTTTTAAGCCTACAAATGAGCCATTCTTGCGATCTGAAAGTCTTCAAAACAGAGGAAACTATATACATACATTTTCCTATGATTTTAAAGGTGTTAGCTGAAGCTTAATGCTTCGAAATTTGAACCTAGAAGATTTGGGTGTCACCAAGACGAAGTAATATTTATACAGAATTAAATTACCCATTTTGAATATTTCGTCGTTATAGAAACGTCTGTTCTGGTTTACCATTTAAATGAAAAATCAATGTCGAGTGTCAAAAACTGTACAAAAAAAAAACTTAAAAAGATATTTGTATTACTTTCTAATATGTAGAAGGAAAAATAAAAAACATGGTCCTAGCATGTACTATAGTTTTTGGGTTATGATTCTTTTTCCAATTTTTGGCTGTGGTGAACATTCGCTATTTTGGAATCGCAAATACGTTTTCTTACATCGACATGGTCTCATGGCGACATCGTGAGAACCCAAGCATTTCTTAGACCTTAATATCGAAGAAATACATCAGGCACACAAATGGCCTACTTTATAATACAAGAAGCATGATCAAACAAACCCAAGCCTAGGCTTCAGCCTTCAGCGTGCGACATCCCTGAGGTCGTAGGTTCGATCCCCGGCTGTGCACCAATGGACTTTCTTTCAATGTGTGCATTAAACATTCGCTCGTACGGTGAAGGAAAACATCGTGAGAAAACCGGCTTGCCTAGACCCAAAAAGTTGACGGTATGTCAGGCACTGGAGGCTGATCACCTACTTGCCTATTATATTGAAAAAATTATCATGAAACATATTCAGATATCTGAAGCCCTGGCCTAAAGAGGTTGTTGTGCCACTGATTTATTTTATTTTCATTTACTATTTTAGGGAACCCTATAACGTTGTTATCAAAAGGTTTTAAAATGATAGCACATGTGTGACAAGATAAAACAGTTTTACATAATACTTGATAATACTATGCAATAACAAATAGATTGCCGCTATGGTTACGAATTTTTGTATATACTTCAGAAGACTGCGAAGTGTGGATCTGAAAATAAAAATATAATTTATTTATGTAGGTATTTTTCACGAACGTAAAATACTGAGTTTTCAAACCAAGGAAAACGGACGAAAACTAAGTGACTCATCGTCACTCTTTCAAATCGCCTGTTTGTTTTTTCTAACTTCATAAATTTCAATTCACTTATAGTTGTACGGTTAATGGTTGATCAAAAACAATAAGGGATGGAAACCATCACACATATCCACTAATAAAAGGAACTGTCACAAAAAAAAATCTTAGCCCTTGTAAACTACGGAATTTTTTGTATGTAAGAATCGGGTGATTACGTTTACGTTCAAAGTTCAATATATATAAAACCTATTTTATTAATTATTTGAAGCGTAGTCTGTAAAGTAGTTAGTGGCCGTTCAAGTATTACGTAAGCAGATTATCTGCAATTTATCCGTCCCCCCTTCCTCTTGTAAGCGTAAGCAAAACTCTCATAGTACATAAACGTATTATTTTTCTGTAGGAATCCTCGAAAATGCATTTCCTTTTCAAGCATAGACAATATGAGGGTAATATGTGTAAAAAAGTAAATAATGACTGTTGACGTAATCACCAAATAAGAAAATCAAAGACCCCCCCCCCCTATATTGCTTACGTAATACTTGAACGACCTCCTAAGGCTATTCAACGAAGAGCTATTCGAATCGTCGACGACCAGTCACTTTCCGTGCGGCTTGATCCCTTGGCGTTGCGTAGAGGTGTAGACCACACATCTTCTACCGCATATACCACGGAGAGTGTTCAGAGGACTTGTTCGGTCTAATACCTGCAGCTGAGTTTCATTATAGGACGTCAAGGCAAAATACAAAATACCATCCGTATCACCTCGAGGTCCACGTTTCACAACTGAGCGTTTTCTAAGGCAGTTTTTGCCGTGCAGCACCACTATGTGGAACCAGCTGCCCACTGAAGTATTTCCGAACCAATTCGACTCAGAACTTGAAAGGCCGGCAATACACTTGCAAGCCTTCTGGCAGTGTGAGTGTTCATGGGCGGCGGTATCACTTAACATCAGGTGAGCCTCCTGCCCGTTTGCCTCCTATTACTTAAAAAAAAAGTATCAATCGATTACGAAACTTGCCTAGCAAGCTTAAATCGTGCAGTCTTTATACAATCATACTTTATAGATTTTGCATACCTATTTGTGAAATTAAATCGTAGCGTCAAAATTGATTCTTGATCTTGATTGTTTTGCGGGCAAAAACATCATCAAGGTTATCAATTGACAAAAATACTATCACATCAAAACTTTTTTGACTTTGATTCATTGCTTTATTTACGTATCTGAATGTTTCAAGATATTTTAATGTGAAGTATTCGGGTAAACCACGATCAATACAAAATCTAAGACAATATCATATTTTATTTGATTAGATCTTTGCGATTAATAACATGGATAACACATAACTTTGTAATATTAATAACTTTTTTATCTGTCAGGGACAAAAATTTAATACCAGATAATTTTTAAAATTCTAACAATAAATAATTTCCTTTCGGTACTAAATAAACATATTTCAAAATGTTAAGGTAGACTAATTTCATTTTAAATAAAAAAAAATATTTCTTATCTAGCAAACATTCATACTGTAAAAATAATACATATATATAAACATTTTCAAGTACTATTGAGATTATCCTGACAAAAATTTGCGGGGGTTATAAGATGACATTTTTATTTTGAATTGCCTTTTTTTTATCTCAATAGATAACGGTAATCCGTCACTACTATAGATTTTCAATAATTATTTATTTATTATTTTTAGAGATAATAAATATCTACAGAATATTATTACAGACTCTCATATTAAGAGAGAGAGAGAGAAATGCTTGAACCTTATATTACAAAGTCTCTTCCTTAACTGTATTTATTAAATGCCAGTAAGTAGCTACAAACATTATTAAATTAATGACTATAAAATCAATAAATCAAATCACTACAACGTTGTTTTAGGTCTGGGCCTCATATTTCTGTATCTCTTTCCTTATCATTTGTCCATCTAATAGGAAAGAAGTTGATCAGCCTCCTGCTTGACACTCGCCGTTGACGTTTTGGGTCTAAGGCAAGCCGGTTTCTGAACGAGGTTTTCCTTCACCGTTCGAGCGTCTGTTAAATACGCACATATAAAAAAAGTCCATTGGTGCACAGCCGGAGATCAAACCTACGACCTCACGGATGAGAGTCGATCGCTGAAGCCACGCAAGGCCACTGCTCACTGCTAAAATTAATATACAAAAAAAATTAAAATAACAATATATCCCCAGGCTTGTACACGTATGCTTGCGTGTCTGTGATTTATTTATTAATTTTATCATTTTTCTATGTCAGCAAGAAAGCATCTGAACTATCTGCTTCCACCGGTTCGGGCCAGCGCGTATCTTATGACAGTGTACAGTTTTGAGGACGATGAGTCTTTCACTTGATCAGTCCAACTGGTTGGTCTATGAGACCTTTTGCCTTCTGTGTTACCAACCACGATCAGTTTCTCCAAGTTCTCGGCACATACAAAAGGTAACAATATGTATAAAATAAAAATACAATAAGAATTTTTACATTTATTGTACAAAATTCACAGCGCTTATCATTAATAATTATTTAATTACTATTTAACCTACATAAGACAACACTCCAATTCTTATAATATAACTTAGGATTGCAAAGATAAAAATTTGTACATATTTTCATTAGTCATATAAAATAAAACAGTCTAACTGCACCATCAAACTGTACCTGTCTCTCTTCATCACAACGTAAACACATTATGATACAAACGAAACACTCTAGTTAAAATTGAATTAGACCTATTAAGGGAGCGTTCAAGTATTACGTAACGCAATTTTTGGAGTCAGTACCCAAGTACAGTAAAACGTTTCGTGACCACCTAGTGACTCTTTAGTTACTATTATGTGGTGTAAGTCGAAAAAAATATTAACAATAACGCGTAATTTAATCCCCGCCCCGCATCGTAACGTTTTACAAAAGGAAATAAATACGTTACGTAATACTTGAACGCTCCCTAATTATTTATGATATTCACTACCTAAATATGACGCAATGCTTAGTGCATAAGGCATGACGTACGAAAATATTAGCCTTATATAGCGTGATGTAAATAACAAATTTCTCTAGTAAAATCCTATCGCTAAAATACTAGAATCAAGCCGGTGATTGACGTCATAAAAAAATTGCATTTATTAAGGAATTCATGTCTAATATGCACTATATAAAATACTATAATAAAATAGTCCGACAGCTTAGAGCAGACATTTCTAAAGCTCGTATTCTACGCGAATGAAACAAAACACCTGTGAAACCATTTTTACATTCCAAAGAAAACAACGAATCTGACCACAAATTCTGATGGAGGCGGTAGAATTAAAATTACGAGTCCAAAGTCCACATAAAAACTACCCTCACACAGATATAAGTCCCGGTTTCCGTCCGGGCCACGCTTCTTTTGCGTATTTCTTCCTTTTGGGCTCGTTTGACGATGCTGCTGCCTCTTCGGGAGCTAAAAAGCAGAATTACATTAACAAAAAAAATATTTAAACGTTTAAACTAGGGTTACAATTTACATGTTAGACTCAAAACGAAATGTCGACTATGATTGGTCAAACGTATAACGTAAACGTATGTCGCATGCCAACGTGGCCAATCACAATAGAACGGAACATAGCGTCATAGTCGTAGAATAGTGACGGATCTGACAAATAGTGAACTTTACAGGGCAGCCATTTCAAAATAAAATAATCATGTAAGTTTTTGTCATAATTATTTTAATTCATATTCTGTTATAATGAAAATTGGCATACAAGCAAACAAAAGGGTTTGTTTTGAAAAAAATAAAAAAAAATGTGTGCGTGTACTAGGTGTACACACGTAAGAAGTGAAACTTCTTTATGACCTTATTAGAAACTATTTCTTTAAACACAGTAAATTTTGATACACTTGCCTAGCATACAATTTACAAATTAATTGCTGCAAATTGCGATTAGCAAATTTCAAGTCGAAAATGTAATCCGTTGTCAAACTTCAAAGTCAAAAACATACTATATGTCATATTTTAACGCCGATAAAGAAGTTTGACTTCGAAAATGTAATCCGTTGTCAAACTTCAAAGTCAAAAACATACTATATGTCATATTTTAACGCCGATAAAGAAGTTTGACTTCGAAAATGTAATCCGTTGTCAAACTTCAAAGTCAAAAACATACTATATGTCATATTTTAACGCCGATAAAGAAGTTTGACTTCGAAAATGTAATCCGTTGTCAAACTTCAAAGTCAAAAACATACTATATGTGTCATATTTTAACGCCGATAAAGAAGTTTGACTTCGAAAATGTAATCCGTTGTCAAACTTCAAAGTCAAAAACATACTATATGTCATATTTTAACGCCGATAAAGAAGTTTGACTTCAAAAAGCAACATGGCGCGTAACGGAAAAATGTGACGCGTAACGCAAAAATGTTACACTAAATTTTTTTCCAACCCCGATAAAGAAGTTTCACTTCAATAACATTAAATTACACAATTTTCTAGAAAAATCACATGTTTCTATCAAATCCGTCACTTTACCGACTGATTAATTTGAAATTTAAAACACATGGATTTTTATTATTGTAGCCGTAAAAATTAGTCTTAGTTAGTTAGTTTAGTCAATGTAATATCCAATTATGATAAAAAGTGGATTTTGTTTTTTTTTCAAATCCGACATTGTTCTACGATCATGACGATAGTATCGTTTAGGCTTTCGTTAGACATCCCACAAGAAAAGTTTAAAAATTTGTATTTTTCAACCACAAAGTTGTTCTTAAATCTTGCGCATTTATCTCAGCGATCCAAATAAATGTATTTGAAATCGAGACTGAAAATTCAAATAAACCATACTAATTAACTTCTTTAAAAAAAGATTTTAATTAACATAAATTTAAAAATACCCAACAGTTATCAGAAATTTTAGATGTATTAAGCGTATTTTTTTTTTACTTAAATGGTTTAAAAATCATTAAAATGAAGCTAGAATATTACCTGAATTTGGCAGCGGCGGATGTACGCTGAGATGCGGCTCGGGGCCTTCCATTTCCACATCTGGAGCTGGATTTGGTAATGATATACCGAACCTACAAAGTATCGGTACTTATTATCCAAAAACATTATCATTATTTCAAAATCAATGTAATCCTTATTCTATTGTCTAGAGTTTTGACTTTTGACCCTAAATCTGAAGTCTTTTATATGATATATATAAGAGATATCATATAAAAGACTTCTTAAAAGACTATAAATTAATAGTATTATATACACAATTGGACACGTAGAGCGGTAAGCCCTATAAGACTCGGGAAAATCATATAAAATCTTATAGGGTTTACCGCTCCATGTGTCAAAAAAAAATTCATGGCTGCAAGTCTTCTGTTTCTACATGAAGCAATTCGTTGTCACTAAATCACACGAAACTTCTGTGATATAAAGTATTTAGCCATTATACGAAAAGCCTATGTCAACAAGGTGTTGCATACGGCAATCTCGACTCTGAATTGCCGTTTTTTTTTTGGCGCATGGCGCAGGCTCAGGTCTTTCGACCATACCGCCTAGTCTTTCTTAGAATTTTGCCTTTAATCATATATTAAGTTCATTTATCTGAATTGCTGTGTACGAAATGTCATCTTGTAAAACTAACCTGGCTCCAATAAGGCTGAATGGCGACGACGTAGGCGCCGGCAAATCCGAGTACAAGTTGGTGCTGCGAGATATCTCTTGCAGGCGGAGGGAGTGGTGTATGTGAACTGAAAATTCAATAGCTTGTACGTAGATATATGACAAAAAGAAAGAAAAAACCTAATAACACCTTTATAACAAAAATATATTTATGTGATATAAATTAACATAATACGTCCCAACATAGGCCTCGACTTACATTGTCATTCTCTTATTTACTGTCGTCCTGGACCAAATAATTGCCATTATTCGTTGGTTTATCAAATATAGTTATACTAGAAATGTCGCGTATAAAGACTGATATTGAATAGACCAGTGCAGATAGCCTTTAAAATAAATAAAAAGTGAAAAAAATTACAGTAGGATGAAACCCATTAGAAAAGCAGGGGAATATGATCAAAATGAAAGGAAAAATAAATTACGGTCGATCTGAGGTCGGGAAGGGGTGGGGGGAATTTTAAGGGTAAAAAACGGTTTATCTCGATTTCCGGCAAAACCACAAGTCCTATCGAAGAAAGTTAAATGACAAAGTTGTAGGTAATAAAAATATCTAAAACTTTTGTATTCACACATTTTTCACATAACCTCAAAATTGGTGTGAAAAATTCAAAAAACCAAGTTCTTGGTTTTTAATTTTTATCTTTTACAAAAATTTATTTTTTTAAACGAAATTTGGTGAAAACTTACCTTATTATGTCCCAAATATACTGTAATTTATTTGATTAAAAATATTTATTTTTTCACCTTATTTTGAATTAATATCGAAAAAACACCCTAATTTTCAATCGAAAATTCTGACGTCAAAATTTCAGCTTTTTTCAAAAAGTTGGTGTGCTTTCAGTTCGTTGAAATCTCTACTTTCCTATGGTAAAAAAATATATATATATTACCATAGTAAATCTTCTCAGAAAATGCAAAAGCATTTTCTGAGAACCCCTTCCTTACTTCTCTATAAAATACGAAAATTTTAGCCCATCTAAAGACTAAATTTTTTTTTTAGGTCACTCAGGTATATATAAGTTATCTTAAAATAGTAATAAATAGGCATCTGATTATAATTTAAAGAAGATTCATAGAGAAGTAGGGAAGGGGATGACCGGTCTGGGCGTTACTGCATACGATTTTTTGCATTTTCTGAGAAGATTTACTATGTTAATATATATATATATATTTTTACCATAGGAAAGTAGAGATTTCAACGAACTGAAAGTACACCAACTTTTGAAAAAGCTGAAATTTTGACGTCAGAATTTTCGATTGAAAATTAGGTGTTTTTTCGATATTAATTCAAAATAAGGTGAACAAATAAATATTTTTAATCAAATAAATTACAGCGTATTTGGGACATAAAAAGGTAAGTTTTCACCAAATTTCGTTAAAAAAAAAATATTTTTGTAAAAGATAAAAATTAAAAACCAAAAACTTGGTTTTTTTAATTTTTCACATAAATTTTGAGGTTATGTGAAAAATGTGTGAATACAAAAGTTTTAGATCTTTTTATTACCTACAACTTTGCTATTTTACTTTCTTCGATAGGACTTTTAGTTTTGCCGGAAATCGAGATAAACCGTTTTTTACCCTTAAAACTCCCCCTTCCCCTTCCCGACCTCAGATCGCCCGTAATTTATTTTTCCTTTAATTTTTATAATATTCTCCTCCTTTTCCAATAGGTTTCATCCTACTATTTTTTTTGGTTTCAAAAATTATCGGCACTGGTCAAGAAGGTGTGAGCGTCATTTGTTTATTGATGTGAAACATCTATAGCCGCACGTAAAACCGATTTCTGGCGTGGCGACGCATGCCGTGGCGACGCGTCACCACGCTATATGATGGTATATATATACAGTATATATGCAGTAGTGTGTACGGTGTGTGTATTTCGAATTCACTGATTAAACGAATTAAGAAGTCACGATTTGAAATAAATTCGTAATTTTTTGTATTTAATGAAAATAAATGTTTATTCAATAAATAGTCATCGTTATCTGGAAAAAAATCGTAATATTTTATTTTATCATTATGACATATTTAATTCCTATCACAATCTGTTCTTTTCTGCATATTACTTTTACAAAATGTCGATGTTTCACATCTGCCAGGCGTCCCGTGACGGCTCACATTTTTTTATTTCTACGATAAATTTAAAAAAAAAGGCACTCTGTAACTGAGTTTTATCATCGGACGTCGAGGCAGAATACAATATACCATCCGTATCACCCCGTTGTTGCACAGCGTTTTCGCCGCGCATCACAACTATGTGGAGCCAACCACTAAAGTATTTCCGAACCAATTCCACTTAGGGTCCTTCAAGAAGAGTACGTACCAATTCTTAAAAGGCAGGCAATTCACTCGCGATCCCTCTGGCATTCATTATCACTGAACATTAGACCTTCTACCCATTTGCCACCCTCCCCCGTTGTATAAAAAAAACTTGCGATAGCGATATTGAACCAGACGGATTTATATCTAATTTCGATATAGCGCCCTGGTAGTGATGATGCTTGGGCCCCCCTGATACAAAAACTTAACACTACAGGTGGAATCGCGATCGCTATCGCTATTTGGAGTTACAGAGTACCAGCTGACAATCGCTTATGAATTATTTAAATTTAATGTGTAACAAAACAAAATTATGTTTACTGAAACTTACTTTCATCGGGATTGTGTAGTTTGATCTTCTTAGATGGTATACTGGAATTGGGTACTATAGTTGACCGCACCAGATTCCTAAAGCGACCCACAGAAGGATCAATGTCTTCTGGATTTATTATATCCACCTCTTCATTGAATGACACATTCCGTTTCTGCTTCTTAGGAGCTCCACTTGGCATTGTGGATGCTCGCTTCGTACCAGTTGGAGGCTGAAATTTATATTTGTTTATTGAATATATTGGTTAATTACAATATCAGAACAATGAAAATCGTACAATCCGACGACTCATTGGTCTAGTGGTTAGTACCCCTGAATGCGAATCCATGGGTCCCGGGTTCGATCCCCGGCTGAGACAAACATCGATGTGATGTGCATTTGGTGTTGTGCTTAGGTCTTGGGTGTTTAAATGTGTATTTGTATGTCTATCTATAATATGTATGTATATCCGTTGCCTAGTACCCATAACACAAGCTTCACCAGCTTAGCATGGCACTAGGTCAATTGGTGTGAATTGTCCAATAAAAAAAAAAATGAGAACACTTAAATAATTAGGACGGTGTCGCGCTCGCCCACCTTATACAAGCCTTATTGCTTTCAAGCAATCTCTTCCAGGCCACAACCATAAGGAAGATATAGAAGAAGTAAGTGCAGTACAGATAATAATAAGTTTAACAATATAAGTTTACTAGTCGTTTTAACGACGGGTGGGTTTATGTGATATATCGAAATTTAAGAAATAAATTTACATTAGAATTTTCATAATATTTTATTATAAATACTTCATCTTCCTTTTTGTATTAAGTTTCAACAAAATAGACACAAATAACTATTTGCCACACAAAGTTATGAAGGTAGTTAGAAAATAATATAATATTATATATAAGCAAAATTTTAATTAACAGTTATGCCAGAATCACCAATTACTTGAAACTATTTCTTATACTACTGTTTTTACCTAAAAATATTTTTCAGTCAACAAACTCTAATCTAGGTAAACTTAACATTATAAAATGGAATAGTTTTTTTGTTTCATTTAAGCAACTAATAGTATAAATAAAAAAATATTTTAGTATTAAACACCAAAAATTTAGTCCATTTAATAATAATAAAAAATAAATCAATGGCGCTACAACCTTTTTAGGTTGGGCCTCAGATTTCTGTATCTGTTTACGATCATTTGGTAATCTAATAACCAAATAGGTGATCACCCTTCTATGTCTAACGCACGCCGTTGTTATTTTGGGTCTAAGGCAAGCTGGTTTCCTCACGAGGTTTTCCTTCACCGTTCGAGCGAATGTTAAATGCGCACATGGAAAGAAAGTCCATTGGTGCACAGACGGGGATCGAACCTACACCTCAGGGATGAGAGTCGCACGCTGAAGCCACTAGGCCAACACTGCACTTTTAATAATTTTTAAACTGCTCAATTTAATAATAATAATAAAAACTTTATTCATAACGGAAATATGGTTGTGACAAAAGTCATCTATCGCTAGTCCCCACACCAGGGAGACTCTGTGTTGTGGGTAACTAGATTTCAATTTTTCCGTGGTACATGGTGCATGTTTAAAATCATTTTTTAAAAGAAAAGCTAGTCTTAGTGTTAAATCTAATCAAACACAAGTCATAGAAGTATGCGTGAATGTATGAGTATGTGAATGGGTATATGTATGTATTTGAGAGTGTAGATAAGAGTTGCTATAATTGTCTGCTGTGTCTGTCATAGTTTTTAAAGAGAGTCATTTCAACATATGTAGTAAATTTATACAACATAATGAGGGGACAGCTAGCATAAATAATATAATGCAAAATATATTACCTTTATTACATCTGCATCATCGTTCGTCGGGATTCCCAACATAGAGATCCTTCTGTTGTGTGCTGTGTTGAATTCTGTTAAGTTCTAAAATAAAATGTTCAATTTATTTATAAATTTAACTACATATGTATGTTCAAAGCTCCTTATTAATTAAAAAATAATCAAACTGACTTATTTTTGACATAGCAACAGATTAACCTAAGCAATCATCTATCTTTGCTACAATGCAAATGATTAAGTTTTTGATGAATACATAATAGGTTCATCTGTGGCATATTAAACTTTTATACTCATTGTGTAGCTAAATGAATTCAATTTTGAAAAAGGAAAGGTTCTCTGTGGCAAACAATGTGACAACAAACTAAATATAATCGATCCTATTTTTATATAATTAATATAATGTACTTACATCTAATTCAGTCTGTGTCTCTGGAAGCCCTAATAAGGCACCTTCTGTTTCAGTATTGGGCAATTCCTCCATGATACCTCTAGAATTACCAGTTGGCCTTTCTCTGTAAAATAATTACATCCATATATATTCATATACTGAACATGGTATTACTGGGGCAGACATTTTAGAAGTTATACTTCTTTAGGCGCGTTATGAAAAATTGATGAGAGTGAAATTTTACAATGCACACACACCGTGACACAAAATTAACAGAATGAAGTTGCCCACGGAAGATGCTACGGCATTGGACATAATTTAAAAACAACATTTGAATAATAATAGAATTTATGTTATACTTAATGTAAGAGAACAATAATAAATATTTATTTAATTTTTCAAATGTAAACTGAACTTTATTGACTATAATGACTCCTTTTCCAGTCTTTGAATCTATCTAAAAAATATTGTTCTACTATGCACATTAATTTATAGATAAACACAATGATGGCTTTGTGCTCATTGTCAATAGCCAATGACTTATTTATTTAGGTACACATATTGCCATTTACATATGGAATGTATACAGAAACTTCATTGACATTTCAGAAAATAAGTTAGCATTTTAATAAGCAAAATTATGTATTTACACACTAAAAATGACAATGAAAACTTTATTTTTATAAGTACCTTATAATATAATTCCTTGTTGATGCACCAAAGTGAAAATTTGAGTCAATAGGTAATTGTGTTGGCTTGTTTGGCTCCAGACGCATTTTACCAATATATGTGCCATGTGCTGGAATTTATGTTTCAAAACTTGCAAACCATAACATTATAATACAATAAGAGAATATTAAAATCATACATGACAGCAAAATATTATATATAAATGGATACAACCCATGAATAAGTGATCAGCCTGTGTCACACTTCATCAATTTTTAGGTCTTAGGTAATACTAGTTTCCTCATGATTTGATTATATATGATGTTTTATTATGAATCCAAAAATATTATAAACAGTTTTATGTAAAATCTTTCAAACCTGTAATAGTGCACATTTACATAAAAATTCTACTTACTACTTCCCAAATCCACTAAAAATGCTCTATTCAAGTTTTTATGATATACAAAAGCTGCATGAACCCTTGAACAACTTGCATGGTCAATGCAAAAGTCATTCATTTGAGGGTTTCTTCCAAAGAGGTAGCATTTCTTCTCATCAATCATAAGTTTCTGTATCAACTTGTCACCTTTTAAAACATCTAAATGAAGGCCTGTTGGTGGTTTTCCTGCCCTATAATCATATTTAAGTACAAGATAAAAACTAAGCTCATTTATAACAAGTATGGGTAACAAACTAGGTATCATAAAACCTAGGTTAATAAATAAGAAACTCAAGAAATTAATTCCTATATGACAAGACCCAAATAATAATCAAAGAAATGTTTACGTCGGTACAGTAATAAATAATGTAATTGAATTACTAAAATTTATTAGTATAGATGCAAAATAGGATTGAAATAGGTTGGAATGTCGGCGAAATTTATTATACTTAATACTCACCAATTGGGCACCTCATAATGATTAGCCATTCCACAATATAAATCTCTTATTCTGATACCTAGATCAGATATTATTGTTATTAATAAAACCCAATTTTAATTCAGTTGCTAAAACACAAAACTTATCAACCTCTCATCACCCTACCATTTTTTATTTATTGAAAGCACAGAATACTGATTACTGAGTGAATGAATTATAGGTCTACCAGAATCTGATGGCAATATTTTTTTTTTAAATTAGCGATTTTCATATGGCAATAAAAGAAAAATTTCATCTGTCAACTGAAATTTCGAGGAATTGTTTTTGGTTTGGCTTCAAATTTCCTTTAAAAAGTGATGAAAATGTCGAAGAAACCTCTTCGATCGCAAGCAAGACATATTGTTTTCAATGTTTATCAAAGAATACTTGATCAACAAGATGCAGAACATACACAATCATCGATATTGAGCCATGTGCAAGCGTTGACTGGTTAGTAGGAATGACACGTCTTGATACTTTGGTTTATGGGATTCTTCGTGTGTATTATATTATGTACTTATACTAAATTTTGGTTTATTTCAGGGGTTTCTTATACCACAAATAAACTTGGATAGTTTTGATTTAGAATTGATCAGAAACAAGATAAATGAGTTTTACATTGTTTCTTTCTCTCAAATAGGGATCGATGAATAGCGAAAATCTTGTGAACATGTAATAAAAATTTAAAATAAGTTCATAGAACAAGATCGGTTAATTGAGATGCAGGAGGAAAGGTTTATTATAAATACTGCGTTGAAGACTTTTTTATGGATGTGCAGTATTTGGAACCATTTTAAAGTTCTTAATTAATTAATAAACTCATGAACAGAGTAATTGGAGTTTTCATCTAAATTTCAAACCCCACATTCGCCACATTTTCAAAAATTATCATTGGATAAATTTTTATATATTTTGCATATATCACACACAGAATCAGCCGCTATAAGGAAAAAAAAGTATCAAAACGTTTTACTCCAATTTCCCCAGTATTGCTAGCGTCAATTTCTTTTTTCCCTTTTTGCCATCAGATCCTGGTAGACCTATAAAGACCTTGGTTAAATGTCATTTATCAATATTCCTAACACAAAAGCTGAAATCGACTACAGATGTTATTATTTTATGTGTGATACATAATATTATATGTAACCTAGAAACACCCAATACAAATGCGAAAACTAATGGTTATATTGAGAGCACACCATTAAAATTGCATACAAAAACGTCTGGATCCGCATTGCTGTCGCTATTGGAAGCTGCAAGGTACCAGAGGAGAATGGTCACGTGACAAAACGTGAGCTAATGTCATTCCCATACAAATTCTTTTATCGTTAGTGGGTCACGTCTGTCGAAAAGTAAGTTGTTCATAGGAAGTTCTCTAGAGTCTAAACGCTAGACTAATGTCAAAATATTGCAGCGCCCGGTCGAATTGGAGATATTTGTATAGTTGCGCAGATAGAGGTAAAATCTATAGCAATAAATATTTCCTTGCCTATCATAAATCTTAACCTATATGTGTCCTACAAAATCATTATATCGCGAATTTAATACCACAGATTTACGTATTCATTCGAGGAGCATTACCCTCTTGAGATAAATTCTGTATTCCACCAACTGTGTGACTTAGGCCTGCCAACTGCCATTAAAACGTTTCCTGTTATAAAAATCATAATAACTCTTATTTTTTTTTAATGTATTTTTATTAAAAATGTAATACGCATACATTAATTTCAGTATAACGCATGCAGATAAATGAAACTATAAACAACATTTTACTTTAAAATTTAAATAATATTTAATTACTTATCCATAGTACATTATTAAAAAATGCAACTGCAAACACCTAGGAGAAGAATATTGTGACAGCTGACATTTTCCAAGATGCGCAAGGCTGCCTGCGCGTGTGCCAGTGTCAGAAAAATTGATGATATGAGTGTTTATGTGTTTGTCACATGCGCCGGCGCTTGGCTGGTGTGCTAGAAGGCGGCGTCGAAGTGTTTGGACGCCGCCGAGCTCGGCGGGTATTGCTGTCTTCATCTAAAAAATAAATAATATGGCATGACAACAAAAAAAGTGGAAATGATATACTAAACTTCTGTCTTTTATGTAACAATGTATATAAATAAGATTGTTTTGTTTGTTTTAATTACCTGCAATGGAGCTGACTCTATTTTTCTGTGAAGACGATTTTCTACTTAAGGAGCTATCGCGCGGTCCGGATGCATTTGAATCGCGTGAATCTCTTCTTCTATCTGAAATAAGAAATAGTACATTTTTTACTAAAAGGTTGTTACTACTAGGGTGCAGTTTGTCTAATATTACTGCTAATGCATACTGCTCTATGTACTAAAAATAAACCATATTTATATTAATTGAAGTTATTATTAAAATGTAAATTTCTAAAATTACATATATACTGCATAAATCTAGGGCAATTTTTTATAACAATTTGATTTATAAGAATATATTCATTTAAAGTTTCATAATTTCACTTAACTAGATTAATTTAATTTGGATTTATCAGTATACAAATTTTAGTAAATGTATTAAATTACCATAATCTTTTTCTGACTTTATACTAGGTGTGTCTGTTGATGCATGTGAACTTCCACTCTCCTTCCTTGTCTTAGTAGCAAGAGCGCCAATACTATCTTTACGACCTTTAATTTTACATAAATAAGTTAATGTCCATTTTTCAATGCAGAAAACATTTGTGTACTATTTTTTTCTCTTGAATAGAGACGAGATCAAATTGAGTCATAGATATTTATATATTTGATAACCTTAGATCTTCTTTTATTAAGAAATAATTATACTAGCCTTAAGTAGTAACAATATCAATTTGATTTTCATTCTTTAGATTGAGCCACAAAGGGTAAATGGTCCTACCAATGAGAGATACAAAAATAAATATTACAATACCTTTAGACGCAGTACTATCTCTTGATGCAGTTCCTCGAGAGTTGCTTCTAGGGGCTGGCTTTGGTGAGGGGCTTCTTCCATCTGAAAGATCACAATCACATTAACATGCATAATTCATAAAGAAGAAATGATTTCTAAACTACAATATTAAAAGATATTATAAATATTTCTACACACCATCACTATCATCCCCCAATATAACATCTCTACATTTTTGCTTTAACAAAGCGCCAAATTCACCGTCAGACAAGCTAAAAGGTACTTCCTGATTCGGAAAGGGTATGGGCTCCGTTTCATCCAACATAGACGTGTCGTAAAGCGTTTCTAAATGCTTCCAAATATCTTGCGTTGATATTTCCTTAGTTATAGAGTTTGAAAGTTTCTCCCAAATACACGCCATTTGAAAATGTTTATTTATACCCACAGGCTTATGATTAGCCATTGCATAAAATAATTGAATTTCCATATTGACGTCCCAGTCTAAAGTGTCCGCGACTTTAGTATCGGAAGATTCTTCTTCACTGGAAACCATAGTTTATTTTAATTGTTACTGCACTTTCACTTGTATTACTTTAATCGAATTATTGTAAATTCACTATTATACTGTTATAATAAATTTTTATCATAACTTAACGAAACTGCAGTGAACAATGAACATTGAAAAATTTTAATAACAAAAACAATCAATTCGCAATCATTATTCATTCATACGAAGTCAACAGAACAAGTATGCATATTGCATAGACTAATCTATGATTACATTAGTCAACGAAAGTGATCGCATTTCCGTAACACCACAATTGGTCAAAGTCAAATTGTGTGTGTAAACATAAAACAAAAACAAGAAGTGATTTTAAATCTTGATCACATTTAAATTTCTCACTTTTTAAATAATTACAAGGTGGCCTTATCGCTAACAAGCAATTTCTTCCTAGCAACCCTTGTACGGAAAAGGAATTACTAAGGGTAAAATGGGGTAAAGTGCATATGTAAATTAACAAATAAATTTACAAGTACTGTATGTACAATTACAAAACTAATATCTATAAAAAAACTAAAAAAACTAAAATTTTATCCTAAGAATCAAGAATCACAATTAATTGCTAGGTTCCATTCTAAAAGACTTGCCTAAAAAGGATGAGCTATGAGATGGAATTTCCAAAATGCATCTATCAGAGGATGCGTAATATATAGTTACAAGAACCCAAGAATTTAAATTATTTTTTAAGATAAGAAGGAGTTTTGGGATTGATAAGGAGAAAATATAGAAGATGGAGGAGAAAAGCGTCACGCTTATTCAAACGGTACCTGCTGTTAAACATGCATGTACACTCACATTGCCAGAACGCTCGCAAGTGCGTTGCCGACCCTAAGTCGAATTGGTTTGGAAATACTTCAGTGGGCAGCTGGTTCCACATAGCGGTGGTGCGCGGCAAAAACTGCCTTATAAAACGCTCAGTTGTGGAACGACGTACGTCCCGGTGATACGGATGGTATTTTGTATTCTGCCTTGACGTCCGATAATGAAACTCAGCTACAGGTATTAAACCGAACAACTCCTATGAACACTCTCCATGGTAAATGGGGTAAAAGATGCAGAAAAACCCCACATCTCTACGCAACGCCAAGGGTCAAGCCACACGGAAAGTGACTGGTCGTTGACGATTCGAATCGCTCTTCGTTGAATACGGTCAAGCGGAAGGAGCTGGTACTGAGGAGCTCCCGCCCAGAGGTGAGAACAGTACTCCATATGAAACCGAATTTGCGCTTTATAGAGTTGCAAGCGGTGGTCCGGAGATATGTACCGACTCGCCTTGCTGAGCACACCAAGCTTTTTGATGGCTAATTTAGCCTTCCCTTCCAAATGACCGCGAAACTGAACGTCATTCGATATGTCAACGCCCAGTATTCCGATGCTAGCTAAGGCTTTAAGGGGAGTGTCATCGAAGAGAGGAGTAGCAACAAAGAGTGGTTTTTAGCGGAAAACGCGCAAACTTGTGTCTTCTTGGGGTTAAATTAGACTAGATTTAGTCTACCCTAGTCCGAAACTCCACGAAGCAGAATTTCTACTTCAGACACAAGTTTGTTCCGGTACTCATCGACAACTGCCCGAGAAATACCTGCCCGGCCAGTGTAAAAGAGTATCCCCTATGTTGCTGTCGTCGTCGTCCCCAGGTATGTCAATAACAAAATGGATTTTGCCAGATGGGAGATTAGATGAGAACAGAACTCTAATCTTAACTTACTATTATAAAACATACATAATATTTTTCTTTTTAGCGTGGCACCAAAATGATAAACTGTTTTTTATCTATGGAATGATAATTTTATTTATATATACATATATGGGATATATATGTTTATGTTGACGCGACTCGCAAAGTGGCAACCCCCATTGTAGTGTAAAATTTTTTTGTGCGCTGTGGTTGCTTACAACTTTAAACTTACAAGTTACAGCCAAAGTCCTTTGCCTTTCCCATTAGGGATAAATTAATATTTAATATCATCATCATTACAAGTTACAGCTTAATTGTTTTTAATTTTCGTTTGTCGATGCCTCCATGCTACCTAGTACTTCCTATATCAATAAATACTAATTATTAATATTATACATACTTTTCGTTATCTTCTGCATCGATCTAATTTACATTTGTACATATAATACATAAACCATGGGAGTAGAAGTGGAAACTATTTCGCCCGGAGACGGTGGGTACTGTTCAAATAAAAATGATTTTGGAAAATAATATTGGGCTTACCTTGCTGAAAATTTTTAGGCAACACTTATCCAAAACCGGGACAAACAGTTGTCGTGCACTACACTGGAACTCTTCAAAATGGCAAGAAGTTCGACTCCTCCAGGGATCGCGGACAACCCTTTAAGTTTACGCTTGGTAAAGGTGATGTTATCAAGGGGTGGGATCATGGAATTCCAAAGGTATTTCTATGCTTTTTATGTACCTGATTTTCTTATATTTTAACAATTACATTTTGTTTCATCTTTGATAAATTATTGTTTTTCTTGCAGATGTCAGTGGGAGAACGAGCTTCATTAACTTGCTCTCCTGATTTTGCATATGGTTCACGAGGCCACCCTGGAGTCATTCCACCAAATGCAACACTTATCTTCGATGTAGAACTTTTGAGAGTAGAATAGCTTTTAGTATATAATAATGTTAATGTAAATTTTATTTTATTGTTAAACAGTATTTTTGTTTCTTAAATAAGTTTATACTTGTGCTGCAAAAGCTAGTCTATAAATGTTACTGAGTGTTAAAATAAGTACAAAATTCTACTTTATAAGTGTTACTACAAAATTAACTCCAAACTATGTTAAAGAAATATTTTTAATTTAGTTAAACTAGATATAATCTTTTAATTCATATTAAGTCCACAGTTTCATTGTTAAATGCTCTAGTTTCTTCAATCTTTTTTGTTTTTCTTCTGAATTTTGCACAGACAAGGTTTTTCTGAGATTCAAGATGTGTGATTTGTAAAATAAAAATAACTGAATATCAGAATTTCTTAATGCTTTTAATTTTTATAAACAATATAATTATGTATATAAACTTAATTACTGAACATATTGTGTCCGTACCCATAACACAGACCAAAAGATTATACTAGACTATAAAAAATAGTATACTAGTTCACACTAGGACAGTAGTTCATTAATGGTACAACACTGTTTTTAGAAAATGGCGTCCTACATAAAGCACAACTTTCTAATGCACCATAACAACATTGCATGCAGAAAAAATGCCCACATTGTAAAACACATGGTTGTACTATTTCATCTAAGCATGCCACACAAGACCTACTATTGTCCACTTCATTTGGAAAATCAGCCATCTGCTCAAGGTGTTTCTTGGCCTGGTATAGGTTCTGGCCACAACTTATAACTGCATGCAATAGTGTAACTATGCCTAATAGCCTCAGATGCGCATAATAAGCAGCTGCAGCTGGTCTTACATGGACATAGTTTATTCTTGTCAAGGATTTACCAATTTCAAGTGGACCACCATTAATGTATGATAATGCTCTATGTATGCTTTCAATTTGTGGTAAAATATTACCCAATGCCTTAAAAGTCACTAAAAATAGATTTTGTGCTGCTGGTCTTAATGTTGAATTAATTTCAATTTGCTTTTCTACACTACGAAGTAATCTTTGTGTTATGTTCTCACCAAAAGCTGACAGTAAAATACTTATGAGGCGGTTACAAAATGTTGGTAGTTTGTGATAGGAGTCATCAACTTGCACAATACCAGAATATTCTTCACCAAGTGTTTGTAACTCTCGTAGGGTTGTAAAAGATTTGTAAAGTACAAAAGAAATAGGAATAGCTTTGGATGCGTGCTGAGAGGAAATTAGTTTCGCTAACGATGCAGCTAATTTCTTTTCATATAAATCGTCTTTTTGCCAAGCACGAAGTACCTCAGCAGGCTGCGCTGTAGGTAAAGCCATGGATTTTTCTGGTTCCTTAAATACTATATATATTGAACACTAGTGGCATAATATAGTAATAATATAATAGTTTTAATATTCCAATTAAGCTTAGTCAACACTTATGATTAACAAAATCGTCAATAATGTTTTATAAAATTTAAGATTTCTTTAAAAAATATTAGTAGTTCAGTAATAATATAATTTTATACATACAAATTACTTCTTGTTTTTTTGTTAATCATTTTTTCATTATCAGCTGATTGTGACTGGGCCACATTCCACAGCTATATACCGCAATTCACAGAATAATGAGTAGTACGAAAGAGTACAGAACCACTTCATTGAAGAATATAGGGGTTTAGATGATAGATCTTAGATTCCCAACCGTTTGATAACAATATATGTAAAATAACTTCATAACAATATACCCATAGTATTTAAAAGTGGACCTTATCCTGGTGGATACGATTTTAATGAACGAATGAATAATTAATGTTTATACTTAATAACCAAAATACGATAATTTTATGGCTCCCCTTAAATAAGCTTCTATTTTGTATTCTCTGTGACTCTATATTAAATGAGTTGTGGCCTTACTTTAGTCTGAGAACTGTGGTCAATGGAGTATGGTCTCTATTTAAAATTTTAATACCATTGGTGAAAAGTTATACGCTAGGTTTTCTGAAATTAGTTTTTGACTGAAATATATTTCTTCCAAAAGTTATTGCATTAAATAATGAACTAAATGCTCTGTAGTTATTATTTACATACTAAATAAATACCAAGGACTTGCAAACAATATATTATAAGTTAATACAATGAAATAATTTAAGGCACTGAATACAATAGAAGTAATTATAAAAAATGGTTGTAAATGCGCCAGATTCACCTACTACAGCAGAAGTTATCTTTGTAATAGAGGCAACATCAGCAAATAGTGCCTATATCAGTGAATTAAAAACTAATTATATTGTCCCTACATTAGAGTAAGTTAATAAAACTATTATCTTGTAACTATTACCGCATTTGTTCTGGAGTTTGAATTTGAAAAAATTAATGAAAAGAAGATGTTTAGGAAATATGAATGAAACCTGTGTTCGTACTAGTCTTATGTGAAATATTTTCAGACGTTTTTGACACAAATACTTATTCTTAAAATAAAAATTTTAGGTATTTTCATGGTGGAACATTAGACGATGGGGTTGGTAGTGGATCAACATATGGAGTAGTTGCTTATCAATCATCTGATTGCTATCCCGGCTCTCCGGTGTCAACTTATGGTCCTTTTACGTGCCCTAAAGATGTTGTTGACACTGTTGACAAAATACAGTAAGTGTAGAAAACATTACTTTTATTACTCCTGGATAGTTTAGTAGAGGATAGTTAACATGTATACAGTGGTTTTATAATGTTTGATTGTAAAATGAGATTACCTCACATAAAACATAAATAAAAAATGAAACACCTATATAACTACCTATGCCATATTAATGTGTACCATATTCAATGGCATCAGATTATGTAAGTTCTTATTTGATAAACATATATACCAATGTCTGGAATGTAAAGTTACATTGCAATCTCCCTTATATTTTTATGATGCCATTTTATGTTTAAATATTTGCAGATACATAGGAGGTCATGCAGAAAATAGAGCATGTTTAACTGAAGCATTAGCAATGGCTCTATCATGTTTAGAAGAACTTGGGCGTACAGACATTCCACGACATATTATATTACTATGCTGTTCACCCCCTTATTCTGCATATGCTGGTGGCCTGGTTCCCCCTGGTTTGTTCCTTATTTCACTTAAGATAAATGTTTTACTTTGTGTTGTAGTATTGCATGTGAAATTTGGAGTCTTACGTCAGACTTAGACCCCAAGACAATCTTTTCAAAAAGTGTGACCCGCAAACACCAATTGTATGGCAATAATTACATTATTATTATGTAGATAAACACACTAGCAGCTTAACAAGCTGATGCGCGCGTAGTTGTAGATTTGAAGAAATTATGCAACCTATTTTAAAAGAGTTCAAAGAGGGTGTACTTATTACACTTTTCGGAATCCTATTCCAAGAAACTAATTGGTATGGGATAAAGTTGTTTAAGGAATTTGCATTATATTGAGTGGTCTTCAGTTTTAAAGAACTACTCCTCAAATGTGTGTTCTCACTTATAATAAGGAGCTTCTCAATTATTGGAATATTATAGTGGCCAGTAAGGATTTTATAGGTTTCATTGAGATTACCTTAATCGCCTACTTTCTAAATCAGTAAGGTCAAGTGCTTTCAGAGAGAGTGTGCTCATATGGTTTGTTGCTAAGTGCTCTGACTATATTTGTAGCTTTTCTTAGAAAGCATGACAAAGTTTTAGAGTGAATTTTGTATTACATTAGTGGTTTATGAATGTTGCAAAGTATTATTTGTAAAGACTGTAACATATTTGAAGGCGCTCCAAGCACAGTGGAGGCAGCTGCACGAACAGTGTGTGAACGTGGAGCACAGTTATCTGTGTTGTCAGCGCGTCGATTGTCCTCTCTGTTACCGATCTACGAACACGCTGGAGGGGATCTTCATGCTGCCCAGCAACGGAACTATGCAAAGGTATGTATGGTGTCCACAGACTATAAAACGTGGTTAAATAATACTGCGTTTTTAATCTATTTTAAAAAAGGCGGATATATTTTTAGATAATATAACACTATGATGTTATTTAAGCTACCAAATACGTGTGCTAAACTTCGTGTGTTCAAACCTACATGGATTGTCCATTAATTTCTCGAAGAAAAGAAAAATTGATAAATATCTAGTATATCTATTTATTTATATAGACAAATAACCTAGATATAGCCTATGGGTAGCCCCGTGGCTACCGTCTCCACCGTTTTTGGACATGAATAAAGCGTGGTAACAACAGTGATTTGTAAAAAAATTTATGCTTATTTAATTTTCTTTTGTGACAAAAACGTTGGATGGATAAATGATGAAAGAATATAAACTCAATTGTCTTTGGCTAAATTAATGTAATTGGTTTGTATTTTTTTTGAATATACTCTTTGTCTGGCGACAAAATATATTAATGTGATGTATTGTCGATATTGAGTTCTATTTTTTTTAGAATTGACTTAACTAATACATTTAATATACAGCGTATTATTAGCCTTCTATAGACAATAATCTACTAATCAAAATTACTATTAGACATAATCTTTAAAAATAAACTAAACTGTATTATGTTAAAATATAAGGTGATTTGTGTATCAGGATCCACGTCACCTAGTGCTACTTCGCGGATACAGTCTCAAGGAACGGCCACCCAGTCCCGCACCGCCGCCCGCCCCAGACATACAGACTGACGTGTATGGGTTAGTTATTACCAGACACACAACACAAACTTACATTTTATTATTTAGGATGAATATTTCTAGCATAGTAGGAAGTAATCCAAGTATCTTGGCCAGATTCGAGCGACGCGACGGCTCATTGGTCTAGTGGTTAGTACCCCTGACTGCGAATCCATGGGTCCCGGGTTCGATCCCCGGCTGAGACAAACATCGATGTGATGAGCATTTGGTGTTGTGCTTAGGTCTTGGGTGTTTAAATATGTAAATCAATCAGAAATGCCAATCAGAAAAAAAATATATTTAGAAGATTTTATGACGACTGCGAAACTAATAATTATGTTTCTTTTTGTGTATTAATATTGTGTAGTTAACCTACATATTTATAATAATTAAACATTAATAATATCACACTAAAATAAATTTAAAAAGTTTGGTCCCTATGGCAGTGTATGTTTAATGTTGGCAGCATTGACTCCCTGTATTCCGATACTTATGTACACCAAATACAAAATATGTAATTATTTAAAATTTAATTAATTATTTTACTATTTAGTTCAAAAGTAGAAATTAGTATTGTCTCAACTGCAGGTTTTAAATATATGTGCTAATTTAATAAATGAGTTATCTCAATAAATAATGAAAAATGTATTACCATTTTGTAATTGTACATATCGCTTACAAGCGATCTCCAGGCAATCCTAGTAAAAAAACCTACGGGTCAAATAAAGAAATTACAAATAACAATGAAATATTATACAATTAGTAAAATAAAATCTGAAAACTAAAAGCTCATTGTTAATAAGTTATATAATGAATGGTTAAATTCTAAAACATATATTATACACATTGTTGAAAATCATGCTAAACCGGTATTACACCTTTTGAAAACTTTCTTTAGTTTGGTTTAACGCATTCAATGGATATCGGAAACTACGGGTCCGAACTATTATTGTGCTGGATATATTATTAAAGGATTTTTTTACCAGTCAATCAAATCAAATCAAAATATGTTTATTCAATTTAGATGCTTCTTAGAGCATGCTTATGAATGTCAACAACGTTTACAAAATTCACGAAAGAGCAAGACTACGCCATCCGTTCGCAAAACTACCAGGAGGCCTTGTTCTGAGAAGAACCGGCAAGAAACTCAGCAAGTTTAACCTCTCTCTACATTACAATTATTCAAAGGAAAATGTCATAAACCACAACGTCATTAAAGTTACATAAGTAAAAAAAAATAAAAATCTGTTCAGTGGCACATCAATCGATGTTCTTGGCCTTTGTTTTATTAAGTAGATAGGTGATCAGGCTTTTGTGCCTATTACACGCGGACTTGTATCTAAGGCATACTAGTTTCTCCACGATGTTTCCTTCACCGTACACTGAAGGAGCCCAGTTCTGACTGACTAACTCAAACTCAACATATCTTTATTCATGTAGGTAAACAAGTACACTTATGAATTGTCAGAAAGAAGTTAAATTAATTGTAAATTTACATTTGCTACCAGTTCGCAAGTCAAGGGCGTAGAGCGGGTAAGAAGAACTGGCAAGAAACTTTCCGCCACTTTTTTTAATCGCCAAGTATTATTAGTAATATTTTTGAAGTTGTACTTCTTTAGGCGCGTTATGAAAAATTGATGAGAGTGAAATTTTACGATTGCGCGCGCACCTATGACACAAAATTGGCAGTGTGATATACCGAGCGCGAGCGAGATGGGAATAAGACAAACTACAAGTAAAAGAAATAGAATATGCGTGAAGCTAACTTCACGCATATTCTAGCTTAGCAGCTTAACAAGAATTTTGAATGACCATGACAATTGACATCTGACAATGACATTTACCTTTTAAACAAATATAGGAGTTTTAATTATTGTTTAAAATTAATAATTATATACCTAGTTATTTTCATTATACAAAATATTTGTGAAATAATATAAAATATTTGTGAAAAAACTGTGCTAACCTTCCTGAGTGCTTCAATACAATTGAGGTTAACTATCCGTATGTATTATCGAGTATTATTGTTGATTAAAACTGAAACATGAACCATTATTCATTGCTTTTGTTTATTGCGTTTGTTACAGCAACTTTTTAGAAATATTCTACGACCCTATATATCAATAATTGAGAACAAAGATTTAAGCACGAATACTAATAAGGAGAAAATGAAGGCTTGGAGCGATATAACAGATAAGTAAACATTTTAATAAGTACCTGCATCTCAAAAAAATGACCACATTATTTAATCAAAACATCAGATTTAATCTAGCAAATATAAGGACAAGAGACAAAAAACAATTGATGAATCAGTGGAAGTGCACTAAATTGAATACAAAAAAGAGTTGTCATCTTATCGCCGTGAAACATCAAAAACTGGAGGTGGAACAAAGCCACCATCACCTTCTCGAGACACAATGGTTTGAAGTAGATTTCAATGAATTTGATTGTGATGGTGTCGAGGTAGGAATGTTAATTATAAATATGATGTATGGTAATGTTCAAGGTTCAACCTTTCAAGCATAGGCATATGCTTACAACATTACTTTATTCCCTACAGGGTAGTTAGAGATATTGTAATACCTCAAAACATCCATGTTGCACTTGTAGTACCGAAACTCTGTCCTGCCAGAAGTGAGCCCATTCCCACTTATAATGGACAGTGGGTATAATACACCTTAATACCTGAGTGCGAACCACTCACCATGATACTTAAATTAATAGATGTTATTTATATATTTCAGGTTATTACAAATAAAATCATTTTGGAAACAATTGATATCCCAAAAGCAAATAAAGCCAACAATGACAAGGTAATAAATTAGTTTTGACATAACTTGAATACTAAAAAAGCCAAACAAAGGTGTGCACAACAGTGACAACATAACTTAACAATTTCATTATTTTGTAGGATTAAAGAAAGGTTAAAGAAAATCATGTCGAACTGAACAACAAGAATCCCCAAACAACTCCAAAGAAACCTACAAGGAAGACACCGGTATTATATTTAAATTATCTCTATCTCTAAATAGAATAAAAGAAAGTTGCTATCCAGGTCTGTAGCATGTGCTACAAATTATATTATTAACACATTTATATAATTATATTAATATAAATGTGTTAAAAAATTTATAATATGAATTATAAAAAATTTTAAGTTTTGCATGGACAGAGCTTAAATTAATATTCTCTTATTTGTTGCAGAAAGCAAGTAGTTTTGGAGAAGCCTCGTAGATGCACAACCAAGTAATGATTAATTTAAAATTACAAACCGAAATTCTGATGAAGACATTAGAGTCACTTAAAAATAAATAGTATAATGAAATAAAAATGTTTTAAAGATAAATAGTGTTTTATTTGTTTAATGTAAGAGAATAATAATAAATATTTATTTAATTAATTTTTCAAATGTAAACTGAACTTTATTGACTTTAATGACTCCTTTTCCAGTCTTTGATTATTTAATTGTAATTAATTATTTGCATGCAATCAAAAACTATTTTTAATAATGCCAAAGAAGTATAACTTCTTACGCGCGTACATAAGTACACGCACCCTTTTTTAGTAACATCGGGTATAGCATTCATAGATGTACAATATCTATAACTATATTTTGACGTTCAAATTAATACGAGAGGGCTAAACATAATATTTATTAGAGGCTTGCTTTGATGCATAAATATTGTAAGCGAAGTGATTTTTTATAATATTGACAGCCAAGGTCGTGGTGCTGTAGCAGGCCCTCGTGTACCGGCGCCTTTTCCACGTGCAACGAACCCAGCAGTACGTGGAAGTTGGTTATCTGGTGTGTCAGGAGTGCCTGGTGTAGCGGGACCTCCACGGCAATCGCTATACACCAATAACTCTGCTCTTCTATCACAGTTGGCCCAGCCATCTTACCCACCACCGCCGTCACAGGTATAATTATAATATATGTCGCAGATTCAACGCGATTAATAATTGCAAAATTGGTGTCACTACCGTCGTCCGACATTTTAACTTAATACAACATTTTTACTTAACAGTAAGTGCACAGGCGCCGATCAGAGAGAAACTCTACTCAAGTACTCAACGATCGATTCTACGCACTACTTTTTGACAGATAAATATGATTTATGACTCGAAGCCTCAGTTCGTCTTATATATTAAATTCTCGTGTCACAATGTTAGTTACTATACTCCTCCGAAACGGCTTGACCGATTTTTATCAAATTTTATTTGCATATTCAGTAGGTTTAAGAATCCGCTACTATCTATTTTTCATACCCCTAAGTGATAAGGGTTGTCCACCCCAAAATATTTTTTTTTGTTTTTATGATACAGCATAGAAAAATACATACAAACCCAAATTTTCATTTCTCTACTATAAACCCCAATTTTTTATTATTGTAGATAGTTAGTTTTTATTGAACTAAAAAAAAATTCCTAAAAATAATATACATGGCAAAATAAACGTTTGCCGGGTCAGCTAGTAATACTATAGTACCTTGAACATTGAACAGAGGCATTCGAATTTAAATTATGAAAAATCTAATAATCAATATCGTTTTAGCGAATGGTCCAACCTGGTCCAGTTAACCCTGGAGTCAGCGGTGTGCCAACGTCGACGGGGCCCAATGTTGGCGTGTCTGGAGTGGCCGGTGTTAGTGGGGTTGGAAACGTGGCTAATGTAGGGAATGTTGGCCAAATGCAGCGGACTTTCATATGGAGTGGGGTACTGGAATGGATGGAGAAGGGCAAAACGCCCGGTGATCAACAGAAAGTCACCAAGCATTTGCCCTGTCAGGTATGGTTAATAATAATATCTTTGGAATGAATAAACTCAAAATCTAAACCCTTTTTTATTTTTTTTGTATGGCAATATTTTTAACTTTATGCCAGTTTAAAGTAGGGAAACTACACGCGAGAAAAAATAAACAAAGATATCAAAAGGAAACAAAGGGATAAGGGGGCGTCCATAAATTACGTGAGGGGTTTTTTTAATTTTCTGTACCTCCCTCCCCCCCTGGTGAGATGTCGTAAGATTTTATTCAACCCCATCCCCCAATCTCACGTGAGATTTTTCAAAATGTGGGTTTCTTACGTAAACGCGTGGGATTGTTATTGTAAAAAGAAGAAAAAAAATGCTTCGTGTTTTTATTTGCGACTAAAACAAAATAAGTGAAATGTTGAGCGTTTAGGTATGGAGTTAGCGGGAAGTTGCAGAGATGGCCTTTAGGGTCAACCGTTTTCCTAGGTTTTTTTTAATCAGAAAAATATTGCGTGATATTTGCCGAGACCCCCCCTCTCTACAACGTAAGATTAAATGAGATTTGACTCAACCCCCCTTAAACACCTCACGTAATTTATGGTGGCCCCCTAGACTCTGATTTTTAATTCCGTAGAATTCTGACATTAAATACCTACATAAATGTTGCTACTAAATAAGTTCTCCACCGAAAAAGGGACCAATTTGACCCATTGATTTTTTTAAATGTTTTACCTACTAAAAGGTTAATCTAAATATTTAGTTACTCAAGTGACCTATTAATACAAAAATAACAAATATTTCAATATCATAAACAATATATCGAAATAACTAATTCCAGGTTTAGTAAACCTTAAAAAAAAAAGTTATCTTTACTTGTGCGTTTTTTACTGTTTGTGATGAAAAGGAACATAATTACCACTCGCCGTTATACCACTTTTAATGTGGAGCATCGCACTTAACTGGTTATATTAACTTGCAATAAAATGTATGTATGGACTCGTATTGAGACTGAAAAATCTGCCCGGTCATAAAGGTTTGCTATCACTGACATGTCAAAAATTGATAACTGTCAGAATTCTACGGAATTAAAAATCAGAGTATAGTTAAAAACAAAATATGTACATAAACGTTATTAATCTCAATATTATTATTGAATAGGAAAGAAAATAATACATTTTAATACAGTAAAGGATCAAGCAAAAGGCAGGAGATTTTAGTCGAAAACGGAAAAATAACGTCCAAACCCTTTTCAAAATCTTTCAGCATTAGATTGCTGGATTATTCCTATATATATTTTACTTTTTATGTTTAAAAAAAACAGTGACGCTACAACCTTTTTAGGTCTGGGCTTCTCTAATCTGTTTAATGATCATTGGTCAATCTAATAGGCAAGTAGGTGATCAGCTATTCCTGACACACGCCATCGACATTTTGGGGCTTATGCTAGCCGGTTTCCTCACGATGGTTTCCTTCACCATTCGAGCGCTAAGTACGCACATAGTAAGAAAGTCTATTGGTGCACAGCCGGAGTTTGAACCAACGACTTCAGGGATGAGTGGCACGCTGAAGCCACCAGCACCAGGCAACATCTATATTTTTAATGAAAATAAACTTCTTTAAATGTAACTAATTTTGCAGGTGTCAGCCAACTCGAAGGACATTGAACCGGAACTGAAGGTGGATACTTGGCCAAGCAAATTGCTGATGCAATTGATGCCAAAACAGTTAATCAGTAATATCGGAGGACAGTACCTTAAGGATAGCAAGTCTGTCTTGTTCCACCTGCAACAAAATGAAGCATTAGATGCCCTCACCAAGGTCATGGTCAATGGGTTTGTAAGTACTTGTTAACATATATCTATATATATAAAACTAGCAGACTGGCCAAGCGTTGTTGTGGCTAAGGTTTTAGTTATATTACATAGAAGTAAACTATTCAACGGTAGGAGAACACCAGTCATGGGGACCACCATGCTTTTTTGGTGGTTATGCCATTAAATTGTAGCTTATGTGAAGCGTTGGTACTTTCAATACAGCGCCATCTGTTAGAATTGTGACTACTAAATAATAAACAAATATTTTGCAATAAAATAATATTGCGGGTATAAATTGAGATGTAAGCTATCGTATCTTTTAAGTTAGATCTGATATCGGTTTAGGAGTCCATAGCGGACAAACAACGTGATACGTAATTTATATATATTAAGATTGTCATAATGTTCGTTCCCATACTTCTCCGAAACGGCTCGACCGATTCTTATGAATTTTTTATTTAATTGTATAATATTGTATTTAATGCTTCAAATTTGGCCTATTTTCTATAAGTCTATATATAGGTATATACTTAGTCTATAATAATACTCAATAAGGATTTTTAAATAGGCCGGCTGCGTACACTTCTCCCCGATGCCGTCTCCTCCACAATGTGACATCAAAGTGCTGATCCTCCTCTACACCCCTGACAAGAAGGCCTACCTTGGCTTCATACCCAACAACCAGGCTACTTTCGTCGACCGACTTAGGAAGGTGAGACTATATGTATTGATTGTACATTAATAAATAACAAAAATATTACATAGTAAACGGGTGGAAATATCGCTTTAAAGGAATCAGGGTATTCGTTTGCCACGAATACTCTCAATGCCAGAGGCCTCGCGAGTGCGTTGCCGACCTTTTAATATTTTTTTTATTATAAATACTAATTGCAATTTTTGGAATAAAATTATTATGGGGCCCGAATGACTTTGATAATTATGTTATACTAACTATTAAAATTATATAATCCAGGTTATCCAGCAGCAGAAGCTTAGCAAGCAGCTGCCAACAGGCGGACCTGCGCCTGCCCTACCACCTGCCACTATGCCAGGTGATACAATATTCAAATATTTTAATCACACACCTAATTCTTTTGTTGCAGTCGGTAAAATATAAATAGTTATTGAAACAAAAAAAAAGAGATTTATATAGTTTCCTTTTTTTTAAGATTTGTCCTGGATAGGTAAAATTGGGTTATTGGACCCAGAATTATTTCAACTTAAACAGTCAAACAACAGAATCGGCCAAAACATTAAAATCAGTTCAGTATTTTGAGATTTCTGAAGGAACATAAGAATGTGAAAAATAGGTGAATAATGAGTTATGTTTTTTTTTTCTTCCTTTTTGTTGGTATCTAAAGTTAGTAAGATTGTTCTAAATAAATAAATAAATTACTTTTTATATAATCCTTGGCTTGTAATAGATGTTTAAAAGAAATGTTTTCGACTTTTAGGTGGGGCTATGGGCAGTCCGGGGATGTCTGGTGGGATGGGTATGAACCAGGGACACCCGCCGCAGCACCCACAACATGCCCAGGTACGACACCATATAAATATTTTTTATTTGATATAAATTCTGTATTCATTCGATAGAGCAGATTAGGGAGCTTTCAAGTATTACGTCACGCAATTTTTGGAGATCATTGACCCCCCCCCATGTAAAATTTTTCTGTACCCAAGTATAGTAAAACGTTTCGTGACCAACTAGTGACTCTTTATGCCTCAAAGTTACCATCATGTGGTGTAAGGAACTGGAAAGTCGAACATAATATTAACAATAACGCGTAATTCAATCCCCGCCCCGCATCGTAACGTTTTACAAAAGGACCCCCCCCTCCAAATTCGTTACGTACTACTTGAACGCTCCCTTAAAACATATTATTGTAATTTAAAAAAAAACATAAATTTTAGTGTAATATTAAATGAAATTGTACAATTTCAGCAAAGCATGATGATAGGTGGCGGTATGGGTGGTCAAGTTGGCTCCCAAGTTGGGCAGGTCGGGCAGGTTGGGCAAGTTGGGCAAGGGGCCAAGGGGCCGAGGCCGGTCAGCCAATTGGATGGCTTGGAGGCAGCAAGGCAGCAGAACTTGGAGAAAATACAACATTTGCAACAAACCTTAGAGGCTGCTCATCAACAGGTTTGTAAAATGATTTTTTAATTTTTCTCCATAGTAAAAATATAATAAGTTAATTAAAATATAAATAAAATTGAATCGCAAAATATGTAGCTTAGCTCAAAACTCGAAGATGGCAGGACCAATTCGAGTAATTTTTATTTATGCCTTGTACTCTGGGAAGTTTTATGGATAGAAACTTTGGAAAAATTAAAAAAAAAACAAAGTTTAGTGCTTAGGTTTATATTCCGTAAAAACTAACTGTATCTATAGTGTAACATAGCAAAATGTTCCAAATGTTGGTATTTAACTACTAAAAATCATATTGAAGTGAAAAGCGGGGCCAGTTTAAAATATAATTAAAATGTTCAGTTGAGTTGAGTTCTAAATGTGTGCCAATTTCTATTCAAACATATTTCAAAATTTGATTTCTTTTTGATAACAATATAAAAACTCTTTTCTAGCTTCGCTTAAGTAACGTTTGTCTACAGGAGGCGCAGTTTAAGTCTCAGATGGACATAATGTCTCACTTGCACGCCGCCCAGCAACAGGAGCAACATTATAAGCAACTCGAGGTTATATTAAATATATATTTACCAACATTTTTAAATATTTATCATTTAGTAAAATTGTATGTATTAAGAGATTTTTGAAGTAATTCTTGTATTTAAAATTTTGTAACTTCAAAATAATGTTTTGGACTTGGAATTCAAAGCCCATTCCCTATCCGGTAAACAAGTGTATATGGAAGGGTTGAAAGGCATAAGCTGGACCAATATCTAAGATGGGGTTCCAACTCTACCCTAAAGACCTAACCTAAACTTTATGAAATAAATTCAAAATTCAATTTAAAAAAAATTTTGTGTTGTGTTTTAAATATTTTATTCGTAAAGTTGGAAATAAATTATAAATAGTAGGTAATATTACGGAGAATGTGTCTTTTGAAATAATCTAAATTGGTGCTGGTTTTTTTTAATTGGCTCGTGTTTATATTAAATAGATTTTAAAAATTGGTTTAATAGATAATTACGCCTTCCACGTTTCAGGTTTTCTTCATTTCTACCGAGTTACGATTATTAGAAATCTTATCTTAAAGCCGCCTGTACTAAATGTATGGTTCCGTGAAGTTCATTAGACGCTTGAATGTTGAATGCGATACGAATTTCGTATTTATTTCATAAAATTTAGATTTTTAATGTGTCACGTGACCACATCACCAACATTTTTAATTTAAATCTATGACATTTAAACGTTATTACGTGTATTTTCGATATTCCCTGAATGCGCTGTTTGACAGAACGAATAATAAAATGTTATAAAGAGTAATCAGCATAAAACATAGGCTTTAAAATATTAATTTATACGTCACATGACATGAAACGGTCACAGATTATTATAATCGAATCGATAACGACATACCACGGTTTTTAATAGTATGTCTTCGCTTATCTAATTCTATCTAAAATGGTTCGGAGACTGATTTTTAAATAATCTGAAGTGGTTTTTAGTATCTTCTTTCCCACCCATTTGTCTGATTCCGTTTTCTTTATTTAATTGTATTTTTTTTAATAAAGCAAAGGTGACGAATATGCGGAATTGTGTTCGCTAACAAAAACTTTACGACTTCTAAATAATTGTTTAAAATACTTTAAAAATTGCAGGAGCAACAACGCAAGCATCAGCTGCAGCAATTGCAGCAACTGCGGGGTGCGGCTGGACATCCGCCGCGACTTATGCCCAGGGGCATTATGCCCACCAACCCTGGGTTGAGGCATTTATTACAACAGGTATCACAATACACATAACTCATCACATTTATCTATATATTAACACCAGTATAAAAAAATTGCATCAGGTAATTTTTTATTTATTTATTGTAAATATGATTTCGATCATCACACGTGTTGAAACGATGACAATCAAGCACTTATGAAATATAAACAATGTAAAAACATAAATAGCAATTAGGTAGGAATTTAACAAAGCGAAAGAAAAAAAAAAGTACGTGCGTACAAAGTACACATGTCAGAAGTGAAACTTCTTTGGCAAACTAATTTTTAAGTCTTGTTCATATTTATACAAATCTAAAACTTTATATTTCCGAGACTTAGAGGGTGGGAAAAAGGAAGATATGTCAGGAATTTAATTGTCATTAAAATATTAAAAGTGTCGAAAATTAAGACAAATAATAAAAAAAAATTTCATTTATCTCTTCGACAATAAAAACACGTGACATTTTAATTTACAATTCGTCATTTGAGATTTCATAAAATATAAAATACTAATATTTCTTAAATACACTTAACGAAATTTTAATTTTAGAAATATAATTTCTATAAGGTAATTCGCCATTCTCACTCTCTCAATCGGTCTCAATCGCTCTCTCCGTTTTCTTCGACAAAAACGTTGCACATCTTCGTGACGTTTCATCCGTAAAAAATTTACCCTCATGATAAAGAAGTTTCACTTCAATAATAATTAAGAATGAAAGGTTCCTAAAACGACTCGGCCAAAAGTCTCCATGGAGTTACGGTGGCGAGTCTTTGTAGATTTAAACCAGTTGAAAATTCTCAAATGTTAATTATAAACGTGTTATTACGTCAGAATTAGTAGTAATATTCCTCAGTAGTATGTTCGGTATGGCAGAGAAAGAATGAGAGTAGAATAAATGCTTGGAATTTAGAGCATTAAGAAGTATGTGTGGTGTAACTTTGCAAGAGAGGATAAGTAATAGTCAGATACGTACGCAGGGGGTTAATGCTTAGGTGGTTTGGCAATGTGGAGCGGATGAATGAGAAGCGGTTAACCAGTAGGATATACAACTGTGGAAGTCGGGTTGTGTAGGCCTTCTCGACCATACTCGACCAAATCCAGGAACAACTAGAGAACGGACAAGTTAAAAGTACCCATGACCGAGGAGTATGCGAATGTCACGAGTGGATGAAACGAGAGGCATGTCAGGACCGTAGCAAGTGGAGATCCGTGGTAAAGTTCAGGAAAAAGGCGTGAAGGAATAAATTAAAAAATATTTCTGTGTTTATGAATAAACATAGTTGGATATTGCCTGATGAACCACGATAGATTTGACGATACTAGAATAACGTCATCTAGTTACAATTTTAGTAAATTATTAGGATACACGTAACTTGATGCAATAGGATATAATTAAGCATGCACTAATCATTAACATCAAATTTTTATATTAGGGAGCGTTCAAGTATTACGTCACGCAATTTTTGAGATTATTGACACAGCAACGTTTTTCTGTACCCAATAGTTAAATGTTTCGTGACCACCCAGTGCCTCTTTATAGCTAAAAGTTACCATTATGTGCTATAAAGTACTGGAAAGTCGAAAATAATATTAACAATAACGCGTATTTCAATCCCCGCCCCGCATCGTACCGTTTTACAAAAGAAAAAAAAATCGTTACGTAATACCTGAACGCTCCCTTAGATGTTCTGAGTTGGATACATATTTAAATTATATATTAAACGTCTGGTCGATAAATGATTTCTAACTCAGGATACCTATTGCTACATTTAAATATTTAATCGCTCTCTTTAGTATATTTTTATCGCAGGTTGGGTTATTTCAAATGATTTTTACATAATTATTAAAATAAATGTATTACTGATTACTTAAGTTTTTATAGATACAGAGATTTCATCGAATAAATTTGAACATTTAAATAACTAACTAAACCTATAGACGGCCGTTTTTTGAAGCTATTTTTGACATTATGAATTCATGTCATGAATTGAACATGAATTTAAATTAAATACAAACAACCTTTATATACGATAATTCAGACAGAACATTTTTTTTAAATTGGCGACTTATATAGTTTTAATGATAAAAGTTTTAATGATCAAAGGTTTTTTAATATAAATTTGAAAGGTATGTAAATCTTGAAGTAACCTGACCTGAGTGATTCAGTAATAATAATCAATCATCATCAAGAAACCAATGATTTATAATTTCTATTCCAGCATTATTCATAGTCATGGAAAAATATAATGATGGAATAGTAAAGTTCTTTGTAGATTATGTAGAGTCTAAATAACAGTAAAATCTTCACCTATTCCAACCTTTATATATTCCACGGTTATACCAATTCATTTTCATGTCAACTGAGAACCGCTGCCATCATGACATCATATTAACTCATACTTTCAATTAATAATCATTGCACTAGCTTTCTAGCATTTCTTCATAGTGCGGTCGTTTCTACCAATGCTGGATATACTTCAAAATGTTTTTATATTACAGTTTATATTATACAGTAGAACCTCGATAAGTTAAAGTCCAAGGGAAACACAAAATATTTTAAGTTATAGAGGTTTTAAGTTATCAAGGTTCTATGTTAGGTAAAGGTTAATATAGATGTATGTATATGTTTCTATGTACCCTTGCTCCCATTTTTACTCGAATGCATCAGAAGGACGGGTTCAATAAAATACTGAAAATTAAATATGTAATCATATTTATTCACATTACTTACATTACATAAAAATAAAACAACAACTAAAGGTTTAGTCTACTTAAAAAAATCTGTGATTTTCTTTTGTTTTAAAAAATTCACTATTTCTAAATCGATTTGATTTTCAATGACAAATAGAGAGGAGAATACATTATCTTTTATGTTGCTACACTGCTCTATAAATGATCGTACAGTTGTTAAAGCTTTTTTTGCTTCGTTGGTTGATACACTTGTAGATGAAGTTTGTGGCTCGTCATTAAAATCATCGTCTTTATCACTTTCAATGCAATTGTTTACTGATTCCAATATTTCTCCCTCTGTCAACGTCCCTGCTGTGGCTACGTCATCATCGCAAGTAACGAAGTCTTCAAAAGTAATGTTTGACCCAGACATGTGCTTACTCCATTCTTCAGGCACATTATTATCTTCCTCTTCAATGATTTCTTGAGGTTCTGAAGAAAAACCACAGGTTCTAAAGCAGTTTTTTACTGCAAGGGGTGTTACGTTTCGCCAAGCTTTGTCCGCCATCCTCATTGCTTGAAGAACATTGATGAAGAAATCGTATTTTGCTCCATATCAGCTATCATTTTTCTAACAACTTCTTTTCTGTATAATGTTTTAAATTTTTTAATTATTCCCTGATCCAAAGGTTGAAGTTGTGATGTTGTGTTTGGTGGAAGAAATTGGACTTTGACTGCCTTTAATGGTGGTATGTCCCCATGTGCTGTGCAGTTGTCGATAAATAGGATAATTTTTCTATTTGAAGTTACCATTTGCTTATCTATGTTAATCAGCCATTTTTTAAAAAGATCGGCTGTCATCCATGCTTTTTTATTGGCTTCATAATCCATGGGTAGTGATTTTAGGCCTGCAAAACACCGAGGTTTTTTTGACTTGCCTATAATTAAAGGTTTCAGTTTTTCTGTGCCTGTAGAATTTGCACAAAACAGAATCGTAAGTCGTTCTTTGCTGTGCTTTCCTCCATGACATTTTTCATTTTTGAATGTTAATGTTTTGTCGGGAAGACATTTGAAGAATAGACCCGTTTCATCAGCGTTAAAAACATCATTGGGATCATAATCATTCACTACATTATGTAATTCAGATTTCCATTCTTGGCTTGATTTGCTAACACTCGCACTTTCGCCGCATATTTTGTTAAAGGCTAAATCATGCCGTTTCTTAAAATTCTGTAACCAGCCATTGCTGGCTTTAAAATTTTTGATTTTCAGAGAATTAGCGAACGCTTCAGCTTTTTCTTTCAGTATGGGTCCACTAACACTGATGTTTTCGTTTCGACACTGTTTGAACCACGTAAACAAACATTGTTCTAAATTAGGGAATTCGGCAATTTTTTGTCTTTTACATTGAAGACTTTCTCCTGATTCTTGTTTCTTCAAGATTTCAGCTTCTTTTTTAATGATGATAGACAATGTACTTTCATGTATTCCAAACTGAGCCGCAACTTCTTTCCTTTTCAATCCATTTTTCACTGCTTCTATAGCTTCTAATTTATCAGCGTAGGTGAGGGTTGTTGGTTTTCTTTTTGTACTCATTTTAAGACAGTTTTATCACACAGTAAGTAAAGCGATGTTTCCAGGACAACGATCAAAAACTTATGATGCAAGTAAGTCTTTGTCACAAAGCTAACCGCCGCAAAGCTTTGAAGAATTTAGATAAAGCAAACAATAGGTAATGTATTGTTTACGTTAACAATACATTAGTAAACACGTGCAAGCAATAAATACCGAAACCATTTGTTTTGACACTCTTTCAAAATGACTCATTCACAAACAATTTTATGTTATAGAGGTTGTGGAAACATTTCTTTTAGTTACTGAGGGCCTATACAGAGATTATTTATTTAAGTTATAGAGGTTGCGTATTTTAAGTTATAGAGGTTTTGGGCTCTGATGGGAAGGGAACATAGTATTTTTTGAAGTAACAGAGGTTTTTATGTTACCGAGGTTTAAGTTATCGAGGTTCTACTGTAGTTATTTTCCATTGCTATATTTTTATTCTCAATTATTTAAATTATTCAGAATTCCTATACCACAAAAAGTATTGTTCTGTGCTCTGGTGTAAAGATATTATTTTTCAACATAATTTGTACTGACATTTATGCTGACAGTTTTAAATTAGATAAAAATATATTTAGAACTCCCAACGTATAACTAGTATTAACAAAATGGTCTGTCAAGACATCGGTAATCCAGCTTGGTAAACGGTCCGTTAGCCGTAGTAGTGACTGAATACGGCGCGTATGTTTTAGCAACAGGCGGCGCCGCGACCCCAGCGTCCGCACATGTGACCTCCGCACCGCATAAGTAATGCTTCACTTTATTTACTAACGCACAGCCCGTCTCAATAATTTACAATTCGTTAAAGATTCCGTAACTTGAATAGACAACGTTAAAGCTATTAAAAAAAGAACTTAAGCTCATTTTTTTTAACTTAGCCAAGTGCAGTTCATCATGGATATGCAAGCTACAGAATAAATATAGAACAGAAAATTTGGGATGGTAATAACTATAAAAAAATTTGTTTTATTAATTAGTAAATTATTGAGTGTGCTTTTTACGTTTGCGACAATTTTCTTTTATTTGTTTTGCGTTTTTTGCTTCATCATTTAAAACGAACTTTATTTTCGTGTTTTAGTTTTTATTGATTTCTCCAAAGGACGTATTTGACTAATATACGAAAACAAGGTTCGAACAATTTTTCTTTTAACATGACTGCATGAATTCTTATGTTCATTTGTATGTAATATAGAAGATAACATGTTTGTTCTGTCCTGTTAACTGGTGTATAATTCATAGTTCTTGTAAATTAACTTTGTGTAAGACAGTTAAAAAAATATGATCCAACAAACTCTGAAAATTATTATTTTAACTTTAGAAATTCGTGTTGGTTTTGACAGCTTTTATATACATTGGGGTTACGGTGGCGTGATTTGGTGTTTTGTTTGTTATTATTTGAATTGTAATTAATTTTAAATTTTGTGTATAGCAACCACAATATCGGCCGCAAGGTGGCGCTGTGCGTCCTACGGCACAGTCGCAGCAATTTGATGATGTCAATAATTATAGCGATTTTATGTAGTTTTAAAGTTGATGAAAAACAATTTTAAAATATAGAATTTTATATAACACAGCTACAGAAAATATTAATTTGAAAATAAAGCTTGCATTTTAAGAATATGTTGACATTATGTATAAATTGCTTGATATTTTAAATATATATAATTTCATTAAAGTTCCTCCGTTAGCAAGGTTTATTAGAAATTATTTTCAAACCTGGTTCTTAAATTGTAAATAAAAAAATTGAGAACGAAACTGAATTGAGAATCTTGGACAATATAGTCTTAAAATTGTTTTATTTATTAACGATGTAAGTAAATGAATTTGAAGATGTATGTATATAATTGTTTTTACAATTTTATTAAACATAAAGATGAGATTTGTGTTTTAATTATTTTTCCAATTCCTAAATATATATGTACTATATGAGCCGGCCCATGTGGGCTACAACCGGGCAAAATCAGGTACGAATTGTTAGCTTTCTGCTTTAAAAAAGTATACAGGGTGTGGTGTAATACAGTCACACATTTAATAACGTTCAAACCAAAACAACTTTGTTCTTCTAGTATTTCATTGTTCCAACTTAAAATATTAAGGTCCATATTCTAATTCGTAACTCAAGTTACAATCTCGTCTTGAGCGCTGTCAAATTTGTCAAACTGCATACAGAAAAAATTGTTTGACAGCTCTTGAAACTAGATTTAAATTTGATTGATGTTCTAGAACGCCGCCCAAAAGTTATTTCTCTGAATTATTGCGATAATTGTGTTTGGCAACTGTACAGGGGCCTTAGTCAAGATGCCTTAAAAGTAGCGTATGTAGAAAGTCAAAAACTAAATTTGTATGAAAACTTTTCGACACGAACTGTCATTCCCATACAAATTTAGTTTTCGACTTTCTACATACGCTACTGTTAAGGCATCTTGACTAAGGCCCCAGGATTGGATGAATTAAAAAGCGGAATGATAAAAAATATAATTTACTTAGCACATATCATTGGCTAACATATAAGACATAAGAAAATATTATATACTACTAATATCAAATAAGTATTTGTTAGCACATTCATTCAACATCGTAAAATTCAGTTTTACCGCTTCACTTTCGCACTAGTGTTAAATATTAATAGAGCATAATATAATTGGAAGTAGCTACTTTGGGCTGTCAAGAATAACAGAGGCGCCATCTATACTCTGTATCATGCCACTTTTATTTCAGCTGATTCGCTAAAAGACTATTATTGTTATAGTTGGCCAGCGTCAGTAGATTTTTTATGTTGTTTTCTACTAAAGAAAAATCTTACACCCGCCAAAGAGAAATAAAACATATTTTTTTTTACTCTTTATGGCCCTGGCACGGTTTATGCATTAGCCAGCCTCAAGTATAAAACATATTACTTAATTTGAAATCGTTGCCAAAATAACGTTCCATTACACGCCACACGCCAATTTATTCTTGACAGCTTGTGAATAAATTACCATAGACATAGAAGCTAATGAAGTAACCTCATTACCTATAAGATAAACTTAGCCTGAACATTTGCCTTTATCTAATTGATAGGCCAAGGAATATAATCCATTACATCTATAGTCGTAAACATTTTTACAGACCTCTAGCAAAAAGCTCTGATAGACAAGACCCACACACCAATTAAATTTGTATGCGGTTCGAATAGAGTCACGTGACTTATTGAGCTATTGCCATTACCAAACAATTGAATGTGTTGTAAATAGATATGTATATATATAATAATTTAAATAAAATAATATAAGAGTAACGGCGCGCGTACAAATCAATTCCCGCTCTTTCTGGATATGATAATTCAAGGCGAATTTGTGTCTGTACTCGGTAACTTCGACGTTTTGGTTATTTTTATTAAAACAGAAGGCATACGGGCTGATGGACACACCTGTGCCTCTACTCTGTTAAAGTGCTTCGCATGCTGAAACCAATAATTGGCAGAATTCAATACAAGGTTATTACAATAAAATATGAAATCACGACGCCGTCATGCGTCAAGTTTGCTAATGCTAATCATAGATGGCGCATTTTAAACATTTTAATTCTTACTCTTATTAATTTTTAGAAGTAGTACTTAATTTTATTTGCTTCTTGTAAAAATCCAAAGCACCTGCCAATTACAACATTGTTGGTTTCATTGAGTTCAGAGTTCTGACACAGATTGTCACAAGGCTCGTTCGTTGCCATTTCGACATACTTCTAATATGTTAACACTACTGAAATTGGGACTGCTCGTTATATAATTACGGCCTGAACCCAGGGACTGTAAAATTATCGTACAATGTTATGACTATCCCAAATGTACGATAATTAATTGAAGTTACAGAGTACCGATGCTTACATTTTTAATAAGGCCTGACTGTAGAGTTTAAATAGTTATTAAATATTTTGTACATATATCACTATAAAATATTAGTCGACACTTTGGCAGTGCAATTAACGATTACTTTGATTAAATTTTTTTGACTGAATATAAATATAATGTTATTACGTAAATTATATGTCACAAACATATCTTTCCCTGATTTGATTGTGACTCTAAAAATAAATATAAATGCAGATTTATAGAACTAAAATAGATAATTATTCTCAACTCACACTAAAACTTCATGAATAAAATCATTTATTAACCGGGTATCCAATTTAGTTGCATTGATATTCAGATATCTACGTATTCTTAATGATACAAAATTTGGAAAAATAATACATATAAAATATAATCTCAATACACAATTTCATTCGCCTACAATTTATATGTCGCAGTCAATTAGTTTAATTAGTCGTTTTAGTAAAACGCTTGAATGTAGGAGACGTAAGGCTAAAGCAGGTATTTCTAAAGATTTTTTGAAGTTATACTTCTTTAGGCGCGTTATGAAAAATTGATGAGAGTGAAATTTTACGATGCGCCCGCACCGTGACACAAAATTAACAGAATGAAGTTGCCCACGGATGATACAGCATTGGACATAATCTAAAAACAACATTCGTATAATAATAGAATTTATGTTACACTTAATGTAAGAGAATAATAATAAATATTTATTTATTTAATTTTTCAAATGTAAACTGAACTTTATTGACTATAATGACTCCTTTTCCAGTCTTTGATTATTTAATTGTAATTAATTATTTGCATGCAATCAAAAACTATTTTTAATAATACCAAAGAAGTATAACTTCTTACGCGCGTACATAAGTACACGCACCCTTTTTTTGTATACAAATATAAACATGGCCAATGTAGCCTATACAGAACAATAAATGATCAACATTGAAAGTGTATTTAAATGAAAAATTAGAGACAAAAATAAACAATTAAAACTATTTGCATTAAATGTATGTGAAAATAATTTTGTTAGAGACGTTTATTTAAATGGCTAATTAAGCTAATAGGCTACATATGAATTACATACCTAAATGTAATCTATCATAAACATGTAGATAACTTTAAATATATCGAGAAAATATGATTTCTTACATTAATTCGAAATACAATTAGTTCAATGACCTTAACAAATCTTGTAACATTAAGTAACACTGCACTGGTTCAATTTCGTATTATAAAATGGCCACTATAAGTCTCGTGTTATTAAAATTATGTATAAATATTTGGATTGCTTCATTTGTTTACCAAAACAAAACACTATCAGTCACATGAAATTTAAGACGCGCTAGCGATCTTAAACTTATTTCTAATATTTTAGACACAATAAACCGGCAATTACTCTATGACACCTTGACCTTGTCATTGTCACACTTATCATTGACACATCTGTCACTGTCACATTTGTCACTGACATCCTGTTTTTTGGCGGTATCTTTTTTACAGGTACCGTTCGTGTAGGGCTTTTTAGGGCGTTTCTTGGGCATTTCGTAGACGCGTTCTATGAGCGCGTGTAGAATACTGCCCGGCACGCGTTGATGTTCTTCAACTAAATCTTCTATTGCTGTTGCTACCTGAAAATTTTATATATTTTATTAATAATTTTATATTAACTTGATAAGGTTTATATGGTTCTGAACTCAACTATATTAAAATATAATAATTTATCATTAAAACATTATGATTATGTTAACAAGAAGTAATTAAATAAAAAATACTTGTTCTAAAATTATATTAATATGTCAGGGAATGCTCCGATTATCAGGAAATGTTCTGATCGAGTCAATGGACCGTTGATTTTTATTGTTATTTTTGATAAGAATTGTTTTGTTATTATTACTTAACTAATAAAAGTAAGAATATTGTTACGACCAATCAGAGCCGAGCCAATGCCTCGAGTGGGGTCTAGGCGCCATCTTGACTTTGGACGCAGGTGCGCAGGGTAGTTCGGATTGAGTATTTAGTGGAGCATTGTGGTGATGAGACGTTGGACCAAGGCGGGTCCATGTGATTTGTGGTTGAGTAGATTGTGATTAAAAGTGAGATCAGTGCCTTGAACCCGCTGCTCATTTTAATTTTGCTAAAGTGTTATTTGTAATGTTAAAAGGAATCTATCTAAATTAAATACTGTACGATAATTATTTTTAATTTGATGATCATGGATACAAGTCTTTCAGTGCTAAAATAGTATACAATATTCAAAAATAGTAATAATAAAGTATAGGATAGCCTATGTCTATACATAATAACAATATAAGTATGTATATTATAATTATATATATGTACATAGATAATTTACGACAACTCACCTTCTGCTGCAGCTGTTCAGGCGTTAAGCTAGGGTCGGGATATATAGGTTTCCCCAAATGCGTGATCAGTTTTACAGGGAACCCTCCATATACTGGCGCCAAGGGAATCCTAGTGGCTGCGTATATCCGAAGACAGATCCCACGAAGCCAACCCACTGTGCGAAATGCTTCACGCACATTTTGGGTGAACATTGGAATTATTGGCTAAAATTAAAACAAATATAGGTTTAGTAGTTTGAATTTTTCTAAACGGCTTTCGAAAAAAATACTAATATGAGACGAAATAATAATATATATCTATTTATATTTATCACCAATAAAATTAAACGATAATTATTTAAAAAATGTCCAATCAGGCGAAACTGGGACGAGCAATTTTTTTTAACTGTTGTTCATATATAACTATGGACGTCAAAGCAATTCATTGTACAATTGTACTTAGTAGTTAAGAAAATAAATTATTCGCCTGAATTATAACCTCTCAGTTCAAAGACATTACTCAACGAAAACAATGTTACTCGTATAATGCAACTTCACTTTTCCGAAATTCGTGTCATCAATGGGCTTTGATTTTTTACTAAAGAATTTAATTATTTTACAATTTAAGTTCACAAATGTATGACTGCGGCCAATATATGAACCTTTTATAACCAGTGTATGAATGTGTATTATAATTGCGCCCTTATACAAAAAACCGATAATTTACTTACCACATTTGCCTCTAGCGCGACCTTAGCAAACCCTGTACGGCTTTTCCAGTGCAAGCGATAGTAGTGGTCACCGAATTGTGCCTCATAAACACCTCCAGGGGAAATGGCCAAGGGGTTGCCGGACCGTAGTACGCCAGCGCACGTCGCCACCGTCCCAGGAATCACGCACAGTCCTTCCAGTAACTGAGACCATCCTGCAAAAAAATGAAAGAAAATACAATTATAGCTTTAAAAAACGTGTGTGTACACGCGTTAGAAGTTATACTTCTTTGGCGTAACAAGATAAAAATCAGTTCAAAAATTGTATTCTATGTTTGTAGAAAAAACGACACTAACAATAGAAAAAATTAAAATGTTGACTATAGCTAACTTCAGGGTGTCGGTTTTTTGTGACGGTGTGCGCGCGCATAAAAAAATTACTCTCATCATCATCAAAAAATTATTCTTATAGTTGTGAGGATAGTGTTTTTTTTACACAATATATTTTCATAAAATAATCAAATTTAAGCTTATTCTGGCTGAAGTGGCTCTCAGGTCGGCTCCCAGAGGTCGTAGGTTCGAACCCCAGCTGTGCATCAATGGACGTTTCCGTCTATGTCACTGGTGAAGGAAAAACATCGCGAAGAATCTGGCATGCCGTAGCTCCAAAAAAAGTCGACTGTATGTCAGTCATAACCAAACTTGTAGCGCCACTGCTTTTTTTAATAAGATTCCTGGCGTTAAATCAAGTACCAGATTGGTAAACAGCTGATCTAGGCCCTTTCTCTAACTTCCAATAGCTATACCGAAATATCGATCCCAATAATGAGATTTTGTTCCGCGCGATCCAACATCTCTCTTTTATCGGAAGCTCATGTCTCAACGTCGTGGTCAGCAAGGAAGCATGTGGAGCGGCTATCCGTTTCTGTCCAGCGCCTCTCTTTTGACAGTGTAGAGTTTTGAGGACGATGAGTCTTTCACTTGATCGGTCCATCTGGTTGGTGAACGGGCACGTGATCTTTTGCCTTCTGTGTCACGAACCACGATCAGTTATCCAAGTTCTCATCGCCTCTGCGATCCAACATCAGCGTTACGGATATCAAGAGAACTACATCCCTTGCATACAAAAACGTCGGGATTGATATCTATTAGAAGTGAGTACGTCCTTTACCTGAAATGTCCCATAGAGTGTACGGGATTTGAAAGATTCTTACCAGGTATCTTAAAGAGGAACCTATCAGCGACTGTATGGAGATGCCGGCGCTGGAATAACAGCATCCGCGCTGTAAAGTAATACATGTCTATCGGGAGCGCACCGTGGTAACATATCACGAGAAATGGACCAGCCGGTATGTTCTCAACGCCGCGTATCTCGTAACCTGTATTATAAATGTCAAGATATCAGCAATTATATTTAAAGGTGCTAGAAATTAAAGAAGGTTATTTTTATAGAACAACAACGAAAGGCTTGCCTGATGCTAAGTAATGATTTAAAGAAGGTAAGTACATCCAGTACTTGAAGTATCTCTAACTAGCTCCTCTAGGTCTGCCAAGGATACTTGCTGTGTCTAGTATCAACACAAACTAACAAATGGCGTGGAGAGGCGGACGAAACCGTCGTGTCGCATATCGGGAAGCAGATAAGACTCTGCTGGTTCCGCATCCCGCCTAGGGTCGGGGTTTTAGTGGGCACTCATAAAGTGAAAGGGGCGAATTAGGGTTAGATTCAGAAACGAGGCTTTGCACTAAGTCTGACATTCGTACGTCAAAAATGGATTTTGACATACGCCTTTGACCTCCTACACCCTATGTATAACTTTTTAGCTAATTGTAATCTTACTTATAAATAATAACTCAGTCTAATTGCAGCGTTCATCTATTAGTAATCTATCTCTTTTCATCACATCTCTAATCATCCATCAGAGAAATTTATTTCTTATGAGGATAGAATTCATATAACTAAAAGATCCCTAGTTTTAGGAGTAAATTCAGCGTCCAGACTTATTACTTCTGTATGTCAAACCCAGGATAAACCAAAGACGCAAGACAAAATATTGCGTTTGACTGTGATTGGCCGTATAACGCGTATAAACGTACGAGTAGGTATGTCGCGTATCAACGCGTTTTAAAATAGAGATTCTGTTGACCAATCACAACCGAACGGAGCGCACAATCGTTTCGCCTATCGTTCTACATTCTCACCCCCCTATCCTAGCGCACTACTCTAGATGCCCTTTGCTCACGTCGAGGTTATTGCCCATAATGTTATAAACGCAAATCGCTTACCGTGCCATAACCACCCGTGCGCGTCCCACAACGCACACACGGCGACTCTAGCCGCATCTTTCCAATCATTTTGTACTTCTGTTACGACTCGCAACCTGAAATTGACACGTAACTATTAACTGACTTGAATAAAGTAAGGTTATCCGTTTGATCTGATAAGTACATAATATGTAATTTATGAAAAACTAACAGTCAAACCGAGAAGATATTTAAATCAGGTATTCCAACTCCTAACTTGGAAGATGTCCTCTAGAACATTTCAAGTAGCTTCAAAATCATTTCAGTGGACAGTTATTCGAAGTCAGTTTAATTATTAATGACTTTTTTTTTTTAAAGACAATTCACACCAATTGACCTAGTCCTATGCTAAGCTGGTGAAGCATGTGTTATGGGTACTAGGCAACGGATATACATACATATTATATGTATAGATAGGTAGACATATAAATACATATTTAAACACCCAAGACCTAAGCACAACACCAAATGCTCATCACATCGATGTTCGTCTCAGCCGGGGATCGAACCCGGGACCCATGGATTCGCAGTCAGGGATACTAACCACTGGACCAATGGGTCGTCAAATTTTATTTATTCTTCGCAAATAATTGCGTCTGGCGATGCCAGAATCTAAAGTTGTATGGACCAAGAAATAACATAAGTAATTTGGTCAAAAGTTATTTACTTATTAGTAATCTTACAGCTACACATATATGTATACATATTATAAAATAAAACACAAAATACAAAGCCTAAACAGATTACATTGTCAAAGCAATATACGATATATAATAAAAATTGTGCCCAAAAAGGGCAGTCCACGCAGCCCATAGACACTAAATGTTTAGTGGGTGCGTTGCCGGCCTTTGAGGTAGGAGTACACTCTAACTTTGAATAGTTTGAGGTCGTATCTCTCAGGGAAGACCCCCACCGGGAGTCGATTCCACAGTTCCCTAGTTGCAGCCATCAAGGTGACGTTGATGAAATTTTGATTTGATACGGCTTTTAAATAATTTAAACAAATAATTGTTACGACTGCTAAATAACGTCAGGTAAGGTCTTTGATAAGGTGGAAAATGATAGAGGTACATCCTCTTAACTTGCTCCAGTTCAAACAATTTGTATGACTCAATACTTGGCGATTAAAGAGAGTGGCGGAAAGTTTCTTGCCAGTTCTTCTTACAATTCATAAGTGTACTTGTTTACCGACATGAATAAAGATATTTTGAGTTTGTAATGTAGTTAGCTAAAACCCAAAACGATATTATATTTCAAATATCATCTAAAACTCTCTTTTCGTTAAATGCGCGATTCGGATAAAAAAAATTATTTATCTTATATAACGTGACGCAATGACCTCGCTGGACTACATAAGAGAAGCCCAGACATATCATCCCTCGAAGTCATGACATAATCATGGCCATCACATAATAAGTCCGAGTTCAATAACCAAAACCACAAATGTGTCTCAAAGTTTATCACAGCCAGACGGACCAATAATTATCAGCCCCATTTTAATTGACTTTAATTGGCACGATAAATCACCATTCTTGGGTTACGTGATTAGATTTTCTTGGAAAAATTCCTTCATATATATATATATATATATATATATAGTATCTTTTAAATATTTTTCCTTTACACGTTGGTCACTAGTATTGTCTTTGATTAACATAACTTTTATTCATTTAATAAAACACTATTTTGACCGGATTGAAGTTATGTATTATTATAAATTTACAACTATTTAACATAATTTTAAATTTATCCGACGTTTCGCGTGCTTTACAGCGTGCGTGGTCACGGTGACCACGCACGTTGGTCACTTTAAAATAAAATTGTGCGTGTACTAGGTGTACACACGTAAGAAGTGAAACTTCTTTATGATCTTATTTTTCGAAAAATGATCTACTATATGCAACTTTACAGAAATTCGTTAAATTAGATAAAGTTTAACAAAAGGCTTTTATTATCATAGACATGAATACAAATATTTCATTTTACCTTATTACTACGAAGATTATTATAGAATTTCATTAATTGTAATAGAATTATTACTATCATTGAAAAACGTGACGATTTGCTACAAAATTTCTCCCATACGTCGATAAAGAAGCTTCATTCCAACGCCGATAAAGAAGTTTGACTTCAAAAGCAACATGGCGAATAACCGAAAAATGTGACGCATAACGAAAAAATGTTACACTAAATTTTTTTCCAACCTCGATAAAGAAGTTTCACTTCAATAAATATAACAAAACATTCTATAACTATATTACCAATTCCAAAGACGATTGAAAGAATGTGACTAGTTTGAAAGAATCTCTTCTTTTAATACTCCTTAGTAAGTAATACCTCCTTAGACTATCTAAACTAATAGAATCTTAGATAATGGCTTAGAAACACAAGTCAAAATAATGATTACAAAAAAATGCGTGTAACCTTTACGCGCGATTGAAGTAAAACTTCTTTGGCGTTGACGGCATATATCACTGAAATGATTAAATATTAACTTAAAAAATAATATCATATTATAATTTAATTATATTTATTATTCATGTGCTTTACAAAGATTATTCAAATGTTATATTAATATTATTCATTCGAAATAGGTAATTGAATGTCATCATAATTTCTTACGTATCAAAATTATAGGTACATATACTTACGACAAATCCGAATTTTTAAATAGCGGAAACTACACAGACTATAGTAAGCGTTACTTCCGTCTGGAAAAAAATGAGTTACTCCCTAGTCGCGCCTAAAGAAGTTTTACTTCAATAAATCTTTTCACATTTGATTTAAAATCATGAATTAAACATTTCGACTTGTCAAGACTTCGACAGACGTTATAAACAGAAAAGTGCGAGAAGCATTTAGATTTTACTTATTAAGCCATAGGTAAAATATATTATCATATTCGGGGGATATATAGCGATATTATTAAGGTTCCTGTATTAGAATCATAACTTGTAACGTCTGTCTCTCCTAGTTGTTTAATTAATAATCTAATAAAACCTAGCACCCGTTTTATACAAAGATAGCCGTTGTCGAGAACATAATTATATATCATAACTAGCAGACCGGCCAAGCGTTGCTGTGGCTAAGGTTTTTGTTATATTACATGGTAGTAAAGTATCCAAGGGTAACGGTAGGAGAACACCAGTCATGGGGACCACCATGCTTTTTTGGTGGTTATGCCATTAAATTGTAGCTTATGTGAAACGTTGGTACTTTCAACACAGCGCCATCTGTTAGAATTGTGACTATCAAATAATAAACAAATATTTTGCAATAAAATAATATTGCGGGTATAAATTGAGATCGAAGCTATCCTATTTGTTAAGTTGGATCAAACTGCACATGATGTGCAAATTTGATTGAAATCGGTTAAGTAGTTTAAGAGTCCATAGCGGACAAACAACGTGACGCGTAATTTATATATATTAAGATTATAATAATCATATTAATAACTGACCTGTAGAGCCTGTAAAGATAGAATATAATACTGCTAAGATAGATGAGGATGATGATGACAGCGGGAAGCAAGAAGGTGACTATGACGGGCGTGAGGAACCACGTCAGCCAGAGACTGTACTCCGTGTCCACGTACTCCACTGGAAACAGATTAAAAACGTTTATTACTATATTAACAGACAAATAGGAATGTTTTGTTTATTTCCACTAAGTAATAAAGTCTGTAAGCCTAAAATATAATTAATAAAAAATCTATACTGAAATACTGTCAATCTTATTTCTTAATCTCTTATTCACATTACAAATTCGTCAACAAAAATTATATGAATTGGATCAATAAATTTTGTATAAAAATGTCGCTTATCAAGTGCAATTAATATTACAATTAAAAATATCTACCGGCGCCATACAGTACATAGAAAACCAGCTTCAGTGGAACATTCGAGAAGGTCAACATTTCTAAGGTCCCATCACATTAAAAACATCGGAAGAAAAAAAATCAACCATTTGCTATGTTTAAATAATAGAGAATATAAGTAGTTATACAGGAATACATAAACAAAGATAGACCTTCCTTGAGTAAAAGATTACTTACACATACGCATATCGATCTTTTCTAAAAATTTGCAAAAAGTTACAATTTTTTTTAAATCACTTATTTATAGCTTATATTAGTTGTAAAGTAGAAAGCTACTCTGTATGGTGTAAAATTAATTTTATTGTTATTTTTGTTTTTAGATGTAATATTTTATTGTTTGTCAAGCTTTTATAATAAATAAATAGATCTTCTTATGTTTATTACGACTATATCAAATTATACTAAATTAAAACACCAACACCAAAACTAATGACAATAATAAAACTAGTTTTTTTGTTTTTAAAAATGTACTAAACACATCGTTTTATTTAGCGCACGTAACTTCCAAAGTCCATTAGTATATGAACTTTGTTTTAATAAAACTTGGAAAAGGAGCAAATTATTTACTTAAATTAATAATAAATTGTATTAGATCATCTCATATTAACTAGATACCAGTAACGTCTGTTACTCAGGTCATTCCAGAGGATTTAAATTTATTCATTGCTGTTTCTGGCAATGCACCCACTAACATAGGTATCCATTGGCTGAGGTAACTGCCTCGTAGGCTTGTTTGTCTTATAAACATATGAAAATACAAATCTTTATAGTATTAGTATAAACAACAGCCTGCACCTAAAGCGATATTTATGCGATTTTTATCAAACTTAGTAATTATAATCCAGTGTCTGCCTTTAAAGACTACAATTCACATTGTATAAGTATACATATAAAATAATTTTCATAAATCAAAATTAAAATCAGCGTTTATTCGTAGAATATAAATTAAAACTACATTAAATTGTGTTACATTTCATAAATTCAACATAAATCGTGCTTATATCCGATAAAAAATATTTTATTTAAACTTATCTATTTCATTATACGATTAATTTTAATAGAGCGACGCCCCTTTGAACCATCAGCTAACAGTCTCATGCTGCTTTAGAGGTTTTAGTAGATTTCTTATACCTGATTATTTATGGGTTAATATCGGTTTTTCGTTGTATTATCACTGCGTTTAGATCGTCGTTAGCACTGTGGCCTGAATAAAAAAATAATTTAGTATGTGATAACGAATCCGGGTCCAAATGCAATAATGACCCGTCATGCGCCGCCTGTGAGCATGTGCATGGTGCGTGTTTTCTATATATTGATTTGTATGGTTTGTTTATCACACTTGACTTGAGACTACCACCGATAACGAAGGGTGGTGTCATAGGTAACCTTTTAACGCTGGAAAAACAAAGTTATATTGTCTTTTAATTTTATTTTTTTTAATTTTACGCCGGCTTTTTCTCTCGGCCTACACCCTCTATCTCTTTGCCGATGAGAAGGGATTCCTACCTATTCAAATTTAATGACGTGGAATAAGTGATACCTGTATCTGATATTCCGTAATAAACAATTTTTTTTAAATTAATTTAATGTTATATTAAACTAATTAAAAATTATAGCCGTGTTATCCTATCACAAGCTTTGAAAGTGAAATGGCGATTGCCTGGTCATGTAACACGATTCCTAGACAACATATGTACATAAGGACAACATAATAGAAGGGCCCACTCGGGAAAATAGTGGGCAGGCCAAAAAGAAGGTGTGCTGATGACTGGATAGAAATAGCAGGAAAAGACTGGCATTTTTTTGTACATATAGGTCGGCAACGCACTTGCGAACCTTTTGGCAGTGTAAGTGTCAATGGGCATATCCCTGAACAGGTGTGATTCTTTGATTTTCTTATTTTGTGATTACATCAAGAGTAATTATTTACACATATTACCCACTCATTGTTTGAAAACGAAATGCATTTACGAGGATTCTAAATTAATACGTTTATATACTATTATTACCCGATACATACCCGATGATTCGAGCCCGATAAGCTTGGATCTGCTTTTACATTTTTTTTTATATATTTTTTTTTGTCTTACATGTTATTTTATGTTCCGTTTAATTAATCTCTGTAGGTGTTTCTTTTTCTATTGTGTCATACTAATAACTTATGTACCCTGCTTTTTTTTAATGTATGTTTTTGTATAATGTAACGAAGTGTAAATAAATAAAAATTGTTATTAATAAGTTGCTAATTTAAAACTCGCCGCAAAAACGTCATCTGAAACTTAGAAGTCTCCTGTTTTAGAGTGAATAAACGCTGAGCCAATGTGTCAGAATCCACACTGCTCTTTTCCTTCTATCTGCGTAATTAACATTGCCTAGTACATTAAAGGAAAATATCTTATATCTTAGACACAAATGTGTCTAAGATATAAGACCCCAAGTACACAGGAACGGTGGCATAGTCCTAACATCGTCTCTCTTAGACTATTGTTACGAAAATGGGTAGACTGAAATGTTTCACGATTTTGCCACCAGTTAGAGACGTTTTCAGCAAGCTGAAACGTGGTTTCTGACCGTTTCAGTAAAGAGTCAATCACATATTAGAAAAATTTTATTTGCCTAATCTTACCCCTGTTATCAGGAGGCTGAAACATTTTTTCAGGTTGTTTCAGAGCAAGTGTAGTCGAGTAGTACTGTTTTCAGGACTGGTTATACCCCTTTGATGGTGGAATAGACTAAACTTTCTAGGTGTGAGACAAGGACGGAATAATACACGAGAGAGAGGGAAAATCGGAACCTTCTAGAAGCCAGACTGAACATTCTAGAATGCCGTACGACAAGGATGGAGCAATGTGTAAAAGAGATAAAGAGTACGTACGTTCTAGAATTGTGCGATAAGAATAGTACAACCGCCACTCAGTACCAATCCTGCCTAGAAAGTTCTCGAATATCGTTTAAGATTATTCCCAGGGATACCGAGCGATGCGAGCCGAAACGCGAAAAGTGAATTCAGTTTCGAGTACGATTCCAAGAGATTAACATCGAAGAGATAAGGTGCGAATAGTGACAAGTGCTAATATGAAGTGCGCGTAATTGAAGTAATTAGTGACAGAATTTTGTATGTTGTAATTAGTGTATTTCTGCACGTAATTTGTGTTTTCTTAGTGTAATTAAATTCCCCATTGATTTATTTAAAAATAAACTCTTGAAGAGATCTACGGCGTTTTCTATCCGATGCCCCAAGCTCATAACAGGAATAAACATCCAGGGCCATTACAACATTTTAGTTCTGGGCCTTAGTATGTGTGTGATTTTTTTTTTTTTATAAATAAACAACTATGCACACGCCGTCGACTTTTTGGGTAGGCATGCCGGTTTCCTCGCGACGTTTTTCTTCACGTACGAGCGAGTGTTAAATGCGCACAAAGGCAGAAAGTCTGACTTCAGAGAGTCGCATAAAGCCACTAGACTAACACTTCTCTCGGACTATAAATATCCTATATTTAGACGATATATATGGAAATTGGCTAATAAAACGCTACATTTCCGTATATAGATGAGTGTTATCACCGTGATGGAGTTATCATTAGGTTATCCGAGCTAAGCTTCGTCTAGCTGTCTCGTGATTTCTTTAACATTTATTTTATTTCTGTTTGTTACTGATAAATTCACATCCATGTGATTAATAACATTCATGACATTTCCTCCTAAATGACTTCATTCAACATTCAATTAGAATAATCCGATTAAAAAGGGGACCGGAGAGTATCTCACCAATCGCCCGCTTTATGCCCTGTGATTTGGGAAGTGGTTGCAAATTTAGACCTTCCATTAACATTTCCGTGTATAATGTTCATAAGCGTTCATAAGTGTACGTACTTACTATATACTATCAATAAATGAATTTTGATTTGATCTATTTTCATTTATTAAGCGGTGGTTCCTATTCTAGGTCTTATTATTTGTCGATTTTTATCCATCACACTGTTAATGTTTTCCTCGTCATAACATGCTTGTTTAAGATTAGGGAGCGTTCAAGTATTACGTAACGCAATTTTTGGAGATTATTGACCCCCTCCCCCCCATGTAACTCGCCGTAACGTTTTTCAGTACCCAAGTATAGTAAAACGTTTCGTGAGCACCTAGTGACTCTTTAGTTACTATTATGTGGTGTAAGTCGAATAAAATATTAACAATAACGCGTAATTTAATCCCCGCCCCGCATCGTAACGTTTTACAAAAGGAAAAAAATACGTTACGTAATACTTGAACGCTCCCTTATTCTTAAACTAAAATAAGAAGAAATATTTTCTCGAGTTTACAATAATTACATTTATTAATAATGTAAGTTATGGTAACGAGAATTTCTGCCGCGAAAGCTATAAACAACGCTCCTTTATAATTAAATAGAAGAACCTAAAAGCATTGTATATTTTCACACATGTAAGTACATGAATATTAGAGGATCACCGCGGAATGAGAGATAGTCAGATATAAACTTATATTCTTTGAGACAAGTTTTAGGGTACCAGTTTTGACAAGTATATAGCTATGATTAACATTCATGGACAAACGCCCGAATCCAATAATCAATCCACAATACAGATTGTTTTCAATCTGAGATCACACCGTGACAGTCGATCGATCTCCTATCTGCATCCAAAAACCAAATACATACTACGAAGACAATCCATTTTTGGCGACGTAAAAATGCTCTTTGTGGTT